TGCGAATCAGACCGTCGACAATGGCGGCAAACTGCGAGATGCTCAAGAGTCTGGAGAGAGACAGGGGATGCTCGGCCCCAGGCGAAAGACGATGGCAAGATGGATTCACGGAATGGGGTTCCGGGATAATCTGCTGCATTGTGCGGGCAGAATCCGTAGTCGCCTGGCCTTCCGGATACTAGAGACTGGAGACTGGAGTTATCTGTTGCTAAGAGGATCCGTAAAGCGGATGTGGTTACGGATGGCCAACGTCATGGATCAGCTTGGACCAACAGCTAAAGACGCACCCATGACGCCAAGCTTGCGACAACAGAAGGCTGACATAAGGAAGGACGTTCAGCTCGGATGATTGACGGGGAGGTCTAGGTTTAACGATTTTCCGCAACCGGCTCGGGACAGCTGCGCCGACGGTTCCGGAAGGGTCCCGTCCTGTGTGGGCTCGACCCGGACCTGAACGCTGTGGCTCAAAGAGGAAGTTCAAGATTAAGTCAGCTAACCTTACACAATACCTAGTCTTTCAGTTGCTTGCCCCGGTTTTCCAGGTACCAGCCTCGATGATCAATGTTCTCGCCTTTTTGACGGTCGTTTTGTTCAAAGATTGGAGTCATTGCTACGAATTTGCCAAATTTCGGAAAGTGGATTGCATGCCGTACGGAGGTCTCACACTTTCGGCTGACGAGGCTGGACTAGAACTCTTAGAATGAGCAACATGAAAATATTGGAATTGACCATTCAGCGCTGGAATCGTTGAGCTGCTGGTCGCCAGCGATATTTAGTACGCGAAAAAAACACGGGGCAATTGACCGACGCGATTCCTCAACAGCCCCTCTCTCCCCGGGCAACAGGTCGCTTTGCCTTAGTCAGAAAACAAACTCCAAGCCGCCAACATCTGCAATGCTTGTCATCTACACCACCGAGTCTGCAATCACCAACCTCCTCTTCCCCGCCTCGGGCCAAAAATAGCAGCCCACGAGGTGTTGGTCACCTCGCTACGCTTGTTGTCTTGCCCCTGTTTTTTTCTCTTCTAGCGGTTCTTGATACCGTGCTCTGCCAATTTTTCAAAATACTCTTCCAATAGTCCGTCGTATACTACCGTTGTCCCTCAATTTAGTGAATGTAGCTGGTCCAATCCTCCTCCAGTCGCAAAGATGCCGCCGAGTCCCCCAAGAGATCCTCTCGCCCATCCGGCGCACAGCTTGTCGCAAGCCAAAACTACCGAGTTGCTTCCACCACCGTCGCCGCGTACCCATCGCCTTCGCAAACTGCAATCCGCACATAACCTTGGCTCCAAGGCCGCTCTTCAGTTGCAACCCCTTCATCAACCCTCTTTGATCTCGCAGCAACGCTTGACGCAAATCACGCAACGGAATATCTCTCCTACGCGACGTGACCCGAGCTCTTCTTCCAACGTGGCGCGACACACTCGAGGACGATCCAACAGCGATGCGCCGGCGCCCGTTATCCATCATATAAATGCCCTGGCTACGGGCAAGCGCAGCATGATGGGCATCAGCCCCAAGTACGCGACCATGTCTCTCCAACAACTTATTAAAGAGGGTCCCCCCGAAGGAGAGACAATTGAGGCTTTAGGCATGGCTCGTCGCAAAATCTTGAGCGAGGGCATCAAGAGTGATAGCGACGGCATGGTAAACATCACCCTTCATGCCTATCAAGCCTGTAAACCAATGCTAACTTGTTGCCACGCAGTCAACCTTGCGTATATACGTCTGGCTCATCCTGCTGGATACCCCCGTTCTCCCGACCGATGACTACTTGGGCCTGATCCACCGCGGAGCCTCCCCGGCCTACTCCAAGATTCGCAACGATACCTTCCGAACCCTTACGACTGATCCTTTGTTCAGGAGACGTGTGAGCGAGGCCAGCCTGATTCGTCTTCTCAATGCTGTGGCCTGGCGTCTACACGATGCGCGGGAGGAGCAGCGCAGGGAGCGACCCAGCACTGGAAGAAGCTCCATATCGCAGGACAGTTCGACATCGACATCGACGGCCACAGCCTACTCGCAAGATCCCGCCTTTTCGCCGGGTGCCAGAAACCGTGCCAGGGCACTCACCTTGACGACAGAAGGCTCTGAATCCAGCCATGCTGCGGAGCCCGGAACATACGTGCAAGGAATGAACGTGCTGGCCGCGCCTTTTCTGTACGCAGCAAGGAGCGAATCCGAGGCTTTTATCGCGTTCTACACACTGCTCACACGCGAATGTCCGGGCTACATTCGCGGCGCTATGGACGGCGTACACAAGGGTCTGGCGCTGGTTGACAAGGTCCTTGCCACGGTCGACTCGAAGCTAAGCGGCTACCTGCACTCCAAAGGTCTCACGGCCGAGATCTACGCCTTCCCCTCGGTTCTGACGCTCTGTGCCTGTACGCCTCCGCTTCCCGAGGTGCTCAGACTGTGGGACTTTCTCTTTGCCTACGGGCCCCATCTGAATATTCTCTGTATTGTAGCCCAGTTGATGGGCATGCGGGATCAGCTCATGAGCTCTCCGAGGTACGTTGTCCGCGCCCTCTACACTTGAGTTGTACACGCTAACAGTCTACCAGTCCTAATAAACTGCTACGCTCGTTCCCTTCGTTGCAAGCCGATAAGGTCATTGAGCGTACGCTGTGGATCATAGAAAGAATCCCAGACGACACCTACGTGGCTATAGTTGCGCACGCCCACTGAATGCGTGGATATTATGAATAATGGTAGACAAGAAGAGCACGAAAAGCACCGCCTCACGAGGAGGTGGTGAGGACTCGACAGAAGGAAGGGGCGATGTCTGATGAATGTTTGAACGTTGAACGACGTGTACTTGTACGATGAGAAGACTTTTAACGACTTGACGATTGAAACAAAAAACATGGGAAATGAGATGGAAAGTTCATGATAGAGCGCCATAGGGGGGTGGTAAACGGTCAAGGATGGCATAGCTCCATGAGATATACGGGGGAAAGAACAGTACACTCGCATTGGGTGGGAAAATTTAATTGATACTTATCGTTGTAATCGTTATCACTTGCCGTCTATTTCGTTGTGAAGAGTGTGAGTTATCAACTAACTTGAGTATACGTCCCATCTCCCTCCGCTGCCACTCCCCGAGACACGGCAGAAGGCGATCCCATACTCGTAGAGAGGGTTGCGGTCTCGTGTTCTGTTTAGTATCGTTCGCCGTGTTACACTTAAGTCAATTACGAAGATGTTGCTTCTCGATACTATCATGACACGACCTCTAGTACACAAGAATTTGGACTGAGAGGATCTGGATTATAGAGCGGAGTGGAACAGACAACCCCGAGTACGTGGGGGTTGGAGTGGGAGCCAGGGGGTTACGGCTAGCTATCATGAGGAAGTACCACAGAAACGTCGACCACGTGTAGGAGAATCTGGAGTTTATGTCTATCCACGCGAAGTTGCGGCTGGCCCTTCCTGCCATTCCCAGCAGTCTGTCTAGTTAAGGGAGTATAAGTGGACTCGTTATCGGTATCATGGCCTACGCATTATATAGCATGGCAATAGAGCAAGCCAGGCATACTCTCCATCACAACAAGTGGATTGCAAAGAATCCGCGGGTTAGCGCCCTACTACTTAACGAGCCTGGCATATACTGATTGAAGTGCTTCATCTGCTATGTGTCCAATTGCCTCCGCCTATTCTCCGTCAAATCCGTGTACAGCAGTTACGGCAGTTGCTAGGCCTGTTCTTCACTGATAATTTCAAGCGGTGCGTTCAGGCAGGCGTTCTGTGCCCAAGTCATTGATATGTGTCTGTTCCAAGTTGTGGGTAGATAGTGCTTTGCATAACTTGTTGAAAGCTCGGGCGTTGTTTAGGTAGATGTCAACTGTCAAGCATGATTTTGTGCAAGCAAAAAGAGAGTATCGTGTAGATAATTATGGTAGGGTATTGTAATACAACGAGGTTCTAGTAGTTACTCATGATGGCACTGTCGAGAGCACAAAATACTTTTCACGTACGACTGTCACGGCGAAACAGATTTTCGAAACTCGTGCGATATTATGCCCTTGAAAGATGTACTCATTTCCAGGAACTTGTGGTTAGGCTCCCCGTAACTTTGCAACTACGCAGCAAGGCAAAGGCTCCACGGACGAAGATAGCCCATCACTTGGTAAGATATCTAACAGCAAAGACTGGCAGATGCACCACTTGAGGCAGCCTATGGAAGCCATTCAGCAACTTGCAAGTCATATGCAAACCTTTCTTAAACGATGTACTACAATGCGGCCCTGACTTGGAAGGAGTTATTTCACTTTGGGCTCGAGTGGAAACCTGATATGGAGGTAACTTGTAGATTTCGTGTCGTGATATGTGCAGTAGGGTACAAGTGACCATCTTATACCGAGGACACTGAGTTGAGCTTCGGAGTATTGATACTAACTTCCAAAGTCAAAACTTCGAGCACTGGTTGAACCTCGACAGATATCCTCATTTATCGGCATGAGCACACGTTGGCAACTCAGACATCGTAGTCATGAACACATGTCATTTACCCATAAAACCTTCCCAGCTTACTAGAATATGGCATCTCTCCGTGTTCTAAATTGCTATAATTGGGTTCTGTTCTTGCATACAATCCATACAGATGCTAGGTCGCGGTTCTCCACCGAATTTGAGAGGCATACTAGACTCCTGCGAATGCAATGAAGGGACTCCAGCACCCTCCGGGTCCGTTGGACATCTTGTTTCTCACCTTTTTGCGAAGGACATATAGAGGCCGGTGAGAGAGGAACACGTCCAGCAACAGTAAAAGTGCCGAGGCAATTCTTCCAACGAGGAAGCTCAAGGAGGGAACACGGAGAGATGCTCATCTTCCTTCCTGTTAGACTTCCAAAGACCAGAGCCGAGAACTCACTCCACACGGGTAACGGTTTGATTTTCAGGCACGTCAAGTCTCACTCACCAACCTAGGTGGGTAGCAATTGACTGAGATACAAGACAAGTCTAAATGTCATCAACCCTGAGCGGCTCTCCTATTCCTCACTGCCAACCTAGAGGTGTCTTCACTGTCTCTACTTGGAAGCGATTCTGCTGACTAGGCGTCCATGTCAGCTGAGCTGCTTCAGCCCAGCACATCAAGTAGACTCTGCGCATCAGGGAAGCGCGGCGACTCTGTCATGGGCATCCTTCAAGACAGGGACACAGGTGGAAATCACTACAGAATGAAGCGAGTAATAGACAGAGGACCCAGGCAATTCTCAGAATCACAAAGCCAATTCACATACTTGCGACCTGCCGAGACATATTGCTCGACCGCTAAGGCCTCAGCCAGCCTCACCGCAGCAAGTGCGGAATTGGGACTAGTCTGACATGAAATCAGGCGACTGCATTCGCTCAGCAAGCATCTAACTGCCGTCATTGGATGGTCAAAGGCTTCCATATACCTTGTCGTTGGCCAGGTCGCGCGGCTCTCGGTCGTGACAGAAACACCTCCGTGAAAGATGACGTAGTCAGCTTTTGAATAGGCTGTTCTCCCCATGTAAGCATGAAATGTGGCGAGGCTGGAGTACCTTAGCTGAAGAGTGCGGGCTGCGACCATGATCAACCCGAGAATGTCCACGCTGTAGCAAGCAGGCACGGCAGGCAAGTCAAGGCGATGGTGTTCGCGATGATGATTGACTAGTAGTCTATCTCGCGGCATCTTGATCGAAACTGGCACTGCGGTTGGCGTATCGAGGCGCGCATCATCACGGATGCTGTTGTCCCCGCAACAGGGTCCCCCGCGCCATCGAGCCAGGCGATTGATGACGATGAGCATGGGAAAGAGCCAGGCCTGTCTGTACTCGGAAGGGCTCAGGTGAGTGGTGCTGTCCCGTCAAGGTCCTGGACAGCGTGGGATCAGCGGCGCAAAGTGACAGCGGCCAATGGGTGCTGACAGGCAGGGGACGAAATGAGCTCTGGCTAGGCCGTGGCTCAGCTGACGCAGCGTCTCGGGGCCATCAGTCAGCGGAGAACTCACGCTCATCACACCAGAGGCTGAGGAAGATCCAAGAAGGATGAATAGTAGCGAAAAACGACGAATTGGAGTCGCAAGAGGCCTGCGTAAAAACCACGGCGGCTTCTCCTTTCTCACGGCGCGCTGGTGTGGGATTGGCTGCTTTTCCAGCACAACGCGGGGCCCGGACGTCGTCGTCATAAGGAACACGATCCAACAAGAGAGCGAGAAGGGGTAATACCGCGTGGTAATGTATGGTTTGGCGGCGAAGGTGAGGGCTAGATTAGGCCAATGATCTCATGGTTCGACAGTGGGTGATCGCGGGATCGAAGGTGCGGAACGTTGGATGCGACTTTTGGTTGCCGTAGGAAATGCTCCGCGGCGTCGGTCATGTCTGCTTTGTCGATTTTGTGTGCGTTTGGATGGTTCAGCCACATTTGGGTAGCATCGCCTGTATGAAGTGCCACCCAAATGATTGCCAGTTCAGGTGCCTCGCGAGCTCCAGGGGTTACAAAACAGGCACTAGTATGGGGAGCTAGAGAATTGATGGCCGAATAGGGACGGACCTGGCTCCGAGATGATTCGTCACGGGTTAATAGCTGACCAAAGCTGAAGTATGCAATACCCAAGGCGACGCCGTTGGTGGTTTGCGACGGAGTCGTTTCTATCCCTTCATTGGCTGATGACTGACTCGTTCCTTGCCTACCTGTCCGTTCATTGTTGTTTTGCCTGGGCAGAAAGCTGGCAACCATGGCCGCGGGATTCCGGTTCTTGGAAAAAAAGGTGATTATCGAGATCATTCCATGATCTCAATACCGCTGAAGGAATGGCCGGCGACGGTACAAAGAAGAGCGCCGCCTTTTCCGCCGTGTCTCTCAGAACTTGTAAGCGAAACCTGTGCGGTGGATGCTAGTCGTCCATCAAAGAAACCTCAGCCTTAGTCCAGGCGACCGTGGAACTGGGTAGGCAAGACACGGCAAGGCAGAGCATGGCACAGGCTCAGAACCAGATGAGGCGCCCGTGGGTTGAAAGAAGACAGGCATCGTGGCGGGTGCCTGGCAACGATGTGTTGATTGAAGTGCATGCGCACTCCCGTCCACCCGTCGTGCGGTCCGCCTGATGCCATGCCCTCTCCGTTGGTTCTCTCTTTCGTCCATTTGGCAGCGTGTTGAGGGGCGACTGGCTGCATTGCGGCTCAACAATTGAAAACCGAGTGATGCTAGGAACAAATCGGCAGAAACGATCGATCCCGTTATCATTAGCTTCATGCTTGAGAGAGTCGATCCGGCAAGAGGTCGGCTCATCACCCACCCGCATCCTGAGGTGAGGGAGTGTTCAGGTACGGAGTACAATCATGGTACTCCTGGCCAGGTCTGCGGAGTTTGCGCGTGTAGCAAGCGTGATGCGAGGCGTTTGTAGCTGGAGAGCTCTTGATCGGGGAGGCACAGGTAGGTAGGTTCCTCGGCAGGTCATTAGCCACGGGCACTCTTACTGTTCGCTGAACGGCAGCATGCCTGCTGCGGGGGAAAAGAAGAGAGGGGCGACGTGTGGGAGAAACCAGGTGAAGTGCACCTGGAGACTGCAGCCGTAAGCAGGGCGAGCGACAATGGTGGGACGAGGGAAACAAGTATCGGTGACTTGGCCTGTCGGTAGCGCGGATGCAAAGCCACGTCGGTTTACGAGTTGAAAATTGGAACCGGGGCCTGAGGTGATGTTCCCTGACCGAGAGCCTATGGGAAGCCACTGAGTGGACTCAAGTGGAGACGGAGATGGACTTTTTAGCCACTCGCGTGTGTCCCAGACTCCCAGCAAAGGGAAAGAACTGAGAAGGGGAGCAGGAGGCACTGGGAGGCTGGGGCATGGGATGGGATGGGGCTCTTGATTTTCTTGCACAGCCACCGCGGGGGCTGAAAGGCCCTTGCTTTCGGGCTCCATTCTCTCAGGTTTCCTTCCCTTCCATTTCCCTCCCTCTCCCTCGTCATCCAGCCTGGTCCCCGGAACCCGACTCCGTCGTATTCACAATTCCAATACCATAGGTACCTTATCGACTACGCGGCGACTGTCAAGTGCGGCGCCTCGGTTTTCTGCATGTCACACACTTCTCATGACGACTAGAGCTTGGAGCAAGAGTGAGGCATGTGTTTATTTTCCTTGACTCAATATTGATTCCATTACTCCGTAGTGTGGCGCTCAACAAGCCGCAACTATCGAGATAGTTCAAATATGCACCCACAGAGCGTGGCGTAATTCAGAGAATGCCAAGACGGAGTTAGGGAGGGGACGAGTGAGAAACAGTGTGTGTATGTGCGCGCGCGCATGGGTGTGGCTTGAGATGTGTGTCCGTCTGTGTACAAGGGCTGGTGAGAAGCCGCCTGAGAAGAAGGTGAGATGGGTGGGCAATGTATCGAGTACACCCGATCCTCGATATTCAGCTACAGGAATTCCATACTTTGGTCAAGTCCGGCGGGTACCATGACGGTCGTACGGAGAGGTACCTATCGCCATGCCATGTAAGATATCCGGAGGGAGGCACCGGTGAGATACCTGGAAAAAGGGAAGGGGACCTCATTGTTGGGCTCCTGGAACAACGGCGTGACTGCCTTCCCCCAAACTCAGGTAAACAGTTGGATGCAAGCAGCAGCATTGGCGACAACAACAGGGGCAGTCGGGATGGATCATGTTCACAGTTCCAGTTCCATTTCCAGTTCCCTCCTCCCGTCGTCCTGTCAGTTGTCCTCCAACACTGCCGCGCTGACGCAACCGAGAACGAACCGCCTTTCCGTGCGCCTGCGGGCAGCGAGCGGCTTGCCTGACCCTCCATGTCCTGGTTGGTCACCTCAGGCAGGAGGAGAGAGAGGCATGTAAGTAGGTAGGTACCTACCTCGTCTCACGAAAGCTTACCTAAGCTCCGCAGGCAGGCAGGTACGGAGTACGGATACCTCTGTCGTTCCTCACCTCAGGTGGTAAGGAAGGCAGGTAGCGTGTGCGGCCGCCCCAGTGTGTGTCCGTACGTCCCGCACCCGCCGCCCGCCGTCTGTTGTGGCAGAAACCGCAAGCCCCAACTCGCCCTCATTCGCAGACGCCGTCACACCTCTCTCACTCAACTTTCTGACCATTTGCCTTACTCTATCTTGCTGCACCCGCCCTCCACCCTTCCCTTTTCCTCCAGCTTCTGCCACACTTGGAATTCAGTTCTCTTTTCCCTCTTCTTCAACATCACTGCCGACAGCCAGATTTCCACCCCGCCACTGGTTTTGCGCGCGTAACAAATTCAATTTACAACGAATTACTCGCCATCGAGACCGGCTTGCGTCAGCCATTATTCAATCCCGCCCAACTCGGTTCCGCCACATTCCACCGCGACTCGTCCGCTCGTCCCGTCAAATTCGGGGTCGTCCACGAACAAGAACCGCCACGTGTGGCTGAACGATTCGAAGCTCCTATGAATCGTCGTTGACCATCAACAACCTCGACGACGCGGTCGCATCGGAGCTTTCTTTTCCAATTCAAACCCTCCAATTAATCGCTTGATGCTTTCACCCGCTCATGGCCTCGGATAACGGTCCCATTGCGACCGAAGCCCCCCTCCTGGCAGCGACGACGCCGGTCGCATCAGACACTTTCGCGCTTGGGGGAGATCCTGCTCGCACCAAGTCGCTCAAGAGGGCGCGCGAGTCTACTCCTACTTCGCCCACGTCTGTTGTCGACCCTATCGTCGAAGGCGCCGTTCCTCCTATCCCTCCCTCTATCGACTATCCCTCCCCCACGAAGTCCGCTCGTTTTGGTTTGGCATCGTCAAGACGCTCACCGACACCATTGACAGCCGCCGCGGCGCTCGAGGCTCTCGAAGAGGAACGCAAACGCGAACAGCGCCTAAATCCACCCGCCTCAAGCGACAATCCAGGCCATTCGGTGCTTTCCGTACTGGCTGGTAGTGTTGCCGCCATGAGTCGACCCGACGAAGCACCCCAAGCTCCAACAGCTGCCATGGAGGTCACCAACAAGGCGCCAGAGCCGGTGTCAATCCCCCAAGTTAGCAATGCGCCCGCAGAACCCGCAGAGATCAGCCCTCAAAGCGCAGCGAGCGCAGCTAGTATCGCAGGCGCTTTAGTAACGGCCAGCCCAGGCCCAATGGAAGTTGATCCCAAGTTGAGCGAACAACCTCAACAGCCACAGCATCAGCCCCAGCCGCCGCACCCAGCCCCGGTTCACGATGACAAGAATACGCCCGGATCACTTTCATATCCGGGTTCGCTCCAAGCCGCCGCCATGATGCCCGCACCACCGGCGCGCGGCATGAGCTTTCCCATGCCGTCGCCCGGCCATGATTCTCCCACTCAATCCGGCAAGAAGCACAAGTGCCCGTTTTGCGAGACGGAGTTCACGCGTCACCACAATCTCAAGAGCCATCTGCTCACTCACAGCCAGGAAAAGCCGTACATATGTCAAGAGTGTAACATGCGCTTCCGACGCCTTCATGATTTGAAGCGGCATAGCAAATTACACACGGGCGAGAAACCCCATATATGTCCCAAGTGCGACCGAAAGTTTGCTCGGGGCGACGCACTTGCTCGGCACAGCAAGGGTGCGGGTGGTTGTGCGGGCCGCCGCTCTAGCATGGGCAGTTTCGACCAGACCGATGACTTGGACGGGCCGAGTATGCATGATGGCGATGATTCAATGGCTGGCATAGTGTATGCCAACGAAGAAGACTTGACGGAAGAGGAGAGGCGTCTGAGCCTGCCGAGCATCAAGGCGCAGCATATCGCAGGTGGACCGGGTAGCATCGATGGATATAGCGCTCATTCACGTACATACCCACCAGCAGGTCCACGACCAGGAACCGGCGGGCTCTACCCGCCCAACGTCGACCGCGGCACAGCAAGCTCGACCACGTCTCCAAGCATGCCCAACAGCATTGCTGGCGCTCACACGCCGAATACGAGCGTGTCTTCTGTGCCCGTAAGTGGCGCTTCTGTCTACTCACAAAGTGGCATGACGGAGAGCCCGAAGCCATTGAGCCCCGGGCACGATACAAACAGCATTGCGAGACAACGTTCGCCAAGTCTGACGCAACAGTTCCAGCAGCACCAGTATGGCCGCAGGCCTTCTGACAGGAACACTTCACCAGGTGAGTTGTACTTTTTGAAACTTGCGCTTGTAATTCGATGATATGCTGATACTGTCCCGTAGCCTTTGTTGCTCCGGCATCACAAACGGGCGCGGCTCCGGCAGGGGCCGCCCATGCTCGTGGTTCAAGCGGAACGCAGCCAGGAAGTGGGGCCGAGAACGGCGGCAACATGTTCGCCACGGACCCGGGCGTCTGGGCGTACATCCAGAGTCTCGAAGACAAGGTCAAACAGCTGTCAGATAAGGTCACGGCTTTTGAAAAGGCAGAGAGCGCGAAGCAGGCGCAAATTGGACTGCTCACGAGCGAAGTCACGGGACTCAAGAAACAACTGGAGGCCCGCGGTGACGAAGCGACGGAGGTCAAAGTATAATGCAGCACACGCAGGTACAAACGACGACATGTTCTTCAGCCGTCGGCGCAACCTATCACCTATGTAACAACGACGAAATGTTTCTGGTGGGGAGCGGGCAAGAGAATACCTCATGCAGCGGCAGCAGGAGGACAAATTGGCGTTTTTCACACTCATTGTCGGCGTCTTGATTTCTCATCTCTCGTTTATCACACCCAAGTTTCTGCCTCTCTGACCCATCAGTTAGCAGGACGACCCGTTTCGTCCCGGGGGAAGGCGTTTTATTCAGGGCACTGGTAGATGTGCACGGTGGACCTCGATATGAACAAAAGTTTTGAGTTGGTCCGTCGTTGGAGAATGGGGCCGAGTCTATGACCCATGTCCCAGGATTTCTCGCGATGGATTTTTCCTTCTTCATTTGGTAGTTTCCCCCCACGAGGATCCTGACTTAATCGGCTTTTCCCTCTTATGTATTATAGCGGTCGTTGCAGAAAGTCTAGCCTCAAGGCTCTAGGTCTTCCTTGAGGAGACAGAATATCGGAATTTCAATGCCTTTTAGACATCAGGTCCGTTCAATCCTTGGGTGCCAAAGACGATTTGGAACGAGTTGACTCTGCCAACGCCAATCGACTCAAGCCAAGTTGTTTTCATTGGCATCTTCAGTCCCGGTGCTCAACTTGCGTTATCCGAGCCAAACGATAACAATCAATCTCGATCATCCTTAGGCTATAGCATCACCTGCTTTGCGACAAAGTCGTTGCAACTTGCGAGGGCCTATTTGCAAGGGATACTCGACTCACGATTGCGTTTCAATATGACACCGATGACAACCCGGGTGGACACACATTGCTGCTTCCCTTTTTGGTTCAGATATAAGCAGGTATGTAGGCACTGACGAGATGAGAGGTAATGAGAAGTCATGTAACCAAGGCAAGACGAGCCAAGCGAAAGTACTGAAGGTGCCATGTGCCTCGCTGTGGATGTACGTGAAGCAGAGCCATAAAAAGAAGCTTGCGAGCTTCAAGTCAAGAGAGAGGGAGGGATGAACAATTTTGTTGCTCTTTGACCATCTTGAACACAGCGCGCAAAACCTTCTCGCCAAGCATACCGCAGAGACACTATTAGGAAAAAAGATACATACGGATACTCAAGGGATGACCGTCAGCTGTGAAGGGGTGGGAAAGGGAGGGGGAAAAGAGACAACCGCTTCCCCCCCGCGCCCTGGATCGTGATAATCAAGAATCGCAGAGCCTAACCCCTCTTCTTGAGCACTCTGGGAATGGAAGAGGTTGCATACGACCAGGCATGGGTTCTTGTCCAAAGAATCCCGTCGATACGGTACGCACTTGCGCTGGGCTCAACGGTTGCGCCATGGCGGCAGCCATTGCTACACAATCAATCAACATCCAACGCCGGCTGCCGCCGCCGCCGACCAAGTGTCGCCGGTAGTCGTTGGAATGCTCGCCCATCCATAACAAAAATTTGTCAACAATGGCCCAGCCGGTGGTCAAAATAGTGAGACAAGAAAAGTTAGCCTGTTCGGGATGCCTTGGTGACCGACCGACCGATCGTCTACGCTATGCCCACGTCGTATTTGCTAGGAAACACGAGTCGTGCTGCGGCTGGGTTGCCGTCGAGCTTGTCAGGTTTTGAGTACATCTTGCGACGCGATGGAAAGGGCGCAAAAGCTTGCACCAGGAAGAAACGAGACGAGAGCGATATGCGATTAATGGCGCCTTGCCTCGACAGCTGTCGTCAGTCAAGAGGCATAACTTCAACCAGCAAATGAGTTAAATAATCCAAGTGCCGCAATAAGCCGTTCCTGTGCCTGACAATCAATCGCCCCCTGTTTCTGGCCAATGTCTCTGGTCAAAACAACGGCGGTCCCGTCCCGCGAGGCTCTAGAAGCCGTGAAATGGGCGTGGGCTAGAGCGAAGAGCAGCACTTGACCATGGGGTGGATCACCAAACCAACGTCGAGTCTGGAATGCATAGTCAGATAGCGTGTTTTTGTAATACATGTGCAAAGCAAGCGGATGAGTCTCGTGGGTGAGTTGGAGTTGTTTTGATCAGAGTCGCGTCGTTCTGCTGGTATGGAACGGACGCCCGCCAGGAATCTCTCGTCCTGGAAGCTGGCGCCATGACAGATTTCTTTGATGTTGCGGATGAGGACCTCGCTGACGTTCAAGATCACGAATTCCAAAGTACGAGGTTTGGTGGGTAACTTTCCACTGACGCGAGTTCGAGCACCAATTGAGTGACTTTCACTCGAGTTTATCGTACTATTTCGGCGTGAAGTGGGGGACTATTAATCGAACAAGATTATCGTCGATGCCGACCACTTACGCAAGCCCCAGGTACGGATAACCCACGGCACTCTCGAGCCGATGAGGGGGAGGGTCTTTCGTGCAACAGCCAGCAGGGCTCGTGATATGAATCTCCTCGTAAATGGCCATTCGGTTTGGGTCCTTGAGAGAAGGGCTTCTCCCTGTACCTCTCGTGAAGGACGATAAAGCGTACATGCCTGGACCCAGAAGGCTGTCGATGTTTCAACGTTTCAGGTGGGAAGGTGGTGGCTACGCGGCCATTGTTTTTCGCTCTAGCGCAGATCGATCGTAACTTCCGAAATTGTGGTGTGGATTTGTGGACGTCATGGCCGAAATGAGACGAAGGAAATGGCACGGCCCAGCAGGTCAATGTTCATAGCCTGTAGGAATATCTGTACGGAGTACGAATACCTCGTAGGTGGTGTGAGTGACCAGAGGCCTGACGCCTTTGAACTTTTGAAGGGTCGTGATTGAGCGAGCACGCGCTGTATCCGTCCCTAGGTAGCTATGATCAAAGCTTGGTTGGATCTCCATGTTTTTATTATCCCTCCGTCTTGGCAACCGCAGTAGTCGCAGGTGATGGATATTTGTAAGTAGTGTCGGGCGAAGTACGAGCGTTCGTCGTTGCTAATTAGCGACCGGTGGATAATGGACGATGTGCAACGCTATTGAAGCCATTGGCGTGGATCGCGACGAGTTAGCTCTTTGTCGTTGATCTTTCGGCCCATAGTTTTGTTGTTGAGAAAATAGTTAGGTACGGCCCCCTTGGATACCTGGGGAGGAGATGAGCCACAGCCCGACAAGAAGCCGAAATTTCTCGATTCTCCATTTATTTGTTCTAGCGGAAGCCTGCAAGATAATGGCATCTGGCACTTTGGCCGTCGTGATTGTAAATAAGATTTGGTTGCTAGAGAGATTTGCTACATCCTCACAAAGAAGCCAACGTAGCACCGGCGGTGGGGGGCTAACTGAGTGGGTGCATCGCGCATTTCAGGCGGAATTCTGTAGCGAAGCTTCGTGTACATTAGTCTTTGGTAGACCGATGATAGATTCTTCATGAGACGTCTTGGACTGAAGGTTGGCTTTTCCCGCTCAGGATACCTAGCTATGCATCAGCCGGTCAAGGATTCTCCAGATTTCAGATGACATGGACATGTACTCCGTACGTGCGCAAGAAAGGTTCATCGCGAATCTATTCTCGACCCTTGACCAGTGGCGCTTGCTGGACTCCAGAATTCAAAGCTCTTCCTACTCCTCGACTGCGTATCTGTACCGGAAATCCAACAGACAATAGGGGTAACTAAGGTTGCAATAACCTTCGTCACCCGCCATCCGTGATCCATCTCTACGGCGATTGTCCATGGTAACCGTGCAACGTCGCTTACAGCCGAATCTCGTATGGGCGCGTGATGTCAACCATAGTAGCGCACGGTGGCTGCAGCACGGTACTAAGGGCAGCCGAAATCAACAATGGACGGTTGGACTCTGGAGACTGGCTTTTGAAGTCTGGAGAGAACCCAAGCAAAAGGGGAACCATGGTTCAATGGGAAAAGGCTAGTTGATGGTGCCGAATGTCATCCCCATTCCCACTTCAGCGAATTGAGATGTGAGGTGACGACGACGACAGCCGAGGGCTACGACGACGATAGCGACGAATCGATAGAAACAAAGGGGACCAATCGACCAGCCTGGCGAGTGGAAATAACGTCGTCGACATTTTCGGAAAAGGCGCTTGACAGACGGTTAATTGCCTCGCAGTGTCGAAATTGAGCAAAGCTGCCAAAAGCCAGCCCATGGTTAGTGGGCGCAGGAATTGGTTTACCTACGCATGGTTCTTTAATTGTGCCAAGGCAATCTGATTCGACTGGGTGAGGGCCAGAGTCGTCGACCAAGACCAAGAGGGAAAATCGAGCCGTCAATTGACACGGCGACAGGTTGCCTGTGTTGTATCAAGGACAGGGTTCTGACCAGGATAGTATGCGTAGTGTCTTTGTAGGAATAATTCATTCGACTGTCGCATGCAATGGCAGCGGTGATCGTCATTCGGCCGACCGGGCTTGTCGAGTTAGAGCTGGGGTGACCACGAATATTTCCGCAGCGCTGCATGTTTGTCTGGGGATGATATGATCCATTCGTCCAATTGTGCAGCGAGAATATGGATACAGAGGCCGATCCAGAGAGAAAAAAGGGGGAGAAGGAAAATGCGGACAAGGCGGTGGCTTGACACGCAACGGCTATGGTTGGCGGTAATGGCTTGTTTCGCCAGTTGGTTTGTCTCGCATTAGATCCCGTCGTATATGTGCGCTGCGGTTGTTTCCTACAAGTACCGTCAGTTATGTTTCTGATGTTGCTTCTTTTTCTGCCCAGAAGCATTGCATGGACGCATGATGGGACGAACTGTTCTTGCCTGAGGCGAGCAGAAAAAGAAGGATGCCAATTAAGAATTGATGGGACGACAGCTGTGTGGAAGACAAAAGGCGACGTCGCGGCGGGAGCGTCAAGCAGTGTGACCGGGACGTCCCTGAAAGGGCCTCGTGGGAGAGTGTCACAGCCCGATTGATTTTTTGTGTGTTTTTTGGGCGCAGTGCTAGGATGAAGGCACAAAGTACGAGCGCATCCATGAATATTTGCCGTCTACTTGGACAAGTTGGCCCCATGGATGATGAAAATGGCAAATGAAGGCAATATGCTTCCCATGCCTTGGACCCGGATTTCCATCCATTACCAGCTGCTTTTTGGGTCTTTTGGCCAGGAAGGAACCCAAGATGGAGGAAGGGGGCCACGCCTGTTGGCTGCAGACGTCTTCCACTTTCCTCGTACGACACAATGCAGACATGCCAAAAAGAGGGGGATTTGCGCCTTCTGGATCCGCCGTGCGCATGTCCATGTGTCCCCCGGCTTCGCATGCAGCACCTTGTGGTCCTCTGTCCCTCTCTGTTCCTCCAGAGTCCACTGAAGTTGGTCGTGGGCTCGTGACTGGGATCCTTGGGAAGGAATTATGGGATCCCGCGGGCAAGTGCGAAGCAGCGAGTTCAAGATGGAAGGAGCAATCAGCCAAGCACCCAATGGAAGTACAGTATCCGTACCTTGCCTTTCTGTGTACGGAGTAATAACAGCAATTGAACGCGAAGCGATAGCGCAGGTCAAGGCCCAGGTCCAGGTCCAGGTCCAGGTTCAGGTCAGGGCCCGGTCTGGGTGCTTGTGAATGTCAACGTAAAAATAAATGGATCCAACGAACCACTAATTCTAATTTGCCGCTAGTCCCATCCAGGCAGATAACCCCCTTTCCTTCCCCTTCTGGGGCAGATGCACCGCTTTGCTGCGAGGTACGGCGGGTGCCCTCGTAAGCGTGTGTCTGTACCTGCAGCCCGCGGGCGGGATCGTCTGGCCTTGTTTCTGATAATAGCGCCTGGGTGTGGTCTTGGGCAGGCTTGGGGGGCCCTGGGTGTAGTCTTGGAGGCCCGGGTGGCTTGTACGTCTTGTACCTGGCGTACCTGGCGTACCTGCCGCGCCTGGTCTTCCTAATTTCCCAAGGGATCCACGACATGGCCTCTTTACCCTGTTTTCCTCCACTTCACCCTCTCCTTCTCCCTCTTCTCAGTTTCTCCTGGTCATCGAGCTCTTCATTCTCGTTCACCGCGTTGATTCCCAACTAGAGAGTTCGCTCTCACTTACACTCTTTTGAATCCGAATCAGCCAACACTCGTTATCCTGTAATCACCTAGTACGGTTTTCTCCGTTTCGATCACTATCAACACCGACAAGACACGCCATACATCGAAACGATTCTCGATTCTGACTGCACTACTCGCGAGAAAAGGGTGAGTGAGTGGTTCTCACGGGGGAAAACGCCTCCCAATTGGGGGTCTACACGAAAGCGATTCAGGGCAAAACGCGCAACACGGCATCGCAAGAGGAAACACCACCTTGCGCGCGGCATTGAAAGCGATGAACAAAATAGCAACTGCATCGTTGATGTTGTAGTTGTTATTTTTGCAATTTTCAAGCTCATTCATTGCCTGCTGATGCAGCGTCTCACCGCCCCCCTATGAAGCGCCTTTTGTGTACCCTCCAAAGCAGTTGAGGTTCAAGTTGCGCTAATACGTACTCTAGAATATCAACATCAATCGACAATATGAGGTCCATCATCAACCTCGCCATCGCGGCATCCCTCGCCGCCGGTGTTGTTGCTCAACCCCACAACCACCGTCACCGCCACGTCAAGAGGGACACCGCTCTCGATCAGCGCGACGTTGTCGTCGTGTACGAGTCTGGCCCGACCGTGGTCGCCTACGAACTAGGAGGAAAGCCTATTAGTGAAGAGGAGGCCAAGAAGGGCATCGCCGATGGCCTGTTCGTTGTCGTTGGCGAGACTACCCCGTCCTCGACCCCTCTGCCGTCGGCCTCAACCTCCAAGGCCCCTGTGGCTTCCACTTCTAAGGACGCTCAGTTCTTCGAGGCCAAGGTTGCGAAGTCTTCCACCTCGTCCACCCCGACGCCTACCCCGACCCCGACTCCTACCCCGACCCCGACCCCGACGCCTTCCTCCACCTCTACCCAGGCGCCCGCTTCCACCAAGGCCTCGAGCGGAGGCTCCAGCAGCTCCGGAGGCAAGGGCCTGACCGCCGAGTTCCCTAGCGGCACCATTCCCTGCTCCCATTTCCCCTCCGACTACGGTCCCGTTCCCGTCGAGTATCTCGGCACTAACGGCTGGACGGGTATCCAGAGAACCCCCAACTACAGCGTCGGTGACGCCGCTATCTCCTTCATCGAGACTGCCGTTGCCTCTGATGGCGGCTGCTCCAAGAACTCCTTCTGCTCCTACGCTTGCCCCGTTGGCTACCAGAAGACCCAATGGCCCACCGCTCAGGGCTCGACCAAGCAGTCTATTGGTGGACTTTACTGCAACGCCGATGGCTACCTCGAGCTCTCCCGCCCTACCAAGAAGACCCTCTGCGAAGAGGGAGCCGGCGGCGTCTTCCTTCAGAACGACCTCGACGACATCTCCTGCGTCTGCCGTACCGACTACCCCGGTACCGAGTCCATGGTCATCGCTACTGTTCCCCAGCCTGGCCAGCAATTGCCTCTCACCAACCCCAACTCCGCCGACTACTACGTCTGGAACGACAGCCCTACCACCGCCCAGTACTACGTCAACAAGCTTGGCTACGCTGTCGAGGATGCCTGCGTCTGGAAGAGCTCCAAGGATCCTCTTGGAGCTGGTAACTGGGCTCCCGTCAACATTGGTGTTGGCAAGAGCACCGACGGCAACACCTACATCTCCATCTTCAACAACGCACCAACATCGACCGCCAAGCTCGATTTCAACATTGAAATCACCGGCGCTAACAGCAAGTGTGCGCTTGTTGACGGCTCCTACACCGGAGGTGGCACTGGCTGTACTGTAAGTTTACCTACTTTGGCGCATGGACGTCGTCCCTTGACTAACACGCAATTCCCAGACGGCCATTTCCGGCAGCGCAAAGGCCATCATCAGATTCTACAAGTGAAGAGCCCATGACCAGTAGTTACCTGGCGTGGATGTTTTTGCTTTTGTTTCTCGTGAATACCTCTAGAGTATCGACGGATCGGCACGACACGTCCGCTTACGATCTTTGATGGCCTTTTTCTAATTTGTGTGCATAATTTTCATGCTGTGGAGACGTTTGGAGAGGAAAAGTTGGAGCGATGGATAGAGGACGTGGTCAACAGCCTAAGGGCGCAACTGGAATTACCCCGGAATCACGACAAGCCGAGACAGTCATCTCCTTTCTATCGGCGAATTCGGCCCATGTCAACTCGAGCCACGACCTGCGACGATGCCTTACGATTACCTTCATGAGGTGTTTTCTTTCGCGGTTGGGTGCCGACGTTTTGCCGCAAAACAAAGTACAACAGGAAACATTTAGTAGGGGGTTAGAGATGGTGGATACTCGACTCGGGTAGTTTGCATAAGAATGGATGGGAAGATTTGGGGAAGGGCAGAGTTTGAACGGCAGCCCTCGCCGGCACATTGTCACCATGACGCATCGTTTTCTTTGTCTATCACTGTTTGCCTTACTACCGTGCCTGTATTGATTTCGCGGGTGGTCTCATGACGAGCGTAGCCCGCGGGCGTTGGGGGTACCCTTATAGCCGCTTCGTGTATTGCCGACGCAACGTTAGTTTTTAATTTTACTGCTCACGACTATCCTACTTTGCCCTCGCCAACCAAGGTTGGTTGGTTTAGCATCCGTAAGAGCCAAAGTCATTAGGATGGATCTCATGGCGAAGTTGGGCCTCGGGGCACAGGGGCAGACGTCGGCGGACAGGCAGACCTCACATCCGCCGCTGCCCTCTTCTCCGACGCCGTTCCGGCTAGAGGCCGTCAGACGGGGGTTGCCCTCACCGCATGCGGTTAGATGACAATCGTGGGCATACCGTCTACAGGCCGCCGCAGTGGTAGAAGCAGATCGTTAGACAGGGATTTTGAAGTCTTTACCAAGCCACGATAGGTTCTATGGTCCCAACTCGAAGCACATCGACGATTGTATCAAAGAACATTTGCTTCATGCTTGTACGATTGATGTAGAATGTTGAAAGGTGCGACTTTTCAATTCATCTTCTTTAGCCGGCCTTACCGCTGACTTTGGCACCGTTGCTTACTGAGTTCGATTGGGTTAGAGGGTGATGCGGAGATGGTGTCGACAGAGGTGGCTAAGTCGTCTTATTATGTAAATTGGCGCTGATTTGGGATTTACGACGAATACCATCTCCGACTAGCAAGAGTCACTTGCATCCAGTCCTTGTGTTCATTCCTCTGTCGTTAACTTGCCGCATGCTGGGTAGGCAGTAGGTAGGGAGGTATTTGGCAAACCAAAGAATTATGTATGAAGGGCCAAGAGGATTTTCTTCCGTTTTCATCTACGCCCTTTTGTGAACCTTTTCTACCCTTTTTTTTTTTTTTATTGCAACGGCATGCGTTGGCTGAACTTGGTTTTCAACGGGTCTTATAGACATCAATTACAATCAGCTTAAGCTTCAGGTGACAGCTCGCATACAAAATTGCCCATCAAATCTGACATGATCCATCGTGTGGGGTGGCTTCTTTAATGATTAACCCCATTCCGTCGCTCCCATTCCCCGAGCGGCCGGGCCCATGCGGTTCGGTTCACGGCGGCAGATCGGGGACGGTATGTGGTGCCCACCGGAGAAGGAGGGCCACATGACGGTTCAATTCCTTCATCCAATTTCCATTCTCTCCTCTATGCATGCGGTCGTCTTTGGTGGAAACAGCGTAACAACGGCTGTGCAAGACTTCCAGACCGAGGCAGTTAGGAGGAGGCAAAGGGCCTTTTCTACGACGTTATTCTTTTACATATTGTCTACTCTGCCCCCGCTTCCCTTGCCTTGCCGTGCTTGCCCATGATGCCTTACTCCAAAAAAGCATTGGGTCTTTCTCTGTGAACCAAGCCCAACTGCATCCCATTCATCCGCGTGTCCTGCCCGAATTCTTCAATTTGCAACCTCGAACCCCTCCTTCCGCCCAATCGGCGTTTCCCCGCATCGCCACCTGATCACTCGTCTGTTGGAGATTTTCGCTACTTTAACCTCGACACCCTTCCTACATTTCCTTCGAGCATAATTTAAATCTTCAAATATCCTTACCTTGTCGATATCTTTGCTCGCTGTTTCGTCTTCACGATATTCTCCTATAGTACCCTAGTTCCAATCCACGGGGAACGACTGTGAGAGTGCTGCCGTTCCTTCCATAACTCTGGGGTTGTCGTCAATCCATCATTGTATGGTGTGCCCCGCGATTCCGGCTGAATGGGGGGAAACACCAAAGACTACTACACTCACTACACTACACTACGTCAGAAAATTTCTGCAGGACATGCAGCAAAGCCTTGGTTCTCGATCCGACAGATAAAGAGTCTTATCTCGACTGAAAAGTCTGAAAAATTCCGCTCTGCAGTGGTATCTTGTTCTATCCTACCTTGCCTTACCCCATTCGATCGAGTCTCGCCAACCTCTCTGCCTATCGACGGATTGTCATTGGCGAACCGGAGCTCACTGGGCTAGCTATCTCAAGCTCGGCTCCACCTCTTGACCTCAGCTCGACTTCCTCGTCGAACCCATTTCTTGGCGGCTGTTTTCTTTAACAGTTGCTCGTTGATATTTTTATTGGCCACTGGCTCTCGTTCTCATTTTACTCACTGGCAACTCACTCACGAAGAAACATCGACAAACTGCTCAGCCACCATGTCTTTGAGCCGTGTGGCCTCGGTGGAAACTTTCCAATTCCTCCCCCAAGCCCAGGGATCGAGACGAGGCAGCGATGCCTCGAGTATAAGGGCGGGACGTCTCACGTTCAACCCTCTTCCTGACGAATGGGACCCAGCAGCGAGCAAGCCTGATACCGTGCTTGCCGTTGGCGCTTTTGAAGTTCCGCAATGGAAAAGAATTCGTACGTCGCTCGTCTCACCAATAAGCCCGTTACCTGCCGTCAAATAAGTGCCTGGCGTCGTGATACCAGGTACCTTCCCACGGAACATGTACTGATCATTTCCCGTAGTCCAAGTCGCCATCGCCGTAATCTACTGCCTCTTTGCAGCGGGTATCGCCTTTGGCTTTGCGGCATTGAAGCCGGTGCTCAAACGAGAGGGTGCTTACAGCGATGTCTGTTCCACCGACGAGTCCAATTCAACTTCCGACGATACGTGTGTTGAGATTCACCTCAATCTCATGTTTACCGTGGCAGCAGTCGGTACCAACATCGCCGCTTTGCCCGTCGGCGCCCTGCTCGACCACGCCGGTCCGCGTGTCTGTGGACTTGTCGGCAGTGTCTTCTTGATCATCGGATCAATTCTGATGGCCTATGCCAAGACACTCCCTTTTGATGGTTTTCTCATTGGATATCTGTGTCTTGCGCTGGGCGGCCCATTCACTTACATCTCGTCCTTCCAACTGTCCAATGCGTTCCCGAAGCACTCGGGCTTCATTCTCGCACTCATGACTGGGGCTTTTGACGCCTCTAGCGCCTTGTTCCTGGTCTACCGCCTCATCTTCCAAGCATCCGAGGGTACATTTGGCCATGAGAAGTTTTTCAAAGTGTACCTGATCGTTCCGGTCTTCATTATTGTCGCCCAATTCGCGTTGATGCCCAAGCAGTCATACAAGACAGTGGGAGAGCTGGTCGAGTTGCAAGAGGAGACCGCGGCCGCGAACGAATCAGACCCGGACCCGTACGACGACCAGATTGACGAGAATACGGCTCTTCTGCGCGAGGAGCGCCGACACCGCGAGTCTGTCGTTGCCGATGTAGAGCAGTTGCTGGGCACTCAAAAGGTAGACAAGCAGATCCGCCAGGAGAACAAGAACGAGATTTCGGGCGTCTGGGGCGTGATGCATAACCGCTCAGCCCTGCGCCAGATCGCCTCGCCTTGGTTCATCCTCATCTGCCTCTTCACCGTCATCCAGATGCTCCGCATCAACTACTTTGTCGCCACCATCCGGGCGCAGTATGAAGTCATCTTTGGCGACGTGGGCAAGGCCATCGAGATCAACAACTTTTTCGACGTCGCCCTCCCCGTGGGCGGCATCCTCTCCATCCCCTTTATCGGCGTCCTCCTCGACCACACCAGCACCGTCACCGTCCTGACGGCGCTCGTCACCATCGCCACCACCATTGGCGTGCTGGGCGTCCTCGACAACATGGGCGCGGCTTACATCCAGGTCTGCCTGTTTGTGCTCTACCGCCCCTTTTACTACACCGCCGTGTCCGACTACAGCGCCAAGGTGTTTGGCTTTGAGACGTTTGGCACCGTGTACGGCACCATTATCTGCCTGTCGGGCCTCTTCAACTTTTTGCAGTCCGGGCTGGACGTCCTGTTCCACCAGACGTTTGGCGGCGATCCCGTGCCCGTCAACGTCATTCTGCTCTCGGCCGGCCTCGCCGTCGGTATTGCGCTGGTCGGGTACGTGGCGCTGAAGGCGAGGGGGTTGAAGCGTAAAATGTTGGAGCAGGAGGCCGAGGCGTCTGTTCAATTTCACAACTAGGGTCTGTCGAGGGAGGGGCTTTCCCTAAGATTCACTACGGCTTTCTGGTATGACTTCCTGCGTTGGTTGTTTGCTTCTGTGTCATGGCCTGTACGGAGTTGCGGAATCTTTCGTCCTTTGATCTGTATGAAATATTGTTACCAGCATGTACATGTTCTACTGGATATAAGCTATAAGTACAAGAATCGAAGTCATGTCCATAGTAGTCCTTCATAGCAGCCACTCATTCCAGGGCCCTTCGGTGAACATCTCTCACATGATCTCCCCCCGTTTTACTCCTCATCATCCCCCTCATCGACAGTAGGCGTCTCAAACCTACCTCCCGTAAGCCCCAACCCGCAAAACTGGCCCCATCCATCAACCTGCTCGCTCGCGTGCTTCAGCACCTCGCTGAACCCCTCGTTGCCATTCTTATTGACGCAAAAGTAGTTGTAATCAACTTGGCTGATCGAATCGTCGTCCCGCACGCTCGTGGGGTACTCGATCTGGAAAACGGGCTTACCCGCCGCGATGTACGGCTGGAAATCCGCGCAAAACGGCTCCACCTCGTCCGACGTCCTCGTACCCAGACACGTCTCGAGCACCGCGAAATCCGCCACGGACGCGAGCTGCGGCGCAATCGTCGGCGCATTCTTCTGCCCCAGGAGGAGCTTTCTTCCAGAACCGGCCGTGCTGTCGAGCGTGTGCGCGTGGGCCGCCAGCGTGGAGATGTATGTGGCGTAATCGGACGGTTGGAGGTTGAACCCCGTCGGGTCGTCGCCGTCTTCGGCCCAGGCGTCAATGTTGTCCGGGTCGACGGCGTCGCAGCCGATGGAGGCGGCGCGCTCGAGGCGGGCCTTCATAAGGGTCACGACGCGGGCGTCTTTGATGTTGAGGTAGCGCTCGTCCGTGTAGGGCGGGTTCAGGGGCGAGCCGATGACGGCGGAGGGGAAGGAGTCGAGGTCTTCGTCCCAGTCTTGGAGGGCGCCGCCGTTGAAGTAGCACATGACAATTTTTCCCGCCGACTTTTTTTTGGTGCATGTTAGCATGTCTTTGTGGTGGCTCATACTGAGTCTAAGGTCAGTAGGCATATCGTCTCACCTTGAGAGTGGGAATGATATTAGGGTAGTCAACGGCGTGCTGCAGGTCAATGTCCCAGACGTCGGCGTTGGCGGGGACGATGTCGGCCGTGCTCCCGGCCAAGATGGGGTGATGGAGGACAATCTGGAAGCTGACGCCGGGCTTCCACTTGCTATAGTCCACGGCGCGGGGCGCGAGCGGCGCGGCGAGGGCGAGGATGCCGGCCGGGGCTCCGGCCAGGAGGGCGAGTTGTCGTGACGAGACCATTTTTTTTGGTTGTCCGATGTGAGGGGGTTGAGGGATCAAGCGTGGGAGTCTTGATTTGACGCGTTCCTACGGGTACCTTAGCAAGCTCTTTCTATCTACCAAGGGAAGGAAGTGCAAAGGTTATTATATACATTTCAAATCTGACTTATATGAGGGTCCGGGGGCGGGAATCCCAGTGCGAAGCGGGACAAAGTCGATATAAAGTGGCCTCTCTCCCTCCAGGCAACTAGTTGAAAGGATGCAGGGCCAAGGGAGCGTGGCATCGACGAGCGAAACCGTCGGTACGAACAACCCAAATACAGCAAAGGACGACGTGCTTTGCGTCAATTAAGCACCAGTGAGGAAGCCGATTGGCGCGATCCCGGGCTCCTCGCATATTGAAAGAGCGAAGAAGACAGATACTTCTTGGCCTTGATCTAAATGCTGACCGGTAGCCATAATATTGGTCCAGATGGGGGTGTAAGACAGCAAAGACGGCTCATGGGTTGAGGGTGACATCGTCCCGTATTTCACTTTTTCTAGTCGTCTGGTGTCGAGGTAAGGTAGAAATCGATCCCATTTCTTTCCTTGATGGTAATCTGAAGAAACGTTTTCTAACCAAAATTTGTTTGCAAACGTGCAATGCAGAAGAACGCAAACTTGAACCCCAAAAACATTTCCTCCTCCACGATGACCACTCAACCACCTTCATCCCCTTTTCTCTCTACCTACTTTCCCAAAAGAACGTTCCGTCGGGGTTGTCGTCGCATGATTGAGAATCTTGAAATGGGGATTAAGCTTAAGGGTGCTCATCATACTGTTGCTTCCCATTGGACAATTGGTCAACGTGCCCGGCTTGGATCTAGCCAAAGTTGGACGTAGCGGCCGAGATGCGTCCTGATCCGAGGCCCCGCTATCTAGGCAGCCGCACAATGTCGAATGAGAGACGAGCGGGTTGCTCAGGTTGGTTCCATTATTCTATATTGCAACGCACGATGGGTTACCACAATACCAAGTTTGTCCTGATCGTTGATGTAGGATGGTTCTTCCAAGCTGGAGAGTTTCCTTCATTGTGTCCGGTTCACACATGAGCGGCCCCCTTGGGGATCGTGTTTACAGATGACATGTTCTGATGCAGCGGTAATGGCTTGGTCTTTTCAAGGACAAATACGGGACTCAATTGGTACTCGTTTGATGCTTCCTAGTAGTGAGGTACCGGAGGAGTAGCTCAGAACCAACCTTACGACTGTCCTTCTTCACCATTTCCTTCGCAAAGTTCCCGACTGGCCCGCTCTGACGTTGACGTTGCCAAGTACTAGACCTTGAAATCATTCCTACACCCTAAACGCCGCCTGGTATCCACGTACTCCCATGTTGCGATGGCATGCCACTATGTCCTCATCAATACTCCATGGCTTGTCCAACCGCCTCTTCTCGTTGTTTCCTCACTGCGTCGTTCTCAGCCTCTCGCTGTTCTTTGAGTGCTGCTTCGACGTCGTCTCTTAGACCACCCAGGTCTGGGGGATAGTCTGGTATTGTACACTCGGAGCTGCTTGCACGAATCTCAGCTGTTCTGTCACATGCTGCAATACTTCATCGAGTTTCTTTCGTGTGTTGCGGTTGACGCGCGGCTCCCCGAGAATTTGTTCCAGTGTTGGGAACAGCTCCTCATACCTAAATTGGTCTCTCCAAGGAGCGTGTGTCGGAATAATGGGATCAATCTTGTCCTGGCAGCCGATGGCGATGCTGGTCTCGAAGGCCCAGGCGCGGGCAACATTGCGGGGAGTGTACCCGCCGCCACCAAAGAGAATCATGGGCACTCCGAATGATTTGCAGAACTCGACGCAAGCGCCGTGGCCTTGGACTTGAAGATTGAAACGTCCAAGGCGATCTCCGGCGAGAGAGTCGGCACCACACTGCAGCGCAATAGCGCTAGGTCGGAACTTCTCCATGCATTTGCCAATGACGTTCTCAAAAAGCCACTTGTACTGGTCGTCAGTGACGCCATCGTTCAGAGGAACGTTGATGGCATGGTGGGCGCCTGGGTTATGCTCGTTCTTAGGACCATTATCGTCCAGTCCGCCGGTACCAGGGAAGAAGTTGAGAGGGTCGTATTTGTGAAATGATACCGTCATAACGCGGTCGGTGGAATAGAATGCTTCTTCAACACCATCTCCGTGATGCACATCAATGTCGATGTAAAGGACACGAGGATAGCACCGTAGTAGCTGCAGAATGGCTAGGACGATGTCGTTGATGTAGCAAAATCCAGACGCCTCGGCCTTTTTCGCGTGATGCAAGCCGCCTCCCCATGATACGGCAATGTCGGACTGGTTGGAACATATCTTGCGCGCAGCATCGAGAGATCCACCTGCTGACATGGAACAATAGTCGTAGAGGCCTTCGAACAGAGGACAGTCGGAGCCGCCCAGATTAAACTTAAGATCGGGGTTAGCGTTCTCAACGTCCCTAGGAACAGGCTCGGGCAGGACGGTGCCCAGGAAGTCTAAATAGTCGTCCGAGTGGAAATCGTTGAGCTCCTCGTATGTGGCAGCGCGGGCGATGTAGTTGTCCATGGCGAAGGACATGCCGTAAGAATAAATGAGACTCTTGGAGAGCGTAAGTCTCCAGGGTTTCATAGGATGAGTCTGGCCGAAGTGGTGCTTCTCCATTTCGGGATTGCAATGGAAAGAGACATTGTAGCCTTTTGGTCGTGTGATGCCAGACTCCTCAGCTATCCGCTTGCATTTGGCAAAGTACTTTGCATTGTCAAGCTCACTAGCTTGGCCGAGAGGCTCGTATTCCTCAACGATGTCGTCCTTGTCGGTCCTGTGAGGTAAGTAATTCGGCTTGGGGACGCGAAATCGGTACGCGTCTGTGTCCATGATGGCAAGCGACGGGTTTCCCGCCGGAGCGGCCGGGATGAAGCTCACGATGAGTCTCGATTGTTGTCGAAAGTGAATGGTGGGGTCCTTGGCTGGCCGATTGAAATGAGTTTTACTCAGCAATGGTGGAACAGATGGCTGGTAATGCTGGTTGAGTCAGAGTTGGTCGCAAGGGGCAAATCGTGGCGTTTTTCGATATTTGTTGCCGTCCTACTGAGTTGGGGTGCAATTGGTGGTATCTGCGTCAATTTCCAAAGCTGTCCGTGAGGTTGTTGGTTGGTGATTCGGCGTCGATTCGTGATGTATTTGCGAGGTTTCGTTGGAGCGCTGGCTTCATAATTGGATAGTACTTTCATGTGGCAGGCGACGGGGGACTCAGAAAGCTGGTACCTCAGGTGGGCCCCTGCTAAGGTAAAGCAAGGTTTCCTTCCATTGGAAAGACCAGCCACCTTGGGCGCATTTGGGGACGCTTTCCCCAGAAGGGTTGAGACACACCAGCCTCACTGTGGCTTGACCTTCTGGTATCTGCAAGAAGTCTCGAGAAACCCTGTCCACCCCAAACCCACCTTTCAGTACCTTACGCTCCGCGAATGCAAACCTTCCCTCATAAGTTGTTCTATACAGTCACATCCTCTCATGGATACCTTATGAGGAACAAGTTCATGCGAAGTTGGTTTCTTGAGGCTGTAATTCTCCTCGAACAAATCCAAAGATACTCGAGAGGTACCTGCGACTCTGCGAGAGACATGGAAATTGGACCCAATCAAATGCCTCCTGATCCAGTATCCGAAAGGTGCCCAATCAAATCCAAATGACTCAAGGTCCGCCTGAGCACATGGGCCTGCAGCCTGAACGCACCGTGGCACCTCCAGTAGCATAGAAACCGGAGGCTAAAACTCCCGTCTCCGCTCAGCTCGTCTCGCAGTCAGTGGACGGTGCCATGACCAGCTGGACCCTCGCAAACTTGTCCACCCACCGGCGAGACTGACACCACCCGAATCCAACTGGAACTGGACCACCACGCTGCACAAACGCGATTCCAGCCTCTTCCACCCCACATCCACGCGCATCCGAGAAAATTTCATCTCTGTGTCCGTATTGAGCAGGGGAATTTTCATTACTCCGTGAATAAAATACATTCCGGGATCACGAGCCAGGCCCCGTACGTCGCCTCGCCTCGCCTCGACTCGATCATTCGACGCTCGACTCGCCTGCCGCAGCTGGTGAGAAATCGGTCATAGAGAGCTCTCTTGTCGATTCGACGCCCCCTTCTCCTTCCGGTCTCCAGTTCCTTTTAGGTGAGCCAAGCTAGTCACTTTATTCGTTGCGGAGGATCGTGGCCGGGATCTCTGTTTATCAAAGTCTCTCCTGTCCAAGACTCCTCTGTCATCGCCTTCCCAAAGGGCAAGTGCAGCCAAGGCATATATCACCAGTGGTCCTCTGCTCTCTCGGTCAGCCCACCCCGTCGGCGGACCTGCCGCCCCGCCCCGCCCCGTCACCTTGCGTGCCACTATTCCCACCTACCGCCGGCTTTCTGCTCTATACCTTACACTCCACATAGCCTCTATTCTGCTCTGCCCCGATCCCTTCTACCATACATAGTCCCCCTCTTAATCTCGATGACTTTGGTTCACGAGACCTTTGTTGCTTCCTCTACCTCCCTTGACCTATCATCGTCCTCCGTCTCTCGTCCTCGCCCTCATCCTCGTCCTTGTCTCTAGCAAGAACCCTGCGTTTGGCTGCATGTAATTTTGCTCGCGATCCGTCTCTGTGGTTCTTGCTGGGCGTGCGCCGTTTCGTCTGCCTGCTAGAATAGATCCCAGCCTCTTGCTTGCTCAACGAAGGGTACATATCTATACTGGGACCGTCGTTAACACGCAATATGCCTAGAGACGATCTGTCCATCGACTTCGTCAGGAGGATGCCGACGGCCGAGGCTCTCGACCCGGCCATTATCCTCGACGACTGGCTCAACCGCGTTCAGAACCTTCCAGAAGAGATTCGCTTCTTGCAGGACGAGATCGCCGACAGGGACCGGCAGTACGGCGACTGCGTCAAGCTGATTGAGGACCGCGATGGAAAGATACAGAAATGGATCAGGGCGAACGGCAGTCACGAGACGAACCCGCGCGAGCAGGGCATGCGGTCTCAGATGCGCGACAACTTCATCCGTGCCGACCAGCTCGCCACGGAGAAGATCGCTCTGACGCAGAAGCTGCAGATCATCATGGACAAACACCTCCGAAATCTCGATCAACACATCAAGATGCTATACGACCGCGCCGAGCCCGGCTTCAACGAACCCGACGAATGCCCTTCCCTTATTCGGCCCAGCGCTGCGAACCACTCTGCCCCGTCAGGCCGATCCATCAACCCCGCGAGCCACCTCATCGCCTCCGCCATCACCGCGACGCCCTTGAATCCGATCGTCAACTCGTCGAGTCCGGTCACGGCCCGCGCGGGAAACCCCCAGGTTCGCAACGCCCAATCCCAGCAGCACGCTTCCTCGGCCCCCGCGACGCCTGCTGCCAGCATGATAATGAATCGCCAGGCTCGGGAGAGTTCAGCAGGTCCGGGGAGCGGCGCGCCAAAGAGAGGGCCGCGGTCTGTCTCCGGATTAGGTGCTCTTCCTGCGACGTCGAGCAATTTGGCCAGGCACTCGTCACTGGGTCCAGGCACACCGAAGGGATCCACCCCCGGACCGAACGGCACGGTGCGAGCGGGCAGCGCAGGGCCCCGATCATCGTCCACAAAGGCATCGAGCGTCTCAGGCATACGGAAAGGGACGCCGAGCGGCGCAGGCCGGAAAAAGCCGATCAGCAGCAATAAGTCGTCCCTGTCCCGCGTGAAAAAGGCCGGAAGCCGCAACTCTCCAGCTTCGGCGGCAGATAGTGAGCTGTCGGATGCCGAGAGTGGAAGCGGCGACGACGGCGACCACCGCAGCCGCGTGGACCGCACGAGTGGCACCCCCGCGCGCGACGGCAAGGACGGCGACGGCGACGACAGCATACTCGACGCCGAGGATGACGAGGCTGGCGACGACAAGAAATACTGCACGTGCCAGAACGTCAGCTTTGGCGACATGGTGGCGTGCGACAATGAGGATTGCCCCTACGAGTGGTTCCACTGGTCGTGCGTCGGCCTTAAGAGCGAGCCGAACGGGACGTGGTACTGCCCCGTGTGTACGGAAAACATGGAGAAGCAGAAGAAGAAATAAGGCTTCATACTGGGAAGATGACGAGACGGCGGTGATTCGAGCGTTTATACCCCTTTTTGGAGGTTAAGTGGGCGGCGTTTGGTAGCTTTGATTATCAGGTTGACGGTCCTCGCGAACGAGAGACCCAATCACCGAAGAAGGACTAGGCGTTTTGGGTGAAGTCAATGTCATGGCTGGCGTACTACACGCGCAGAATCCGGAACAGACACAATCTTCCTTCCTCACATCTGTCGTATACTTCGACTCCTTGCGATACGAGTACTAATGGCAAAAAAGACAGATTACACTGAACCCTGCATTGTGTGACTTCATTGGCGAGCTGGATGATGTAGAATACTATCTATAGTACCTTACGGTCAATGGCATGTCAAGATTGGTTGGCGGGTGACACAATAGGATGCCGGTCAACGAAAGACTAGCCGCCTTCTTGTAACCACTAGTATTATTCTTATCACCATACTATTGTTTCGAAATCGCATTTCGTGAGAAAGACATAGAAAACAGAACGCAATCGCAGCAGTAGCAATAACCAGCATGGAGCGGCAAACAATTGCGCTACCCACTTGACTGGATGTGTTGTATGTTTACGGAGTACATTGGCCTGAGCTCGACGTCCAAGAGCTTAGGAAGGATGCTGAAGAGCGTAAAGTCGAATGGATGGTTGTTGCCTATCACGGCTTTTTAAGCATCAAGATCTTCCTCGAATTCAAAAAGGGCAATATATACTACCCCTTTTATCGTATTTTCTACCCAGACATCCTTGGGGACAGGCACTACTTCAAAGACTGCGTTAAGGCTAGACTGAACCTCGAAGACGGTGATATCGAGTCAATAACAGACCAGCTCACCTCGATACGCTTCTCATTATACTCTAGCTGCTTCTCATGTATGCTACCCCAACGTCGCGATTTCTGCACGAAATACTTTACCACAATTGAAGGCTGCAACGTTGGTCAGTTTATCAAAGTTCGCCGCTTTTATACTTTACTGCTTCTCGATCATCTAGCAACTGCGTCCTTTGGGGGTTCAACTTCTGGGCGTTGTGGTGTGGTCTGGGCTTCCTCCCCTCCCCCCACGTGGGACGCATCAGAGAGCCTCATTTGATGGGGCGGCCTTGTCTGCGATGCAGTCCAAGTGCAGATACGGACTGAGGCTTCCCGTCCGCCGCCTGTTCTATTTGTGGTTGCGGCCCCTGGTGATGACATTTGGCTCATTGTTTCGTTTCATTACTTCACTAACCACCCCGGTGGAGGTTAATCAGCGCAACCAGGAACTTGCAACATATTGCTTATTAGACAAGGATGAGTATGGGCAAAAGAGTTCGAGATCCGAGAGGAGAATGCCATTATTGAAAATGGCGTCAAAAAGCGCAAATTGCGCTTACATAACACGTTGAGAAACATATGTGAGAACAGGGGTCATTTTGCGTGACAGCCGACGGCGTCCTGTCCGACCGGGCTGAATGGACGCCCGCGAGTTTGGCTTGCCGGACTGAAAGAGTTAGTACAAGATAGTAGAGTCCGGGCGATGGCCGACAACACGTCAAAGTCTCCTTAGTTCCCTTTCATCGCGGATGGGCTACCGCCACAGATGAGATGATCGTGTCGGAAAGGGACTCTGTATCCGTGTTCTGCGAGATATCCGTCTTGGACAATCCGGCCCACAGTGTAGCAGTATGTAATCAAACTTCCGACCAGGCGGGATGGGTTTTGATGGATCCCTTCCCCTTGAGCCGGTTGGGAACTGACTAAAACGAGAAGCCAAGTGGGAATTGGCCCGCCCGGGGCGCAGATGCCGGCATTCAGGGGTTGTGTGTTTTATTTTCGGTTCAACGAACATCATCAGAAACCTGATGGTTGGATCATTTGAGAGTTTGAAGAGCGATTGTTCGGGAAAGATTCCGAAGAAGGCCGGCTTGGCTGGAAAGTCGGCTCCGGTTGTGATGAGGACTGGGGGGGCTAAAAAGTAAATGCCACGGCGATTCTTGCTTGATACTGAAGCGAAAACCCGGCCGCTTGAAGAAAAGGGCGCCGGGCTGAGCACTTTTGGTCCCGATCAATTTAGCGAAGTCGGGAAGTTCAGGGTGGTGGCAACTCCTATTGTTGAGCGATGGGCGATGAGGTGTGTGAAGCGTAGGCGAGTCCGGCCATTGAGCGTTCAGCTCGGCCGACTATCTTTCACGAATAACGCCATTGATGGAGGGACGTCGGCGAGAAAAGACGGACATCGCACCGCTTGGTCCTCCTTTGAGATGGGCTCTCAGCCTTGCTCAGCTTCCAAGTAAACATGAAAGAAGGTGCGCGACAAAGTCTTTGTGGCCTCGAGTAAGTCCGAGGAACTTGGAAGCTATTGCAATGCGAGCAGCACACCGTAACGTTTCCCCAGGCGGGGGGCGGGTTCTCTGAGGTAAAGTAGGTGAAGAAATGGGTACATCAGGTGTTGCGTCCCGCCTTATTGCAGACAAGGACTCCGCAAAGTGGTTGGGATTTTAGGGGGAATATGGTTGGAGGTACAGTAGGAGGGCAGGTCCAGCTCATCTTACAGCTGGCGAGGATGTTGGTTGGTGGGGGTGTGATATTTCAGGATATCCATTCAAGACGAGTGACTTTGTAGCGAAGACGGTTTGACTCCGCAGTAAATGGAGACTCGCACCTTTTTTTAGTGCATGCATCGCCGGGAGGTACTTGTTCGGACGGCTGTTCCGTGAAGCAGCGTGTGGGCGGCCGTGGCCGCGGACTGTTGCTGCAACTTGAGATGTAGTTGGAGATGGTGAATGGGGGCCCGAAAGATAGAACCCCATTTCTGCCCGGACGGAAGACTTTGACGATTGACCAGCATCGTGGCTCAGATACTGTTCCTGTATGCCTAATAAGCATTGGCCTTCCCGGTGTCGTCTCTGGCCTTTTCTGGAGTAGATTGGATGAAGTGAGATGGTTGGTCGCAGCGTCTTGCAGATTTGGCCGTTATCCGCACCCTTTGATGATCTGCATCTCCGTATCTGTTTATGTACCCCCAATTCTTGATAAAAACAACGACGTGCTTCCCGAGACTGCTGTTGTTGATTTTTTTTTCTCACTCTCTCCGCGCCTCCTTCTTTGCCACTTATGCGAGCCAGCTACAGCTGCAGCCGCCGCTTCTCTCGTTTAGGCGTCACTAGTCTGAAGCGCCACAGGGGTGCTGAGAAAGCCGTGGCCAGGCCAAACGCCAGTGGGTTGCAGTCGAGGAAAGGTGGACTGGAATGGCTTGGGTGAGCGATATCAGGTACGGAGCATTAGCTTCAGGGACTGGTTAGGTTGGGAAATGTTTTGGGTCTCGAAGCTTGCCTTGATTGTTCTCCTGTCCTCATATCGGAGACGGGTACGAGCAAACGAGCATTGGGTCGGAAGGAAACAAGACAGAGACAATGCCGATGTAAGTAGAAGGCGTGCTATGCTGTGTGGTGAGTGATGTACGGATATCGTGAAATAAAAACAAGCCAGCACAAGTTGAGGTGTGAAGGTAAGGTGGGATGAGGTACCTTGTACTGAGTAGAGGAGGGGTGGGATGGAAGGTACAAAGTACGTACCGACTTCGTATATGGCATCGGGTTCGAGAAGGAGGTGAGGAAGGAACCTGGAAGGCAAGGTTATTGACGGTGACTGCCCATCTCAGCACCCAGCATTTCGACCTTAGGTGTGTCGGCCATCGGGTGTCTCCAGTGACAGGCGCCCCTCCCCCCGTGCGTGGCTGTCTCCTCCTCGAACGGGGGGAACGAGATAAAATGAAAATTGGCAAATGCGAATCGACTGGGTTCCCACAGTGATATCACCGCTATAAAGCCAATTGCCCGGCCACCTCCTGCTCGTCTTTGATTCTTTTGGACGGCTCTCCTTCTTTACCTATTCGATTCCTCTTCCTCCCCTCTCCATCCCAACCAGACTCTCGACCACATTCGCTCGTTGCTGTTGCTATTGCTGTAAGTACCTCACCTGAACTCCCATGCCCAATCGCTCGCCGCCTACTTCCCCTCCAACCCTTCTTCACCCTACCGCCGATCACCGCAACCGCACTCTATCTGCCCCAACCAAGCAGATTGCAGTTCTGATCTTGCTTCCGAAGCACCTCACTTTGCCTCTCTCTGCCATTTTCGCAGTCTTGGTACCTCCCCCGCCCTCCCCCCAGCTCTCCTTCACCGCGGGAGTACCTTGCTTTCCCTCCGCCGACCTGCCTCATTCCGCACCTTGCTTTATTTTTTTCTCTCCCAAATCACATGGAGAAGCTCACAAATTACGTCAGGCTACACAGAACACTTTGAGCTACCAGCAATCTTTTCGCCGCAAATCCTACGGCGAATCCCCTGTCAATGTAGGCACTACCCCGCCGTCCTCGAAATCACCGCTTGTTTTTCTCTCTCCTTTTCCACACCATCCCTTCTACACCTTCAAAGAAAACACGATACACTAGAAATTCGCTCTTTGCTCCGGTACAATCCATTAACATTTTCTCAGTATATTCAGCTTCACACCGCGAATCGCGTTAAATATCCTTCACAATGGCTCAAGCGATCAAGAGCGCTCTTCCCACCCACCTCAAGTCCCCCCTCGGCGGTCAGGGCAAGAGCGATGAGGAGTTCAGCTCCCGCCACCACGGCAAGACGAGATCCCACATGGTACATACTTTATCCACCCTTTTCCTTCAGTGCAGCTTTGGACGGGGCATGTCGAGTACCGCGACCAGCGCCTGCTTTGTCCCGAGACAGACAGAACACGGCCTTGTGCAGTTCAAGAACCGCCACACCTGCTAGCTTGTGTCACTTCTTCCATGCCGAATACCTGAAATGTCGTACGACGCTTGGCTACTTGCTATACCTTGACGACCGCGGCTAGGCCAGTCCCAAACGGCACCGTACAGCATCGCCAATGCGTGAGGCACCAAATGCCTCCAACAACATTTGCTGGCTTGACATGGCTGAAGGAGACAAGCTGGGCGGTACGGTGTGCGCTGTTCTCTCCCCGGCCACAAGCTCCACGATGCCGGTCAGGGGTAGCAGCAAGCTGGCCACATTGGTCGCAGGGCCCCGCTGCGGATCACTCGACGATGGCTTCCAAGCATTCTCCACTTTGAGAAGCTTCCATCGCAGGACTTAGTCCCATCTTCGTGAATGCGCGGCTGACTTCAAATCCAGGCTTTCGAGAACACTTCCACCAGCGTTGCTGCTGCCCAGATGCGCAATGCCCTCACCCAGCTTTCCGAGACTGTCACCGACCCCGAGCAGAAGAAGGTACGCAGAAACATCCACTTCAGTCGTAATTCTGGGAACATAAGTTCTAATCATCTCACAGCTGTTCGAGACGGAGATGGACAACTTCTTCGCCCTCTTCCGCCGCTACCTGAATGACAAGGCCAAGGGCAACGCCGTGTAAGTGTACAACAGGAACCTGCAATACAAATGGCCTTCCAGCTGACAGTGTGATAGCGACTGGGACCGTATTGCTCCCCCCGCCCAGGGCCAGGTTGTTGACTACGAGGACCTCGCCAACTCCGAGTCCGTTCAGTTCCTCAACAAGCTTGCCGTCCTGAAGCTCAACGGTGGTCTCGGTACCTCCATGGGCTGTGTCGGTCCCAAGTCCGTCATCGAGGTCCGTGACGGCATGTCCTTCCTCGACCTGTCTGTCCGCCAGATCGAGTACCTCAACCGTACCTACGATGTCAACGTGCCCTTCATCCTCATGAACTCGTTCAATACCGATGAAGACACCGCCTCCATCATCAAGAAGTACGAGGGCCACAACGTCGACATCCTCACCTTCAACCAGTCCAGATACCCCAGAATCCTCAAGGACTCTCTCCTCCCCGTCCCCAAGAAGACCGACTCTTCCATCAACGACTGGTACCCCCCTGGTCACGGTGATGTTTTCGAGTCTCTGTACAACTCTGGTATTCTCGACAAGCTCATTGAGCGCGGCATCGAGGTTGTCTTCCTGTCCAACGTTGACAACTTGGGCGCCGTCGTCGATCTCCGCATCCTCCAGCACATGGTTGAGACCGAGTCTGAGTACATCATGGAGTTGACCAACAAGACCAAGGCCGACGTCAAGGGTGGTACCATTATCGACTACGAGGGATCCGTCCGTCTTCTCGAGATCGCCCAGGTCCCCAAGGAGCACGTCAACGAGTTCAAGTCCATTAAGAAGTTCAAGTACTTCAACACCAACAACATCTGGCTGAACCTCAAGGCAATCAAGCGCGTCGTTGAGAACGATGAGCTTGAGATGGAGATCATTCCAAACGGAAAGACCATCCCCGGTGACAAGAAGGGCGAGTCTGACATCTCCATTATCCAGCTGGAGACTGCCGTCGGTGCTGCCATTCGTCACTTCAAGAACGCCCACGGTGTCAACGTTCCCCGTCGTCGCTTCTTGCCCGTCAAGACCTGCTCTGACCTGATGCTCGTCAAGTCCGATCTCTACACCGTCAAGCACGGCCAGCTCCAGATGAGCTCCAGCCGCTTCGGTGACGCTCCTCTCATCAAGTTGGGTAGCGACTTCAAGAAGGTTTCTGACTTCCAGAAGCACATCCCTTCTATCCCCAAGATCATCGAGTTGGACCACCTTACCATCACTGGTGCCGTCAACCTCGGCCGTGGCGTCACGCTCAAGGGTACCGTCATCATTGTTGCGACGGAAGGCAGCACTATTGATGTGCCTCCTGGATCCATCCTCGAGAACGTCGTTGTGCAGGGTAGCTTGCGCCTGCTTGAGCACTAAGTGGCTTTTTTTGCAGGTTTTGTATTTTGAGCACATTCCAGTCAGATGTCACGATGCATTGAGAATCATCACAAGAAGACAATCTGGAGGCGAGGTGGAGCAGTAGAGAGAAACCAATGATCATTCCCCCCAAAAAGGCGGCGTCTGCATAAGGTATCTGTGGCAGCGGCAGAACAAACTCGATAGTATTTTAATAAGGCACCTCAAACCATGCGTGTGCAATTCGTTGACCTCCACTTGCACTTGCATTGATTATCCCCCGTCTGATCCTTGTGAATTGCCGTGGATTTTGGCATGGTCCGTCGAAGACCGTTTGTGTGTAACGATGTCGGTCTGCCGGTAACTTGAACCTGCATTTCCGTGTGGAGTGGTCCAGAACCGACTAGCAACGAGTAGCGGTGAGACAAGGAAAAAGGAATCTGCAAAGGCAACATAAGAAACACAACAAAAACAAAAATCGAGGGTGAACAATGCGCGCGGTTACATGCCGGTCCTTACTCCGGACACCACAGCGGGCGGGCGCAATCCGGGGGGTAAGGTAGGTGAGGGGGTTTCGACGTGGGATGCTGCCGCCGGATGCATGATTTTGGTGGGCTGCTGGTTTCCGACTGATAGTTGACGCCTCCACGCATTTTTGGCTTCATGGAATAGCAGCGGCATCAATTTGCATTTTGTAGGCAACAACGGGTTCACCGAAAGCAAGATTTGTTAGGTTTTTGATGCGGGCATATTGGTACTCCGTTTTACGGGCAACAGGAGGCTAAATAGTGTGGTCCACCCCCCATATAGTAGAGAGGTCTTATTCGCCGTCTTGGGTTCTTTGACAACTGTGGACGGTCCCTGCAAGCGTCCAGATCGTCGTTCTCTCTTAGCTTCGTTGATTGCTTCCCCTTTCTCGGTGACAACGACATCCATCCTCTTTTTACATTGAATACGAGATACTCCATCTCGAAACTTACTCGACAGAAACCCCTGACCCTGCCAATTGAACCAGGGAAAACACCCACCACAACCACACAACCAAACCGAAGACCATGGGCAGCCTCTCCAGCCCGGCAGCTACGGCGCTGCCGTACTGGCAAGTCAACGTCCCCACGGACCGCCGCACGGACGAGTGCCCGGAGGGCCTCCGTAACCTCTCGGCCAAGGACGTCGGGATCCTGAGCACGCCCGACGCGGCCTACAACCGGCAGACGTGGACGGAAGTCCGGCGCCTCGTCGAGACGAACCGTCTGGACCTGTTCCAGCGGGTGCCGAGCGAGCTGAGGCGGTACCGCTTGTTTATTCACCATTTGATCAAGGAGCACGGGAGTGTGATGAACTTTGTGCTGTGGCAGCGGCTTGGGTGGGAGGAGCCGTTGAAGGCGACGGAAGGGAAGAGGCCGTTTGAGGAAGAGAGAGATTATAGGATTCTGTATAATGATTGGCCGTATGGGATTGATGGGCGGATTGTGCATCTTGTTGTTTGGACAAAGTTTGAGTTGGAGGAGAATCCGGCGACGGGGGATTTGACGGAGAGGGCGAGGGGGGAGATTGATCGGTTTGTGGAGGAGACGTTCCGGGCGAAGACGAAGCCTGACACTGTGAGTTTTCATCCTCTCTTCTTCTCTGTCATGATTTGGCGGCGCCCATCCTCAGAACGGACATGCAATATGGACATGAGGGAAGCTGACGATGATGGCTAGGTTATTTGGTTCAAGAACTGGCGGAGTCTCAAGTCCGTTCACGCGGTTGAGCACTTCCACGTCATGCTCTTTGACCCGGATCCAGCGTTCATTCGGGAGATTACCAACGGGGATGTACCTCAATGTGACAAGTTCGAGGCATGAGTACTAGGAGACCAGGCGGACCTAGGGCTCGGTGAAGGGGGAGTTTGTGTGAAAATCCATAACGGCGAACAGCGCAGATCAAGGGGGAGAGATGGAACGATAGCGAAGGCTTCGTGGGCTCCTTCACCGTCAAATTTAGTATAGCGAACAATATGAAGACTTGATTTGATGTGGTTCTTTTCCTCAAAAAGATGGATTTGACTACGGCTTTGCCTGAGGCGGTTCTCTGTACTCCACACACGAGGCCGCGGCCATGGTGATGGCAGTCGGCTTCTCCATGACGACCTTGATAGTCCAGTCTGCGGGCTTGCAGAGGGGCTCATGTATGTCTGATCGCTCTTGGTAGCACCGCCTGATCCCCGTAGTGATGGCGGGACCGAGGGCTTCGAGCGTCTCAAAAGAAGAGTCTCCCAAAATCTTTTGGTACCATGACTTGAGTCAGCAATGGTTCATACACAGACGAAGTGAAGAACTATCAAGACGCTGAATTAGGAAGAAGAAGCCACAAACCTTTACAACGAAAGACTCGATTTCGACGTATCTATCCGACCTTCCAGTGTAGCCCTCGATCTCGATGCTGACCACGACAATTTGCCTCGCTAGTCTCTCGTTGTCGTTGACTCCGATGAGCGTAGGCACGCGCAGCTCGTTGATGCGCAGGCTTGAGCTGTAGACCGCCCCTGCCTGGGTACCATTACGGAAGCCACGGGCTAAGGAGTAAGACCGGCTCACGCTGCTACCGAGCAGCGATGCCTTTGGTAGGGCGAGGGAGATATTCAGGTAGCGAATTCTGGGCAGCTTGTCCTTCAGGAACGCCGGCTCCGTGAGGCCATCAGCCTCAGACCCGGAGACGTGGTACCCAGTCAACGCGTTCCAGATCATCTGCATGGCATCTTCCAGGCTTACATCGTTCTCGTAGCGGTTCACGTTGTCCAGTATGCGGAGGAGCGCCTTGGCCAAGAGGCCATAGTGCACCGTGTCATCGCTGACCTTGTCCGAGAGAGACGCAGCCTCAAAAGGCTCTGACATGGAAAGCTCAGCCGATACAACAACGGGTTGTGTCTTGCCCTCGCGGCCCCAGGCGTCGGTTCCGGCTTTGATCGTGCTCTGAAGGTCGCGGACCCGGACCACCGCAAAAGGCTCGCCGGCCTCGGCGCGGACCTGCCACGACGAAACTCGTTTCGGCACCATGTGAGCAAAGGTGCGATTGACAATCAAACTTAATGAAAGTTCGATTTCTTCGAGACCGGCCGAGATACACGGTCGGTTGGACGGGAGGAGGTGAAGGATGACCGTTGGACGGATTGGCCGCAGGTCAAGGTGAACGGGTCTCACAAACTCAATATGCACTGGCTGAGGAAAGTGCCCTACATGACGACTACCTAAACAATCGCGGGGTCCACCACAACCATAAAATCGCCCACATCATATGCGATGCTCTCATGCACACGAGGACAGTAGCAGGTACCAGTTGAATAGTTTTAAATGAAGGGTTCGACAAGCAGAGATGTTCTCTTCTTTGTCCATTTTTATTACAATGCGTTATTTGTTTGGATTTTCCTGCCTAACCAGCCCGGCAACATACTGCTCCCCTCATCCATCCAAGATGAAATGGCAGGCGTTTATGCTACGTTGGCAATCGCCCTCATCAAGATATACACCTAAAGATTCAACCACTTGCGCAGATCCTCAGTATCACGGGAAGTCCACGCGATCTTGGCCTTGACCGAGTCGGTTGACTGCGACAAAGCACGCACGAAACCCTTCTTCTCCTTCTCCGCGAAGAACTTGTCCAGCTTATCCAGCTGTTCTTGCTTGGTTAGCCCGCTTGTGCAGTAGCTCACGATGCTGCCAATCATGGAAGACTGAGCAGGGAATTTGGTGTAGATCTCCTCCCATCTCGTTTGCAGCCAGTCAAACAGGGCCTCAATGCCGCCCTTGCTCGACCGCAGACTGCCAATGGGAATGTAGATATCTTGGTCACGAACCTCCCCGCTCAGCAAAAGATCCAGTGTGCGTTGACGGAGCTTGGGGTCGCGGGATTGGCCAAGGGTTCGTAGAGCGCTGTTGCGCTCGTCGGCGGTCTCGGCGGTCTTGTAGTACTTGTACACGGCGTCATACTGTGATTTTGGTTAATGGCTTGCTTCAGAGTCATCTTCAAGGAACAGGCATACCTCTTTCTCGCCGCCAAACTTCAGAACAATTGAGAAGACGGAGCTTCGGATGTTGGGGTGAATCGCCGTCTTGTCTCCAGCCGCGAACTTCTCGAACATGGCCCGAGCAGCAGCAACAACCTTCTCGTCACCAGACATACCGGCCGCACTAAACGTGAGAGCCTTGTACTGTTGCTCAACGTGGCCATCGTTGCTCGAGAACTCCCATCCTAGCTTGTGTGCGATGCTGCTGACAATTTCCCGCTGGAACTCGGTGAGCTTGTCAACAACGGCGTCATCCTCGATCCAGGCCATCTTGATTGAGCCCAGACGGGTGAGGATCTGGTCCCACACCAGGTACTCGGCCTCGCCTCCCTGGCTAAGAGCCTTGAACAGACTCAAAAGAGACGAGGTCCTCTGGTAGCCAGAGGTTGCAAGAGCAGCCGTATCAGCCACGATACCAACCCTGTCCTGGACGGAAAGGAGTTCCGCAGCGTTTCCAAGCTTCTCCAGACGATCAATAGCGTACTTGGTACGGTAGAATCCCGTAGAATCGGCGTTGATCTTGAAGAACTCGGCATCGTCAATCTCGAATTTGGTGTCACGAGTAGTGAGCATCAAGTCCTTGTCGACACCTCCCTTGGTACGGACGTTCAAAGAGATGGGGTAGAGAACCTTGTCTTCCTCGGGCTTGACGTCTCCTGTGGTCAGGAAACGATGCTGCTCCACGCTAATTGACTTGCCCGACTCGGTGACAGAGACCACGGGGTATCCCACGTTCTGGGTCCAAATGTTCATGATGGAGCCAACGTCCTTGCCGCTAGCCTCACTCAAGGCTTGCCATAGGTCATTCGTAGTGGCGTTGCCCCAAGCGTGACGCTTAAGGTACTTGCGGACACCCTCCATGAATATATCCTCTCCAAGGAATGCCGAAAGCATGTGGACAACACAAGAGCCCTTCGCGTAGCTGATACTATCGAAGATCTCATTGATCTCCTCGGCCTTGTGGATAGGGACCTCGATAGGGTGACTGCTCCTGAGCCCGTCGAGACCCAATGCTGCCTGAAGATCTTCCCTGACGAAAGACTCCTTGAGCTTCCACTCAGGGAAGAAGGCGTTCATGGAGTAGCGAGACGCAAACTCGGCGAAGCCCTCGTTGAGCCACAGAGCGTGCCACCAGTCCGGAGAAACAATGTTTCCGAACCACTGGTGAGCAATCTCGTGAGTGATGACTGTCGAAACTCGCTCCTTGGCTGCGGCACCACTGGTCTTGTCGTCAAACAAGACTTCAACAGTTCGGTAGGTGACCAGACCCCAGTTTTCCATAGCGCCGGCGGCGAAATCGGGAATGGCAACCTGGTCAAGCTTAGGCAGAGGGTAAGGAAGACCAAAGGCCTTTTCGTAGAACTCCAAGGCCTTGACACCGATATCCAAGGCATAACGGCCTCTCTCGATGTCCTCGGAAGGCGGAGCATACACTCGGATGGGTACTCTGAAGTCGTTGGTCTCGATGTAATTAAGCTCTCCGACGATGAAGGCAACGAGGTAAGTGGACATGACGGGAGACCTGTTGAAGCTGACAGCCTTCTTTCCAGAGGGCAAATCCTTCTCTTCAGCCACATCCATGTTGGAAAGGCAGGTCAGGGCCTTGTCAGCAATTAATGTGACGGTGAACTCGGCCTTGAGTGCTGGCTCGTCGAAGCAAGGGAAGGCTCTGCGGGCGTCGGTAGGCTCCATCTGGCTGGTGGCCATGATACCCTTGGTGCCATCCGGCTTGTTGTAGTATGAGCGGTAGAAGCCCGCCATTTTGTCGTTCAGCTCACCGACGAACTTGATCTCGAGGGTACCCTTGCCGCCCTTGGTGAGCTTCTCCTTGAACTCGAAGCTGTGCCATTGCTTCGACTCGTCGTAGGTGACGACTGGTTCACCAAGGCTCTTCTCTTGTCCTTCGACAGAGAAGGACAATGAAGTGTTCTTGATCTCGATTTCATGGGTGTTCAGAGAGATAGTGTTGGAGTCCTCCGCCACGTCAAAGTCAATCTTGACCAAGCCATCGAACTTAAGCGTCTCGAAGTTGGGCTCAAGAGTAAGATCATAGTGGCGCGGGACGACGTTGGTAGGCAGCTGTTCCCGAGGGTAGTTCAGCGTGCCAGCGCCGCCATGCTCTCCGTGTCTGCACATACTTCTCTTGTAGGAGCAGTATCGTGTAGCAGCGATGCGCTGAGGGTTCTGGAGTCGTGAGGTTCGTCGAGGAGGGGTAGCTCGGAGTACTGGCGAACGGGTCGCAAAGGCGTTGTGATTTCGTAGATGGTAGGGACTGTTGAAGAAGTCAGATCAATGGGTAATTCAAAGGTGAAAAAGTGACCGGATAAGAGTATAAGTGTACTTACATGCGTGTGACTGGTCTTGCCGTCGGGTTGACGATGCGTGGGGTTAGGTTGACCGTTCGTCTTGTTGCGAAACGGAACGCCATTGAGGAGGGGGAGGGGGGGCCAAAGCCACAAAGGAACGAAAGCGGTCAGTCTGCTAGGCACCCAAGCTGTCTAAGGAAGGTACATGCAACAGAGACGCGGGGTCCAGCTGAGGGGAAGCTTCCAGTTCTTCTGTGCAAATCAATGCTCCAGTCTCAGAAGTGGAAGGCGCCGACGCAGGCCGCGCAGACCGCTGGCAAAGGTAGAAAACTCTCCCCACATCCCCATGCCTCAGGTCACATTCTTTCCCTCAGCGCCGTCCGGACCCACGCCAAGCCGCTTCCACCCGATACGGCCCACTGCCGCACCCGTGCTCTTCTGGGAGGGCCGCCGGGTGTGCTGTCCGGGCTAGAAACACGAGATCTGCCTTACTTGCTGCCTTCCGGCCGGCCTTAGAACACGGATTTCAATCGGAGGTTTTGTGGAGGATGTAGCCGTCAATCTCCGGATGTGAAGAATATTGAATCGCAACTACGAATGTTGCCACAGTGCCTCCCACAAATCCTCCGCAGTCATCATAACTTAGTTGTCTGACTAGACACTTCCGCAGCTCATTGGAAAAGACAGCAGAAATTACCTTGCAGCGGATGCACGTGGCAACAAAGCAAGACTGAAAACCCCCGATGATTCCGTTATAATTCGCAAGTTCTTCTTTGCTGAGCTAGCGGGATGATGTAGCACATCTTCAACTTTCGCCATTGGTTAGATCAATCCCAACATTGCTCCGTCTGCACGAGTTGCAGCCTAGAGTCCAAACTGTATCGACGGCCTACTTGCCGAGCGATTACAAAAGAAGTTTTTTTTTGCGAAGGGCCTGAAATCTTCTCATGATCAAAGCAGGCCTCGGGAGACAAGGGGACCTTGGGTACCGGAAGTGGTGCTTGAAGAATTGTTTGGTAGCAATGATAACTGGTCACGTGCACTTTTCGCTAGCTGGAGAGCCTTGCTTCAAGAGCAGGTAAACAAAAGCTGGGAAATTGTTTATCCTACTATGGAAGCCAGCGTCTGTATGAGCCAACCGAGAGACTCGAAGAATGCCATATCCCAGTGATGTGCTATGTATGACTTATAGTCGGGTGAAAGCGGACAAAGAGCTTGCAGGCATGCGGATGTGCCAAAGGCAAGCCGACTAACATGCTGTCTCCCCGGCCGAGAACCACCTCCCCGGGTCAAAGCCAGACGTCATTTCCAATTGAGCTCCAGACGATTAGGTTAAAATTACTCTAGGCAATATCAGCTGCCTACAGAATGACTTGCCTGCCGACCCTACACTTGTCTTACCCCGGCTTTACTGGACGGGGTGACGGGGTCGGGATCCATGATCGGGAAGAACCGCATTAGCACCTGGCTATTCCGAGCAACATCCTCGGGATAATCCATGGCGTACAGCCTGTCCCAGACCATTTGTGGAGTCAGAATGCCATTGTTTGATCTCAATTGCCAATTAGCAGCTCGTCGTTGGACCGGGGTGCCGGGGAAAAGACGTCTTGAAGATCGGGCGTCGGGACTTGTAGATTGTCGAAGACGCACTTTGACGCAAGCTCAGTCCCTAGAGTCCACAAGATCCCGATGATGGATGGCTGGAGAGCCGTTGTGCGAGAGACAATGGTTGTGGGCAGCCAATCAGACCACACAGGGGTGCCAACGGCCGACGGGCAGGGTGTCAAGACATGGCAACGGCCTTTGTTTTGTCCAGGACCGAGGTCATTGACTGAATAGGGCACCTGGAAAAGACACAGAAAGCCATGGAATGTATGAGGCCGGACTCGGGGCTGGGGACGAGGGACGAGAATAGCGAGAACGGCCCAATGAAGAGAGACAAGGGCAGAAACGTGTTCCAGATCCCTCCCAGTTGCTGGCCGCTTTGGCAGGGCAGCGTTTTCATTGCTTGGTTTGTTGAGAAAGCGGCCCTCACCAAAGATGCATTTATCGTGGTGAGGTGGTGCTAAGACCAGTACCAAAGATACTTTGAAACGAAGCTGGTTTGTGATATTCTTGGCCGTTTGGAGCTTGGGGCCCATGTAGCGCTCTAACAGGGCAGATGCCCCGCCTCGTCTCGAGAAAAAGCGATTGGGCACCCGTCCAAGATACCCCCAATCTTTTGAGCGATCCAATGGCGCCGTGGGCACCTGCCCGAGCTAAGTTAAGCAACTTATGATACCTTGCCGCAGGTACCTCACCTCACGTCAGGACTCAGGACTCAGGACTCCGGTGCAGCAGTAGGGCAGGTGGGGTTGCAAACGAAGGTACCTACCTTACCCTTACCTGAGGAGGGAAACGACCCCTCCAAAACAATCTGCTCCCACCGTGCTCCTGCTGTCCCTCACCCCCGCCTCTGTCGCCATCAACCTCTCTTCCATCACTTCAACCTCATCTGTTTTCTTCATACGCAAGTAATCGCTGAGGTCTTACTCCGGCTCTATCAATCAAAAACTCCACAAGTAAGTTGTCTCATCATACGTTTCCACTCCACTGCACCTGGCGATGGTCTTGGGGAAACAGCTGGGAGCTTGCAAGCTGTGTCCGAAGAATCACCCCACCATGCCATCCCACCCTGAGGCAATTCTTGCTGTCCGGTCAAGGAGCGAGCACTTGCAAGCTTAGCAATTTCCCCCAATCGGTCCTATCATATTGTTGACTCACCCACTTGTCTCTTTTCTGCCTTCTACCAATATAAAGCCTTTCCCTCCCCCCACGACCATCTACTGACCTCTCTCCCCTCTCTTCGTTAGGAACAAATCCATCACACGAGACAACATGGCCATCACCAAGATCCACGCTCGCTACGTCTACGACTCCCGTGGCAACCCCACCGTCGAGGTCGACGTCGTCACCGAGACCGGCCTTCACCGCGCCATCGTCCCCTCCGGTGCTTCCACTGGTACGTCGTCGTCGTCCTCGCATCCTACCCCTACCGAGAGGTAAAAAGTATCGAGAAGCTGATAAAACCCATTGATCAGGCCAGCACGAGGCCTGCGAGCTCCGCGATGGTGACAAGACCAAGTGGGCTGGCAAGGGTGTCACCAAGGCTGTTGAGAACGTCAACTCCGTCATTGCCCCTGCTCTGATCAAGGAGAACCTTGATGTCAAGGACCAGACTAAGGTCGACAAGTTCCTCATCGACCTCGATGGAACCCCCAACAAGACCAAGCTCGGAGCCAACGCCATTCTCGGTGTCTCCCTGGCTGTCGCCAAGGCCGGTGCTGCTGAGAAGGGTGTCCCTCTCTACGCCCACGTCTCCGACTTGGCTGGTACCAAGAAGCCCTACGTCCTTCCCGTTCCCTTCATGAACGTCCTCAACGGAGGGTAAGCAATTCCTTGCCACACTGCTGTGATCCAACATTTGCTCACCCCATGCTACAGTTCCCACGCCGGTGGCCGCCTCGCCTTCCAGGAGTTCATGATTGTTCCTTCGTAAGTAGACCCACACATCGAGGCTCCTTCAGTCTGTTCTGTTCCATCAGCTAACGGTTGTGAAGTGCTGCCCCCTCCTTCTCCGAGGCCCTCCGCCAGGGTGCCGAGGTCTACCAGATCCTGAAGAGTCTGGCCAAGAAGAAGTACGGCCAGTCCGCCGGCAACGTCGGTGACGAGGGTGGTGTTGCCCCCGATATCCAGACTGCCGAAGAGGCCCTCGAGCTCATCGCCGAGGCCATTGAGAAGGCCGGATACACTGGCCAGATGAACATCGCCATGGACGTTGCCTCCAGCGAGTTCTACAAGGAGGACGCCAAGAAGTACGATCTCGACTTCAAGAACCCCGACAGCGATCCCACCAAGTGGATCACCTACGAGCAGCTCGCTCAGCAGTACTCTGACCTCGCCAAGAAGTACCCCATTGTCAGCATTGAGGACCCCTTCGCCGAGGATGACTGGGAGGCGTGGAGCTACTTCTACAAGACCCAGGACATCCAGATCGTTGGTGATGACTTGACCGTCACCAACCCCCTGCGCATCAAGAAGGCCATTGAGCTCAAGGCTGCCAACGCTCTTCTCCTCAAGGTCAACCAGATCGGTACCCTCACCGAGTCTATCCAGGCCGCCAAGGACTCCTACGCCGACGGCTGGGGTGTCATGGTCTCTCACCGCTCCGGTGAGACTGAGGATGTCACCATCTCCGACATCGTCGTCGGTATCCGGGCTGGCCAGATCAAGACCGGTGCCCCGGCCCGTTCCGAGCGCCTTGCCAAGCTTAACCAGATCCTCCGCATTGAGGAGGAGCTTGGCGAGAACGCCGTCTACGCCGGCGCCAACTTCCGCAAGTCTGTCAACCTGTAAAGTGGTTTAGCGATTACGAAGATGAGCTTTTGAGTTCCATAGTCCGACGACAGTGTTCTTCGCGGAAGACTCGACAGGACTGGGGTGAAAAAAATTGATGAGACACGTCTGGCGTATAGGAAATGCGCAACGGAGGGATGAATGGGAGCATCGATGATGAAATTCGTAGCTTACCGCACTTTATCCTAAATGAAAAAAGAACAAATATCCCCCATAACTGAGAGCTTCTGAGGGCGTCCGAGAGATCACCTATATTGACACTAGTGACTCGATCAGAAAAGACAATCGCTGAAGAGCATCGACCGCCGCCGCGAGCGTTGGTTAGCTCCAACATGTAAAGATAGCTACATGAGCCCCGCCAATACTGACCGCAAGATAAGGTCCCTTGGGTGGCACTGTTTAGAGCAGCTTTTTGGTAGGCGTCGTCGGCCGGGAGAGGCATTATGTAATACAAATAGCTAAGCTCTGACGCTTGATGCGGCTAGCGCCCTTTTCCCTTGGACCCGTCAGATTCAGAAGATGTGGGATATGGACGTGGAGCTGAATATACACACATACACACACCGCTCAGCGCCCCAGTACTACACTCAGCTTGTGGCCCAATCACTTGAATTCAGGCTGGATGCTGCAAGGTGTGCCATGCCTGAGCTGAAGAACTGCAGCAAAGAGTAGCCTCGAATTGCCTCGGACGACAAAAGTTGGCAGCCCAAGAAAGGTGGGAGGCACCGTGCACGACTTCAAACTCCCGTCCCCCCTTGCTAAGTAAGAGCTGCAAGTTCATAGTCAGCTGAAGGCTTGCTAGCGCGAGTACTGATTATCTCGGTCTGCTTCTCCTATCAATTACGGATCCAGTTGATGAGTGCATCGCACATCGCAGAAGCTCAGGAAGACAGTTCGGATACAATCGGGCGTTTGCACGACGCATGTGTCGTCATTTATGAGACTACACACACCGACGAACAGAGAGATTCCTGGACAACTGGCGGGCCAGCAACATTGCCGCTTCGCAACGTGGATACCGAGTCAGTGTGTACTATCCTTCTCCTTTGTCCTTCTTTCCTGTAGTGGCTTGGAGTATTTTCCCTCCGCTGCTTCTGCGGCTCTCTTCATCATTATACGCAGTATGCCCCGTTTTAGACGCGGCCGATGCTTCACATGCTGCGTGCCGCCGCTGCCGCTTCATGAATGCTAGTTCTGGCTTAGCATCACATTCCACAAACTTGACGCGCGGGCAATCCTTTCTTTGCCTTAATTACCCCAGACCACCTTGTCGGGCTCAAGCTCGCATTGAGAGCAGATGTGCTTCTACTTTTAGCGTCCCCATGCACCGTGGAGCCAAGAGCCGTGTCGTCCCCTGTCCTACTCCATCCGCATCCTAAGGTATCTCATACTTACCTTACCGATATCTGCGTCATCTCTGCTATCTGTGAGGCGTCGACGTTTGTTGTCTCTCGCGGTCACCCTACTACCAACTCCCCACCACCACTCTAGGATTTGCTGTTGGTGCTGCAACTTCCTGGCTGTAACTGACTCCCCGGCTATCTAGCAACTTGACCAACCCACTCGGATTGTGACAGGCGAAAGCGTGGGGGCAGCCCCTAACTTGCCACTCTCCACGTGGGTGTCTCGCGCCGTCTTCTCACCATCGCCGCCGATTTCTTCCACCAAACATCCTATAGCTCACTTGTTACGTACGACTGAGCTCTGTCTACACGTTGACTGTCCTTTCGACCCTAGCTCCAGCCATATGCCACATCGCCATCGCCTACACTACGTATCTTAGCATCACGAAGGGAACTTCAATACAGCCCGGCCATACTATGTCGGAGCGCACCCGCCGGGCACGCCTCCAGCTTCCGGAAGAACGGCCGCTGCTGCAACGGAACCGTGCCAGTCACACTTCTGAGATTCAAGTTCCTCTCTATGGCTGCATGGTCAATCCTCACAGTCACTTACCAGTATATACGAATATTCACCGTATACGACGAGACATCATCTCCATTGTTGAAGACTATTTGAGTTTGGAACAACTTCGTGATGTGCGTATCAACATCGCCGTCGTCCGCCCGCTTGTCGACAAATTGTATGAGCTCGACGATATCTCCATAGGTACGTTCAAAGCCCTCCATCTCTCTCGCTTCGAGCCTCAATCTCGCAGAAACCGAGATCGATCTCGAATACTCGGAGTTGTTTTTGTTGCAAATAACCTAACTGTCACAAGTTTATTGCTTGCTCGTGAACCGCGCTCAGTTCCTATATGAGCAATCTCACTTGAACAATCGGCAAAATGTCAATTACAGTCGCGCAGCTCTCTGCGAGCTGGTGGCAACGCGGATATTGAGGCGCTTCAGCGAAGACAATGAAGGGCCTGATGGTTTGGTGCTGCTAGCACACATCCTGGTTGCCGGCTTTGAGCCTTTTCAGATGGCACCGGCCGGGATTCGTGAGGCAGCTTCAACGGAGTCCTATCGCAGCTACAACCGCATGCTTCCTTCACTCGAAGTTGCCATCTTGACTGAGAGTAAATACTTCCTCAGTGCTACCCCTTGCCAGAAAGTGTAAGTTCTCGCCTTGGGGATCAGTGCTTTGAGCAGACACTAACAACGGTCTCAAGCGTCGATGCCATCTACGAAGGCCGTATTGTCTACACTCCTTCGAGTTTTATGGACATTATTCCAGACCACTACAAACTCAAGCCTATCTCGCTTTACAACCCGCGCGAGGGGCCACTACTGGACCAATATCGACTGCTTGTGCCTCGTACCAGGAACATTCTCGAGGTTTTCCAGTTCTTGATTTTGCTGGCTCTCTATCTCTTTGTCATGGCCGAGCGAAAGCCGGAGACTTTCACCGTCTTGGAAGGTTGTTTCGCCGTCTATGCCTTTGGGTGGTCCCTCGATCAATTTGCGACTATTTTGGAGCATGGCTGGTAAGAGAACCCAACTCTTGTTACGAACAGCAGCGTCACTCACGACAAGACAGGCACGTTTACACCCAGAATCTATGGTCCTTCCTTGATGTTGGCTTCATTGGCATCTATGTTGTATACGCGGTACTGCGCATCCATGGAGCCCGAGTCGGAGAACTTGTTCCAAAACAACAAGCTCTCGATGTACTTGCGATGGGTGCCCCAGTACTGGTCCCGCGTCTTGCCTTCAACTTGCTATCGGACAATCTAGTTTTCCTCTCCTTGCGGTCCATGATGTCGGACTTTGTCCTTCTCACGTTCTTGTCGGCATGGTGTTTCGGTGGCTTTCTACTGTCGCTTCTATGGCTTGGTGAAGGTGCACATCCTCCAGTGTAAGTTGCTCCAAAGAACTAGCCTACCGTATACAGCCTCTAATCCAACAACAGTACTATTAGTAAGTGGATGCTCTGGATCTGGTTCGGTCTTGACGGGACGGGCATCAACGAATCGGTAAGAGCCCCTTCCTCCTCCCTTTTTAGATTTCGGGCTGAACAGATTTTTCACCAGGTGCAATTTCACCCCATCTTGGGTCCTGTCCTAATGGTCGCTTTCGCCTTCCTGGGAAACACTTTGTTCCTCACCATCCTCGTCTCGATGCTTTCCAATACATTTAGCACGATTGTTAAGAACGCGACTGCAGAGATAATGTTCCGCAAGGCCGTCTTGACACTAGAAGGAGTCAAGGGCGATGCAATCTTTGCGTACCAGCCCCCCTTCAACATCCTGGCCGTCTTCATCCTCATCCCGCTCAAATTCATCCTCACCCCGCGATGGTTCCATAAGATACATGTAGCCAGCGTTCGGCTAGTCAACCTTCCGCTGCTACTGATCATTGCGGTGGCGGAACGCAGAATTCTTTGGCCAGCGCCGCAGCCGGAGAAGAAACAGTCTAGCAGCCTGACATTGTACCCGAGGGTCAAGCAGTGGTTCTGGGAGAAGTGGCGCATAACGGCCCACCGCGACATAAGAGCCGTGTTCGACCTGCCGCCGCCCGAGTCCGTCGAGGAGGAGATTGCGGTGGACGACGAGCTCACGCACCACCTCATCCGGCGACAATTCACCCGGTCCATTACGAATGACACCATGCGGAAGAAGTCGCCTCTTAGGAGAGATTCGATGTTCCCGGGCGTGTCGTCAAAGTTACGCGGGTCCTTTACGGGAAGTGAGGATATGCAAGACGTCGGCAGCAGATTAGATTCTTTGGAGCAGACGTCCCTGAGAATCGAGGCCTTGCTGGCGCGCATGCTGGACGGTGAAGATTACTCTGACCGAGGCTTCGGTACTGGGGAGAGCAGCACTCTCCGCGATGGAGAAGCGCCTCTGACCCAGTCACCGAGTTAGCCACGTAGTTGTAGTGCAAACATTGGCAGACGCGGGAGTGCAAAGTTCTGGCGTGTGGTAGTGTTTATATAAGTAGAAAGCATGTCTAAAAGTATGGAATCAAGTATCTCCAAAGGCAATGCTACCCATAAGCGAACAACACATTGGGGATATCTCGTGCCTGTAATCTGAAGTTGAAGTAGCATCTACCTAGCCCGCACTTAACATCCCACCTTCCCAAACTTCACCCTTCGTACACACTTCCCTACCTTCATATCGCGGCGATCGAGGCAAAGAACAGCATAAGCAAGACTATTTTCATCATCATCATCATTGCCATATCAAACCCCTCCAAAAAGAAAAGATGTGCGAAGTCTTCATCTACAAGCACGTCAAGTGCAAATGCGTCTGGGGCGAGATCGCCGTGCAATGCGGCCCCGGCATGGGCTACACAACATGCGGACAATTCGGCAGCGGCATCGCGAAGAGGCCTCTGCGGCTCCAGATGGCGGACAAGCGGCCGTGTCCGACGCACGACCTGTACGGGCTCTACGACCGCAACCAGGCGCGGGTGATCAAGAAGATCTCGCACGGCATCAAGATCGGGGCGGGGCCGAGTAAGCAGGACGCTGGAATCGAGGTCCCCTGCTGCGCTGTCATGTGAAGACGGCGAAGTTTACGGATATCATGAAGGCGAACAATGCAGAGACGAAGGAAGGCACGTGGAAGGGTCGATGTCTGGGTGGATGGAGTTGCCAAGCTGGGTAAGTGAAGCTGGTGACTGGGGTGGAGGCTGGGGCGCAGATGGGTTAGTGCTGGAGCTAACGTGTATTTACCCAGGGCCAAGACGCGATGACGATTCTAGCTGATGGGAGTTGAATGGGCCAGGAAGGTTGTTCTGCGCCGTTCGATTTTGACAACCAAAGACAGAAGGCAGTGGCGGGGGAAAAGCGAGGTTATGGCAGCTGGGCCGTTGGGGGTTTCGGGGTCGGGGTAGCTCTCCCGAAGTCGACTGACGAGAAACCTTTTAAAGGGGAACGATAAACACTAGCACACACTGGCACTATCTTACTATGACCGTGCTGCGTAATGATCAGTGATCTCTAGCAGCTTTCTAATGTTGACTTGAGTCATGAAATTAACGTTTCTATTGCATAGAGAGGAGTAAGATTGCAGACCCGAGCTGGTGAATGACCCCCTAGGAATTTAGCAGACTTAGAGGAAAGAGCTGGGAAGAGGAAGCAAGGGCAACCCGAGCCGGTGAAGTCATCCATGGAACATGGATACCCGAAGCAGTGCCGGCCGGACCTGGGAGCTGTTTATTTCCCCTCTTTTTGGGCTTCTTCTCAAAAAAATTACCTACCGTCTCCCCACCCTCCTTTCCCCGATTCTCCCCACGGTTTCCTGTCTCTCTCCCCATGCGGGGAAGTGAGAACATCAGACGTTTCTTCACTCACTTGCTATTACCTTACTCGGCCATTTCTTTGGAGGGTACACCGGTGTTTCGGTCTTCCTGATACAACGAGATGTTAATCACGCAGGGCACCTGGCGTTGGCCTAGAAATATTACCCACGATTGGTTTCTTCTACCTCCAACACCGGACAAGTTCCCCTTTCCAAGCCCGATATTCAACGATAATTCCTGCCCCCAGTCAAGGTTCTCTTCGCTAGTGTCAATTTCTCCGCATGTCGCTGTTTAGACTCAAGATGAAAGGGGTCACATTGTCGAAGGATCCATTGGAGTTGTTCGGGAAGACGTTAGATTGGTAGCCCGACCTCGATGGTCTCCCCCAGAGCTTCCCCACACCCAAGCCATGGATGAATATGTCGGCTTTCCTTTTAGCCTGAATACCACAGTCAACCCCATCCGCTCATCACCGCTGTCGGCCGGTTGCATTGGGACCCGGGAACCCTTGGAGACTTCGGACTTGACAAGGCCTGGGTTGTGGGAAAAATAATGTTTTCCTGGTCCTGGTTCTGGTCCTGCAAGTCCCGCGGATCTGGGAATCCCACCCCCAAGTGCACCGCTCGCGTGTCGATGAACGAACCAGCGCTTCTTCTTATAAGCTCGCGCACCCCCGATCCAACCATGTAGTAGGTCTTTTGCAGCAAGTGCTTCTCTCCAACTGGTTCTTCTCGCCAGCAGCACCTCTTTCCACCGACCGCACGTCATGTGGAAGCTTCTTTTCTTTGCTTCTCTCGGCCTCGTTGCCGCAGAGGACGGTCTCGATGGCTGGTTGCGTTACGCTCGCCTACCAGACTGCAAGTCTTCCGGCGTCGCCGAATCTCTTCCCTCTACCGTCATCGGCCTCAATGCGACAGAAAACGGCCCAATTGCTTCTGCCTTGACCGAATTGACCAAGGGCTACCAAGGCATCCTCGGCAAAGACGTCTCTGTTGGCCAGGACGCCTGTGCTGCTGCTTCCGTTGTCATTGCTACTGTCGACGACTACGTTGCTGCCTGTGGAAGTGAAGGTGTTCAAGCGGACCTCATTGAGGATGGCTTCTGGCTTAGCGTCAAGGGTGATGGTGTCAAGATTCTGGGACAGAACGAGAGGGGCGCTCTCTACGGTACTTTTGAGTACCTGAGCCTGTTGGCCCAGGGCAACTTCACCGAAGTGACTTATGCGACAAACCCTTCTGCTCCTGTCAGATGGGCAAACCAATGGGACAACATGGATGGCACAGGAACTCACGGCAGCATTGAGCGTGGTGTAAGCAATCTTTCCCCTCCTCGACCCATCATTGAATACGAACATGTCTGACCTGAGCAGTACGGAGGCGTTTCTATCTTCTTCGAGAACCTCAAGGTCGTCACCGACATGACCCGCGTCTCCCAGTACGGCCGTCTGCTGGCCTCCGCCAGAATCAACGGCATCATCGTCAATAACGTCAACGCCAATGCCATCCTCCTCTCTCCCGAGAACATGGACGGATTGAAGAGGATTGCCGACGCTTTCAGGCCATGGGGTGTCCAGGTGGGCATCTCCCTCAACTTCGCCTCACCCCAGACATACGGTAACCTTTCCACCTTCGACCCCCTCGACGAGACTGTCGTTGCCTGGTGGGGAAATATCACCGATGAGCTCTACGCACGCATTCCCGACATGGCTGGATACCTGGTCAAGGCCAACTCAGAGGGTCAGCCCGGCCCCCTGACCTACAACAGGACGCTGGCAGACGGCGCCAACCTCTTCGCTAGGGAGCTCAAGAACCACGGCTCCAAGAAGGGCATCGTCATGTTCAGAGCCTTTGTCTACGACCATCTCACGCTGAACCAGTCCGACTGGCGTGCTGATCGCGCCAACGCCCAGGTCGAGTTCTTCAAACACCTCGACGGCCAGTTCGACGACAACGTCATTGTCCAGATCAAGTACGGCGCCATTGACTTCCAGGTCCGGGAGCCCGTGTCGCCTCTCTTTGCCAACTTGAAGAACACGAGCATGGCTATTGAGCTGCAAATCTCTCAGGAGTACCTCGGCCAGCAGGACCACTTGGTCTACCTCCCTCCTCTCTGGAAGACGATCCTCGACTTTGATCTGCGCATCGACGGTCAGCCTTCTGTTGTCAGTGACATTCTGTCCGGCAAGCGCCTCAACAGGCCTCTCGGCGGCTACGCTGGTGTCATCAATGTCGGCGCGAACTCGACCTGGCTTGGGAGCCATCTGGCCATGTCCAACCTCTACGCCTACGGCAGACTTGCGTGGAACCCCACGGACGACGTTGTCAGCATTGTCCAAGACTGGACCCGTCTGACATTCGGCGTTGACCGCAAGGTCGTCGATACCATTACCAAGATGTCTATGGAGAGCTGGCCCGCCTACGAGAGCTACAGCGGCAACCTGGGCATCCAGACTTTGACTGATATCCTCTACGCCCACTACGGTCCCAGGTAAGGAAGACTACAACCACACTGTTTTTATTCCATGACTAACTTCAGGTTCAGCCCGCGCAGCCAGGACGGCAACAGCTGGGGTCAGTGGACCAGAGCAGACGGAGACAGCATCGGTATGGACCGTACCGTGAAGAACGGCACGCGAAACGCAGGACAGTACCCTCCCGAGGTGGCGGCCATGTACGAGGAGATCGAGACGACCCCCGACGACCTGCTTCTCTGGTTCCACCACGTGCCCTACACGCACAAGCTCAAGAGCGGCAAGACGGTCATCCAGCACTTTTACGACGCGCACTACGACGGATCGGCCACGGCCCAGACGTTTGTGCCGCAGTGGGAGTCCCTGAAGGGCCTCGTCGACGAGGAGCGCTACGAGCACGTGCTCTTCAAGCTCAAGTACCAGGCCGGCCACTCACTCGTCTGGCGCGACTCGATTAACAACTTCTACTGGAACAAGTCGAGCATCCCCGACGAGGCTGGACGCGTGGGCAACTACAAGTACCGCATCGAGGCCGAGCACATGACGCTGGACGGGTACAAGGTCGTCGACGTCGACCCCTTTGAGGCAGCGTCGGGTTACAAGGCCATCGTGACGAGCTCCAACACGACGGCCGGAACGGCATCCGCCACGGTCGAGTTCGAGACCGGAACATACACCCTCGCCGTCAACTATTTTGACGTCATTCGAGGAAAGTGCTCGTACGTCGCGTACATTAACGACGTTGTCGTCGGCCAGTGGAGGGGTAACAGCGAGGAGAAGCTGGGCCACTGGCCGTCCGAGTTCTTGGACGGGCATTCTGCCATCCGCGTCAACTTTCCCGGCGTCAAGGTGACCAAGGGCGATACACTGAAGATTGTTGGCACACCTGACGGGCCTGAGGTCGCTCCTCTGGACTATGTCAGCTTCTTGCCTGATGGTATCATCGATTAGATATGTTGTTGAATTTTGAGCAAGCATACATCATTTTGTAGTGAACATTCAAGATTTATGAATTCTTCATGATTATATTTACATCAATTCAAATTCTGTACATTTTGAAAAATCTTCTTCGTGATCGCAAACGTATTGTAGCGCAGGTGGATGAATCGTGATTTTGTTCTGTGCCTGGTTGGTGTGAGAGAAGTCAACCCCACAAATTTCATCCGACTGAACTATGTCGGATTTTAACCCTTCTCACATGAATTTTTCATCAGGCCAATCGTCTCTCGAGTCTCGAACCAGCGAGGCTTCTCACAAAGCCGAGTACCTAAAACATTCAAACGTACTCAGTACAGATACTTCGGGCTCAAGAGCCACTTAGCAGAGTTCAAACCCGGGAGTACTTCGTGAGAATTCATCCTCCTCAACATCAGCCTTAGTGAGACTTACACACCCCTCATAGGCCTTCATCCATCATGCTGCCCACGCCAGATACCTCCCACGTCCCATTTGAGCGTGTGTACGAGCCGGCAGAAGACTCGTACCTCCTTCTAGACACCCTCTCGGCCCCGTCCGAGACCACATTCCTCACATCACGCTTCGGCAGCGAAACATCATCATCATCATCATCATCAAAGTCAAGACCAGCAGCCCCACTGGTCGTCGAAATCGGCACCGGCTCCGGCGTCGTAATAGCCTTCCTCGCCGCCCACGCAGCAACCCTCTTTGGCACCCCCGCCGTCCTCACCGCAGGCATCGACCTAAACGGCCACGCCTGCCACGCCACAACCTCCACCGTCCGCCGCGCCGTCGCCGACAACCCGTCCACGGCCTCCCCCCTCTCTTTCTGGCTCGGCGCCTCCCTGGGCGACCTCACGACCCCGCTGCGCCCGGCAAGCGTCGACGTCCTCGTCTTTAACCCGCCCTACGTCCCGTCTCCGGAGCTCCCCGCGCAGTCCTCGGCCACGCTCGTCGCCGACGCGCAGACGAAGACCACGTTTGATGAGGACTCGTACCTGCTTTCGCTGTCGTACGCGGGCGGGCGGGACGGTATGGAGACGACGGACCGGTTGATTGAGGCGTTGCCTGGGGTCTTGAGCCCCAGGGGTTGCGCTTATATTCTGCTGTGTGCGCAGAACAAGCCGGACGAGGTCAAGGGCCGGATTGAAGGGTTCGGAGGCGGGTGGAAAGCCGTCACGGTCGGGGAGAGCGGGAAGAAGGCTGGGTGGGAGAAGTTGCAGATCATTAGGGTATGGAGGGAGACGGAAGAGCACTCTAGGTAGAAACGTGGACAATAATGGTTCTTTCACCTTGACATATCATTGATCTGTACACTTCTTCATGGTTGTGCTTCCGAGCCACCTTCTTGACACACCCAATTGCGAGGCCTGTGGTTCATTTACTGGAATTGTATTCTTTTTATTTCCTAACCACCCCCAACGCCTGAATAGCATCCGGTTGGTCTTAATGTGTAGGGGTGCCCGTCTTTTTTCAAGCTCGAGGCCCAGACTGTAAAATAAAAATAAAAAGTTCATCGACGGTCCGTCGTCCAGGGGGTCAGGCATAGATATATCCCCCCTGTGAAGAGTTTCTTCATGATTCACAAGCGACCATTTCCGTCTTTCTTTCCTTAGGTAAGGAAACCTTTCTCGGCGCCCAGCAAAAATTGTCGGTGTCGATCCAGCACAGGTGTCGACGGTCGGCCCTCGTCGAAAAAAACAGCGCGTCCTCATTTTGTCCCATTAACCCCAGCTCAACCACGTCCGCGACCGCGTCCCCGACCACGGCCTCTTCCTCTGGGGCCACCTCTTCCTCCGCGGACGGGGCCGCCGCGCTCCGCCTCCTTGCGCGCCTTATTCTTGGGCTTCGGTTGGTCGTCGATGAGAAGTGTGTCGAGCGGCAGCGAGTCGGGCAGGATAAAGTATCGAATCGTCGAGCCGCGAATGTTCATGGTATCGAGCGAGACGGCGTCCTGGCCCCGCGGGGTCATCTTGACTGTGCGCAGCGCCGTGTTCATCTGCGGCGAGACCGAGGTGATGGTGCCGTGAACGATGGTGCCTGTACGCGTTAGTATTCGGTTTGGCAAATGATATGCAGCGCTTTGCGCATCTCTGAAAAGATGCGCAAAGAAGCAGAAGAGGCTACTTACCGTTCTTGAGTTCGATTGTCACCGTCTCATTGGCGCATTTCATCAAAAATCTAATTGTTGGAAGTTCTGGTCAGCTACATTTTGGCCTCGTTTTACGGCGAGCGGCCTTCTGCATCTCTGAGAAGGAGGGCTCAGCACACAGATTGACGGCATAAGGAGGGAGAGGGCGATCAATTGCGCGTACCTGACGAGTTTCATTTTGGCGGCGGCGTTCGTGTGTTGAGCGTGTCGTTCGTCAAAAGGAAAGGGGGCTAGATGCGAGACCTCGCGACTGAGGTTGGCAGTCTTGGGTGACGGAAGGCTGAAGCTTCGGAAAAGCTGCTATCCCGTTTCTGGGAAGTGGGGCCCCTCTCAAGGTGACTCTTTAGTCACAACAACTGGGCCCACGTGACTGTTCGCTTCACCTCTTATCATGTCAACTTAATGGCTGAAAGGCGAAAGCAAATTACACATTAAAGAGCAGCTATCTCTGAGACCTCTAATCAATGGATTCAAGAAAATATTCCCGTAACTGAGCCTTTTCCCAATCATAACGCAGAGACGACATCAGCCGAGGCTCAGCACAAACCTCTCCACCATCGGGCCCCATTTTGGAAGTTCCCACTCGTGCCTAGATGCTTGAACACGAGCGCTTGCGATCTGGATGTGTAGGCTGTCTATCGTTCTCGCTTCAACTTCAGTCGACCCTTCTGCGACAATCCGAACTTGGAGATGTTTTTCGAGATACGGTACGATCTCATCGGGTTCAAGCCCAGAGATAGTTCGCGCCGAAACCATATGCACCAAGGCCGATGTCAGAGGAACTGTCCCAGACACGTGGTTGTCTGAACCCATGTTCTTCATCGCAAATACGCTCATTGATCCAACCAGATTTGGTGCAGCTGCCCAAGCAGTGGGTTCTCCGAGAACTTCACCTAGGAAGAAATGGATTGCGAACGAGCCATTTAATGCTCCATTCTGAACATGAACGTTGGCGATCCATTCGGTGTACATGTCGTCTTCAGTCGCTACTTTGGTCTGAAAGTCAGGATCTTTTGAGAAGTCTAACACATGCTTCGAAGTAGTTCCTTTCCGAACTTGGGATAGCGGCCCCCATCCCCTTTTTGACGCTGCTCTCCGTTGCTTCCAGGCCAGACCCGAGGGGCTAGACGAGCCGTATATTCTATTGATAGTTGCTATAAGGCGAGCTTGTTCTTCAGACTTGTGGATTCCAAGACTCGGATTTGTTTCCGCGTACGAATATCCGAAGGCCGTGGTGTCTCTGGCCATTGCCGAGTTCCAAAAGGTGCCGTTGGCGTCCGCATAGAATGGCTTGAGTTCCGTGAGCCAGTTTTGAACGGTCCCTGACGACATGGTGAAGGAAGGCTCCATTGCGACTTGGGAAGTGACCCAGGCAGTAGGGTACAGAACTTGCCACATGGCGACTATTCGTTCCACCATAGTATGGTGCAAGAAGAACACCGGATCGAATGCCGAATACTGAATGTAATACAGATGGCCGCGGTCGCCCACCAACACGTGCATAGCATCGTGCAAGGCCTCCACCGAGTCGTATTGCGTTTGATTCGACGCCGTCCCCCAATATTTGTTACTGAAAGGTTCAAAGTCCTTGTAATTGGAAAGGAGAGTATAGAGTCGTTGCTGAAGTGCAGGTCTGGCATGCTCGATCGAATGCGCTATACTTTGGTTGTCCGTTGTCTCGAAGGGAGCTCTCATTGTCTCTGTCCAATGGGGAAACTTGTACTATCAGGTTTTTACTCTTTGATCAAGTCGGTGACACTACTTACATCGCCTTGGGAGAAAACCAGCGGGTCCAGCGGCCGGAATTTGTAGCTGTATAATGGGTTGGCAATGGTCTGCCATCCGTTGGGGCCATACACTTGGATTGCAGGCTGCTCAAATTCAGATAAGTAAACAGTCTCTCCGAGCGGTGGTGTAGTGGCCCAGTCCCAGAATGGAATTCGGAAGTCTATTGCAGCGGCTTCGTAGTAAGCTCGTTCCGTGGGGTCTGGGAACCACGAGGCAATCAGCTGCACGAGTTGGAAGAGAATTTGCTGCTACGATGTTAGTGGGTTTTGAGCTGGCGTCACAGCTTCATGGGATCTGACCTCGTACAAAGCAAGATACACGCGATGCCACGATGGGAAGAGAATGGACATGTGGGTGCAGTACCCCCTTTCTTCTCCTCCCGGTACGCCAGGTACGCCATTCCAGGGGACGAAAGGAACGCCGTGAATGCCTGCTGTATATCAGAAAGCCGATCGACGCGAAAGGAGCCACTTGTTCTTACCTGCGATCTGATACCACGACAGCTGTTCACTTTGATTCGTGAACTGAAACATGCTTGAGGCGAGGAGGAAGAGATTCCACTTGAAGGGGTTCTCCATCAACTCTCTGATGTCGGGGCGGTTAGGAATAGTCCCGTTTATGGAAGGCAGCTTGGTGACAATAATTGGATCCTGCGTCTCGCGCTTGACCACCTTGGCCGCGTCGAAGCCATAGTCGTAGGCCGGCGGGGAGGGTATGGCCACTGCGGCAGCAGCGAGGAGGACAAAAGATAGGAGCATGGCGCAATGGAATGCCTTTTCTGCGCCCCCCTGGTTGTAGTCGACTAGAGTGGATTTAAGAGTATGAGAAGGTTGACAAGGACAATGGATATTGGTGTTCTCGTAGGATGGTACTGAGACGTGGTAGATGACGGAGGGTCGATCAAAACTTCGGCACAGCCAGATTGCCTTTAGGAAGGAAACCAGGTGTGATGATGACAGCAAGATGATCGTGTTCAAAATTCCGGGATTGTTTAGATGTTGATGAGTGCCGGGGTTGACGTCCAAATCGTGGCGGAGATGGGTGGCCTGGCCGAGAGGTATTTTGAAAAAGGACGAATCGAACGACATTTTAGCGTGCCAATATAATGCACTCTGCCCCCATCTTAAGGTAGATAGTCACGTAAGGCAAACAGGATGCGAGTGGCACGCCGCATGACCGTAATGGTACGGTGCTTGCGTAATTAAGTTCCTGGCTTCCGAAGGCAGTCTCTAGATTGGGGGAGAGAATCACCCAGGAAGGTGTCGAGACAAAGTACATCTGAACGTCGTAATCCCAATCTAGGTATTTGAGGAAAGAGAGACGTCACGGGCTAGGTAGGTACTGGTGAGAGCTGGAGACTGAAGCGGAAGGCATGGGTTTTGGCCCTCGGTATCTTGCGGGCACAAAACGTGCGGTGCCTTCCTGCCCAACTTCAACAATGTGACATGGCTTACCTTCCGTCAACTTTCCAAGAAGTATCACCACCGTAACTCATGTACATTGCTTTAGAGCCAAGCACAGGTTGAAGAGCATCCGACAAGAATAGCTGAGAGAGCAGGGCGCCGTGGCACGTCAAGCCAGGTGGAACTATTCAGCCAGAGCAAGAAAGCTCAGCATAGATATCTTTAGGTAAACGATGCCAGACCAGTATGAAGATCTCACTGACTCAATCTAAACAATCTAAAACAACTTGGTTGCCCACGGCGGCTCGTGGCATTTCTATATCAAGTCACCCCTAGAAAGAGCCACAGTAGCTTCCCGCCAACCCTCGGTTTAGACTGACCAAGAAACGGAAGCTATCACAGCTACTAGGAGCACAATCAACTACTTTGGATACCATAAGGCTTCTCAGGTACGCCACGAGCCGAACAAGCCCAATCTGTGCTATGGTTGACGGAAATACAGAGAAATCCCTCAGATCTGTGCCGCCAATTGACAGTCAAAATTTGCACAAGGCGGCTGCCGACATTGTCCGTACGATGTACGCCCGAATGGCTGTTTGTTGATTCGGTAACCTACATGAGACAAACGGTTCAGCATCTGATTGTGACCGCTCTACACATGTTGATGTTACGTAGTCCACGCTCGCACCATCTATGTCGTTTGTCAAGCTCCTTCGGACTTCGGCGTAGAGCCTGGAAGGCAAAGGTGAGACTCGGTTTAGGGGTTGAATCCAAACATGGAAGCTTGATGAAACAAAAAACCATCACTAATTGGCGAGAAGCACTTTTACCAGCATTGTGAACCTTTGCCCATTAAGAAGTCATGATTTATGTACAAGGTGGAATACATCTTTTGTCTACCGAAACGCCGTCGATCTAAGCCTTTAAGGTAATGATTTCATGGGCTTCAAGGGGCCCTTGCGAGGCGCGTCCTTGGAGTCGATGCGGTACTTCAGCTTGACACCCATAGCCGCCAACTCCACATCCAGGAACTTGAGCGCACCCGGAACAACGACAACCGTCGTGTTCTCGCCTCCGACCCACTGGTTACCCTGGCCGTCCTCCCAGATCTCTCCCTCCACCTTGGCGGCGCTCTCTGCGTCGCCGGCGTCGAGACGGGTCGCGCAGTTTCTGCAACGCACTGTCGTGACCTGCTTCTTCTTGCCCACAAATGGTGACACGGTTGGTTGAACTGAGAGGAACGAACCGCAGCTTCGGCAGATCCAAGATCGCGTGTAATCAGAACAGTTAAGCAGACGATCCTGCAGCAGGAAGGCCGTACCGTGAGCGAGCAGCGCGTCACGTTCCATCTCTCCCACACGAATACCACCACCACGCTTTCTACCCTTGATGGGCTGGCCGGTCGTCGGCACGACTGGTCCTGTCGTTCGCACTTGGTACTTGTCGTTAACCATGTGACGCAGACGCTGGTAGTAGACGACACCGACGTAAATGTCGGCGGCCAGTTCCTCTCCCGTGATACCAGAGTACATGGGCTCGTTGCCATGGTAATTGTACCCGGCCTTCATCAGCTGATGACCAAAGTAGTCACCAGCCGTGTTCTCCTCGTTAAACTTGAAGGGCGTGCAGTCTTGTGCCAATCCGTGGAGAGCGCCGGCCTTTCCAGCCAGTGACTCGACAAACATACCGATCGTCATACGAGAAGGGAAAGCGTGAGGGTTGATGATGATATCGGGCTGAATACCAGACTCGGAGAAAGGCATGTCGACAGCAGGCCATTTCTGGGAAGCGACACCCTTCTGTCCGTGACGAGAGGAGAACTTGTCACCAATGACCGGGGATCGGGGCACTCTGAGCTTGATGGAGATCGTCTGGGCAGGCTCATTACCCGACTCGCTACCGAGCACACGTACTTCCTCGACAAAGGCTGTCTCAGACTCCTTGTACTTTTCATAGTGTGTCTGACCGTCCAGGTTGATCAGCTTGCCGCTGTAATCTGCTGACACCGTGTGCCATGCGCAGAGCACATCTCCTTCTTGGACCATCCGTCCAACGTAGGGCAATCCGTCCTCATCAAGCAAGCCACGGTAGAATCCCTTGACAAAACCGCCGGGGGCGAAACCAAAGAGCTTGGTGATGTTCTTGGTGGCTCTCGTTCTTTGTTCTTCCTTCAGCGTGACCTTTTTCGTCTTGTAGATAGTACCGTGTCCGAATCCTCTTTCGTGTGCCGACTTGTTTAGAATCATAGCGTCGTCCATGTCGTAGCCAGTGTAAGAGATAACCGCCACAACGGCGTTGAAGCCATTGGGGAAGTTGTCGAATCCATAAGCGTTGTGCAGAGGCGATCGTACGACCGGTGTCTGGCCGCTCTGAATTCTGTACATTTTGTTGTCTGTTCGGTGCCGAAGAGCCGTTGCCGGTGTTCCCATGGTTTGCTTACCCATCTGACACTGGTACATGTTTCTGGGGGACTGGTTGAAGTCTGAGAAGGGCGTCATATTGGCAAGAATGGAGAGCATGTTGGTAGGGGTTTCCTCCACGTGCGTCGACTCGCCTGATACGATTTCGTTCTCAATAACGGCGATAGACATGTAGGGTTGCTCGTAAGGCCCGACGAAGTCCACCTTATCGAGAGGAAGATACTTCACGGGTCTGACCATACGCGCAGGCGCAGAAGACAAGTAGATACCGGGGTATGAGCCACCGTTTGAAGGAGGGACGTATCCAATTTCCAGTTGAAGAGGGACACCGTGAGTGCCCTCCACCTTCCAGAAACGGAGAGTGTCTGCAATTCTTAGAGATTCGCGAGGTGTGCAGAAGCCGATGAGCTTGCCGTCAAGCATGATGACAACGCTTTCATCTGTAGCCGCAGAAGATGTCTCCACAGCTCCCAACTCCGCCACGAGGCCGGGGATCTTGGAGGCGTCGACGGATTCGGTCATGATCTTACACTTGTGAGCCAGATGGTTGAGCAAACCGCAAGGCGAACCATCAGGAGTGTGTACAGGGCACAAGAAACCCCAAGACTCGGGCAGCAGCTTTCGGACCGTTGTTGTCTTCAGCTCGGCGAAGAAGGCACCTCTGTGAATCATTCGGAAGTGACTGATGAAACGGAGAAAGTTGAGCTTTTCCGCAACGACTGTGAAACCGGCTGTTTGTTGCAAATCAAGACCAGAAGGACTGGTCAGGTTGCCTGTGGAAAGGAAATATTCCAGGCCGTTTCCAAGGTTCTCGTTGGCGTGTCTGAAGATATTGGCAGGGAACTCCTTGGCGAAGTCCTGCGATGTGAAGGGGGTAGCCGGGTGCTTTCTGGTCCATTCGCGAAGGGACAATCTGACGGCAGTCGACAGGAACTCCTCAAGGCGCTCCTTGATGATCATGCCGTACAGGAAACCGCCAAGAAGAACCTCCTGGTTTTGGACAGCATCAGGGTTGTCGACAGCGCAGTCGCCTGCCACGAGAGCATACAGCTTTCTGATCATGAACAAGAGCATCTTGAACTTGTCGTTGTCCTGCTTCTCGGTGACGTTGATGTTACCAAGGTGAACAAGGACAACCTTGCGCAGGAACTCGGTGCCGACATCGTAGTTGGACATGGTGTCAGGTACACCCATCACCACGCGGAACTTCTCTCCCAGGTAGGCTCTCGTCTCGGTCTTGCTGTAGAGGCCGTAGGACTTGTAGGTTCGGAGCAGCAGCTCGACACGGTCCGTCAAGAAACTGTTCTTGGCCGACTTCGTGTTGGAGAGACCAATCAGTCCTTCGAAGATGTCGCGGTCGTTTGTGTCGACGAGAGCCTTGAGGACCATCATGACCGGTACGAGGTACTCATTCTTCTTCCATGAGAAACGGAATGTCATGTTGCCGTCGCTCAGGTAGTGCAAAACGTTGGTCTGAGATGTCTCATCGGGTCTCACCGATCGGACGATGATACCGTACGGGGTGTAGCCTTGGCCTCGGTTTTGGAAACTCGGTCGGTTGATCGCCATAGGGAAATTCCTTCGGTTGACTTGCAGCAGTCGGATAATCTTCTCGATACCGTTGACAATGAAGTAACCGCCCAGTTCTTCGGATTCCTCCTTTCTCTGCACCAATTGAGCCGGGGAGTTGCCCTCCAAGTGGCATCTGTTGGACTGCCAATCCCTCATTAGCACCCCGCCGTCAGTTTTGCAATTGATGTACAGAAGTGCTTACCTTGACCATGATTGGGACCTGTCCAAGCTCGCGCACGAATTCTTTCGGATCACCACCATTGACCCTGTACTCGAAGGTGGCGGAGAGCCTGCCTCGGTACGTCGAATGACGCTCTCTGCATTCGGAGGGCAGGATTTCACGATTCCTGGCGAACTTGTTGGAGGGGGGTAGCTGGGACTTTTGCAGCGCTACACTCTTGATCCGTACGGACAGGCGGTTCTTGCCTTCGAGGCCAGCCCTGTCGTCGCCATCGAGGTATGTCTTTGTGCCAATATCCTCTATGCCTCGAGCGAGGAGGCTCTTGTCGTCACTTGTGAACAAGGCATTGAACGAGTCGATGTGAGGGCTCACGGCCTCTTGCAGGGCAGGATAGGCCGTGTGATCCTTCGGGGGGTTGCGAAAGAGGTTCTCGCGACGAACGGTATTGTATTGGTGATCCCACTCGGTGCTTGTCGCTGAGGGCGCCATGTTCGCTCTCTCGTTCGCTTGCCTGCCTGCGACTAGGATTGTTAGCTTAAGTCGTAACTTCTTCCCTCTCCCATAGTGAACAATTGCTGGCTTACGGGGGACTATGGCATGTGGGTGTAACGATGTCAAGAACTGGTCTCCCTGGGCAAGACAAACGCGACAGAGACAAGGAGGGCGAAAGTGTAAGCTTCTTCCTACTGCACCGGGTTTCTGGATCGCAGAAGGTTAAGATGCGACGGTCGGGTCCTCGGTGAAAACAAAAAAATAATTATGGAGATTGGAGCGGAAAAAATTGCATCGTCCAATCATGGCGCGGTCTCGTCGAAAGTGCAGGCCGTTATCCAAGACAGTGCGAGGACGCTGCTTTATCTGAGGTGCGGGGCCCTGGTCTTGAGATGCTCATCCGGAATGGAGGGCCCGCGTACCTTAGACGGAACCCCACTGTTGCGGGATTGTGCACCCGGGACTGAGATGCTCTCGGAGTTCCCGTTATGAATGGCACCCGATATCCACGGAGACCGACCCACACCCGTCCGTACGCCAGCCTTCGCCTCAGATAAGGCCTTTCTCGGTACTTTGTACCTATGTTGTGGACACCGAAGTTAATTAGTCGTAGAGACGGGATATTGCGTGTCCTGCAGCTTTCTTGACTGTCCGTTACCTCTCATCTGTCACGAAATTTCAGTCACATTTGACTAGCTCCGGTCGCTTACTCAACGTGATGTGAACCCGACAGCTGGGAATCAACGACGGAAGTGGACGCGTCAATGGTTGGTGACTGTCATCGCCCGGGTTCGCTAACGGGACTCTGCTCTATTCGTCTGATGATCGAGATGGTACATTGGGTTGGTGGTAGCGCCATGGCCGCAATGAACTTCACTGGTCACCGCCCACTAAGTCGAATCAGCACAGCGAATTCTGACATAGGATTGTAGTGCCTACCCAGCCAGCCAGCGAAACCTTTCAGAAAGATGAAATTTCCAGCCCAAACTGGGATCCGTCAGGCAAGGTAAGCAACCTTCAATGGTTGGCCTAAGGTGTAAGAGTTATCCGCACTAATTAGAAGGTAGGGTAGCAGAGAGGTGAAATAAGGTAGGTAAGGTGAGGTAAGGTCAAGTCAGGTCAGGCCTTTGGGCGTAAAGTGGTCATGCCGTACCCCCGGATATCGTTGGTTCTCACCAATGCTCGCGGTGGATGGGTACCCTCCCCGTTGAATCTAGATTTCGGGAGTCTCCTAAGAATGCAACTAGCAAAGGAAGACTCCTGATTAGTAAGAATTACAGCGAGCAGCTGGCGACTTGCAGCCCAATCTGCACTGACTGGGGCCCGATTCACCAAGACCAAGAGCTAAGGCATCTCCATGAACATTCTACACAGTACGTGAGATACCTCCACCGAGGTACTCGCGATACATACTTCCCGTTCTCACTCTTTGTACTAGGTAGTCCACGGCCTTCGCGACTCCGCACCCATCACAAGATGATGGCAGGGTGATGCCCGGGGGATGCGTAACATACGCTGCCGCCCTTGCCTCTTGGCCTTTGCCTGTCTCACCTGCCAAGCCCCTGTCCTCTCCAGCTTTTGGTCGAGGTTCCGTACTTATTATCTCCATCTACCTCACTCCTCATTAAGCACGCCAAGGTAACCTAGGGCAATGGACAGTACCAACACTTGATGCTTGTGTGATGACACCACCTCTCCTTGGGAGGGAATATCGCAGACGTACATTACGATTTTCTTCTGTCCTCGTAGGGAGGGCTCTCGAATCTTGGTCTTCAGATCTTCTAGCCAGCTCAGCGGGTTTGTTCTGCCAAACTATTCAGAAACAAATGGGCATGCTGGTATCTTCTCCACCGCCTACATCATCTATTCCCATGGTCCCTTTCACGTCCACTGGCTGCAGAATCTAGAGAAATGGAGAAAGTAAGGCAAGGCACAGAAAATAGAGATTATCTTACCTTACCTTAAGATACATTAGCTTAATAAGTGCCGCACCTTCCATTGGGTGTAAGACTGAGGTGACTGATTGCCTTCCTTGCCTTAACCTTCCCTCCCATGCTAAACCCCAGCTGTGGAAGGTACATCTTGCGGAAAAGGCTCCTTCTTTCCATGAATGTAATTGGGTTGTCTGCGGCTTTTGTTGCCCGCGTGCTTGCCTGCCTGGAGAAAGAGCCCAGCCTGCCTTACGGTCCTTCCCTTCCATTACCTTACCTTACGGCCCTTACCTGACCATGCGCTGCCGTTGTTGCTAAATACTCCCGGTCTGCATCCTGCTTTCCCAGCAGCCTCGAGGCTCTCATCTCATCGCTTTCTATTCATCTAGCCCGGTCCGCCTTTCCTCCAGCTCGCCCTATCCAAATATTCATTTGGCTGCCTCTCAAGGTCGAGCTTGCATTGCTTCTTCATCCCGCTCGCAGAACCCAGCCCGACCTCCGTTGCTGGTGATCCTATAAAAGAAAAGGTAGCCACCAACAAACGCCTTTGTCGGCGAGCCGCCCGCTTCTCGCCTCGCCTCGCCTCTCATCACAGTCACAACGTCATTAGACGCCCAACGCCGACGACCATTCTCCCCTCTCATCGCACCGTCCTGCCTCGGCCCGCACGCAGCCAGCCCTTGCAGATTGCTTGACGGGGATTGTCAGAGAGATCTAGAGTTGTGCCGCCTGCAACAATTTGGGTCCTCACGCGCCCTTCATCCTTCTTCTTACCTTCCCCTTCGCGGCATATCTTTCTTTATTGGGGAATCTATCTACCATCTACTTTTGTTACCCATCCACCCACAAACGCGACCACCTGAGCAACCTTGCTTGGCACACCTTACCTTACCCTGAGGCCGACTAAACAACATCCGAGGTGGAGAGCCAGCCTTCGCGCCGACCGCATCACTTCGGGGCCTCCTTTATTAGCCTTGGAAGTCTGCATGTCTTGGCCTTACTTTGGACACCGCGGTTCGAATCGCTGCAACTCTTCAACCTAAGCCGGCTAAGACCGACTTGGCCCACCCATATCGGGTTCTGGTGACTTCCAGGACGTCTAGGCTATCGCGCCTCGCCGCCGTCTACCTCTGCCTACCGTAGCCGTTCGCCCACCGAAATACAGACACTGCCTACACTAAATTCAACCATCCGTCATATCCCGTTCATTTGGCATCGGCACCCGGGAGCAAATCCACGAGCTTTCATATCAGGCCACGGAAGCGTACTCTGGTCAAGTCATCCACGTCTGCCAAAGATATTCATCATAGTCGGATCGAGCGCCGTGGTGTTGAATAACCGCCTCGCAGGCTGGTCCTTGTCGAGCATCACCCTTCGCCGCCGCCGCCACGCTCGCATCTCATCCCTGCTACCGCTACCGTTGCTGTCATCAGTGGATTGACTTCCATGCCACTGCCGCGCATAACGTACTGCAAAGGCACTCACACCCGAACTCAGGTGCACCGGCACCCGCTTGACATACAATTACGTCCCTGATCGCAGCCCTTTCTCGCGCCTACCGTGGACAGATCCACACGATCCGGTAGAAGCAAACGAATGAAACCCCAGTCGTTGATCTTGTAACCGCTGCAGACCCTGTCAACGCGGTTATTCCCAGTCGCCTTTTCTTCCCCAACCGCCAATTCTTGCGACTCCAAATTCGGCACTGTTCATTCTACAGCTTGTGCCCCTCCCCTCCCGACCCCGGTCCCCCGACCCCAAGCTTGAGCCGGATCCAGGGTACTCAGTGACTTCCACAACCCATCAACCCTCACCATCCCGTCTTTTTCTGGTGGGGACCTACTATACCTTACCTTACCTCACAGGCTGCTCGAGGTACCTCTTCCGGCCCCAAAGGGACAGACCAGGCCAGGCCAAGCGTCACCTGCGCTCTTCTTTTCTGGTTTCCGCCCGCCGCCTGCACTGTCTGCACCTGCATCTGCGCCGCAACTTGCTCTCAGTTCCAGTGTCGTCGCCCGCCAACGAGAAACCAGCGACGCCCATCGAGCCTCTCTCTCTGTCTCTCCCGCCCCCATCATCGCACAGAGCAGAGCAGCAACCTACGCCGCCATCTCCCTCGTCGATGCCAGCGACATTTGACTTGCGACGTCTGGTCGGTTACCACGGGTCATACGAGACATTTTTATTTCCAATTTTTGAAGGCGTCTGAGCGCATAGAATACTTAAGCATCCAAATCACAACTCCGCACCCATCCTTCCTCCCTCTCCTTCTCTCACCGTATCGACGTCTCTTCCGAACGACATAGCAATCGCCACGCCACCGACCTTTTTCCGTTGCGCAACTTCTATTGCCGTCGCGCTATATCCGGATCCTAGAACAGTACACGTTGGCGACTCCTCATTTGGCCACCTACGCATACCATACCTCCTCCTCGACGCCAGCGCATCGCGCTCATTACACACCACCACCATGGCGGGGCTTTTCCGTAAAGTGTACGACTGGCTGTTGAGGACGTTCTGGTGAGTGCACTTTGATTGCCGCGATGAACAGCGGGGGTGATTTTCAGCGATGGACGGCCCGCGCGCTCTGACCTTACCCCGCCGCGCCCACTCTGCCCTTACCCTCGATCCTTGGGGATGGTATCTTGAGCTTGAGCTGACTTGCGATGACAGGGCGACAGAAATGGATGTGACGATGATCGGTCTCCAAAATGCGGGTAAGACGTCTCTACTCCGCGTACTTGCAGTAAGTCAATCCTCTCCTACACCTGCCATGTTTTCCTCTGCGCCAAATCCGTCCGCACGCTGACATTTACACTTGTAGGGCGGCGAGTTCACCATCGAGTAAGCGACCTCCGGTTCTTCTTCACCCCTCAGAACTGCCTACCGTGCCGTCTCTGGTGTAATCGGTCACGGCTAGCGGCATCTTCGGCTAACTGAAATCTCGTGTAGCTCGATCCCGACGGTCGGATTCAACATGAAGCGGGTGCAACGAGGACACGTTACACTGAAATGTTGGGATATTGGTGGTCAGCCCCGGTTCCGAACGATGTGGGAAAGATACTGCCGTGGCGTCAACGCTATCGTCTTCATCGTCGATATCGCTGATATGGACCTGCTGCAGCAGGCTCGGGAGGAACTTCATGCTCTCATGGACCAAGCTTCTCTGAGGGAAATCCCGCTCCTTGTTTTGGGGAACAAATCGGACCTCCCGCAGAAGTTATCGGTGGACGAGCTGATCGATGCGCTTGACCTCAAGTCCATAGGCCATCGCGAGGTCTGCTGCTACGGCATCAGCGCCAAGGAGGAGACCAACTTGGATGCCGTGCTGCAGTGGCTGATGAAGTGGGCGAACAGGTGATGCGTAATACTGATGCGCGTTGGGTGCCTCGATCCACCGCGTTCCCAGTTGTCCCGCCCTGCCGTTCCTACTCGATCGCATCCCTCTCAGGGTTGTGGGCTAGTGGATTCGAAAGGGTAATGCGATGCTGAAGACGGAGGGGGAGTATCCGGCATGGTGTTCGGTGTCGAGATGTGGTTGTGTCAAAATTGTCCTCCAAATCACGGACCTTCTGACGTTGTTAGTCGGTCTGCGACAGCATTAGCAGCAGTAAGCGTGCCAAGTCCCCCATGGCGTTTTCACCATATCCCATATACCGGAGCGGGAGGGAAGGGGGCAGTTTTTCAGCGGTAATTTGGACGGCATTTCTGGAAGCAGGGCGCTTGCCTTTGATTTTGAAGTTAGCACACCGGGATTCCCAGTCATTTAAAGGTCATCTAGCCTAGAAATGCTGGGCGCGGCACCGCTCAAGCGAGAAATAGCAATGTAGAAAGGAGCAGAGCGGGGTATGAGTGGGTGGCCATGACGATGCTACAAAAGTAGACGAATGAATATCATGACTGATGTACGATCGCTTGATCATTTGTCCAAACTTTATTTGTATGAGTTTTTCGCTGCCACAACATAGCTCTTCGTCTGGGAAGAAGGTGAGCCGCTTCGCCGTTAAATCGACAGGAGCTGGTCTGAGCTACAGCTACAGCACCAGTGTGTGGTGGTGTTGAGAGAGGGAGTGTGAGGTACAGTTGACAGACCTAGGAGAGGGGTAGACAGCAGAAGAGAGAAACCAAAATAAAGAACGCGGGATGTCTCGAGAAGAAAAGTAAAGAGAGGAAAGAGAAGGGTGAAAAGAGAAAGAGAAAAGACTTGTTTTTTTTTTTTGACAGTCTCTTTTTTTTTTTCTGTTCTCCTTCTCGTTCAGCAGTGGCAGTCTTGCTCTCTCTTATTGTCATTGCCTTTTGCGCAGCACACATACCAGAGACTGCCAGCGCATCGCGCATCAATGCATCGGTTTCCATCTGCTGCTGGCGCGACGTGATTGGTCCGCCAACCGACGCTTCCGCACCCCTTTGCTGCAGGGCCCATGGGGTGAAGACGGAGAGAGGGAGGGGTGATTGGGAGCCCGTTGCGCTGAGGTGCTCTCTTGTCTCTTGCGTTGTGTTTTCAATGTCTCGGACGTTTGGGAGGGAGAGGGGGGGGATATAAAGTTGAAAGGACAGGGAAACCCAAGCAAAGTAGGTAGACAGATAGGTTGACAAAAGGAGAAACCGGGTTGGAGAATAAACGAGAGGTGAAAGGAAAATGTGCCCTCTATTGGAAATAACTACGTATTTGGGGGAGAGGGCAAGAAAATCCCCCTCCCGCAGGACCCATTCAATGAGCGATGCCACGATGTGTTAGCCAGGGATGGCCTGGTGATGCTTGGGACGCTAGAGGTGGCAGAAGTGCCAAGCGGACAGGACAGCTGCTTTTCCTTCTTGCTTCCCGTCGTCAACCCCACACTCACTGACTGGACGCCGGTTTACTCGCTCACTCTTTATCACCTTGGCTATTTGCCTTGGATACCTAGGAAGGTAAGAACAACCTCCAGCCTTTTGACTTGACTTATTTCACCTCTCTTACCTTCTCAAATTCGCAGTGAGTGAGCGAGTTAGTGTATGGTATTCGGTGAGTCGATGGCTACCAACTGTCACGTAAGGTGAATATGGAATGTGGAACTCATGTACCCACTCAAATACTCATTGCTCGCTCGCTCATTCGATGTCATCCACATCACCGTAATACATCTTTTTCAAGGAACTGGAATGCCTCTCACTCCACCCACAAGGCAATGCGGCACGAGCACGGGGGTTGAGAATGTAATTTACAGGGTGTGCAATTCTTCTAGTGCCAGTGAGGACTTGCCAGATGCCCTCCCTTTAGGATTCGCCATCCCTCTCTCCAGAAAAACAACGATGATGCGAATCCTCCATGTAACCAGTAACTCCATGCTAATGTGCCCATTTGAACAAAACAGAAGATAAGAAACCTAACCAAAGAAGCAAGAGGCGGAAGCCCAGGACGGTCATGGGTAGTCGGTAAACCCAGCTGAAGGCCCATCCCTATTCACCATGTAACCAAACTTTTCCGGCTCGTCCAGCAGAATACTCGGCATATCTGTGTTATTCTCGAGGCGCACAAACTGGTCAACGTCCCGGCCCCAAAGGTCTTTTCCGTTCCTAATGGCGTCCGCTATACGGTCCTTGTTTCGAAACCTTTCGCCATTCATCCACTCGTGGGAGAAGGACGACATCTTGGTGAGGAACTCATCGACGGTGGCGAAGCAGCTGGAGCAGTGCCAGCAGGCATTCCCGAGATTCGCCTTCTCGAGATCATAAAGAGGCTTGAAGCCCCCGTCTCCCATTCGGAGGTTCGCCGGCAGAAGCGTGCGCGAGCCCTGGTAGTAAGTGGCTTGCGGGTGTTCCCACTCAGGTCCCGTGTGGAGGAACTGGAAACTGTAGTAGTAAAACCGGCTACGCAGAGTCAGGCGGCGAGGGAATTGGCACGTTCGCAGCACCAGGAGTGTCTCCAGCCGAGCAATCTCGTCAACGTCGGCAACGAGGATAACGTCCCCGTATACCGGAGCCTGCTTGCCGACGAGTCTAGGCAACACTTGGGTGTACATGGCGTTGCGCTGTAAGTCTTCGTAGTCCCACGACCTTCTCGGATTGAAGTCTGACGGGAATTCGAGTTCGTGGTAGATGAGTTTGTCATGGTAAGGCTTGAAGCGATCCCAGTTCTCCTTTATCGTGAGTGGCTTAGGCCTGCCAGTAAAAGTCTTGGGAGACTCGACAATGACAAAGTAGTCAACGTAGTCGTAGGTCGAGTTCAAGCGTATTTCCATCCAGTCGAGCTCTGTGTTGACCATGAACAAGTCGTACACCTTTCGCTGGCCAGTCTCTGACTGAGGAGTGAAGACGGGGTAACCGTGGTGCTTGCAGAACTTTGCGGCAGCATCGGAGGAGTAGAAGCCATGATGATCGCTCTTGTTACCGAAATTCAGACCGCCTTTGGGAAGCTTGAGGGACAAATCGAGGCTTGAAATGCGATGGTCGAATCTGTCAAGTGCAGGATGTTGGATAAAGTATAAAATGAGGCAGACCGTAATCGCTAATAAGAGTTTCAGGATGACAGGAAAGCCAACATGCCACTGGAGAACCATGGTCCCGTTAGGCTAGCTGTTGATTGACAGATGGTGATCTAAGTAGGAAGGGCAGCAGATGTTCTGGTCTTGAGTCGTTGCGGCGAGGCTGTTTCGTTTTACGTCTCGAAACAAAAGCTGGTGACCGGATGTGAAGTACGGCGAATGCAGCGTTCACCCTAGGCCGGTGTTACTGGTCGAAGCGTGAAAGAGAATCCTAGCCAGAAGGCAGTGTGAGGAAGACACACTTTGCAGAGCTGCTCAGATGAGAGCATCCGGGCCACGGATCGTTTGTTGACGGGAACAGCCTTGTCGCATATTTTCAGAACTGGGGAAGTGTGTAAACCCCAGGATACCAGGGGGAAAGAAGCAGTAATATAAAGTGTATGATTATGTCAAGGCTCGGACAGGCTCGAGCACCGGTGTCACCTGTGAAATATGAAGTAGCTTGAGATGCCAGAGGCAGGAGCGTGGAGGGGCGAGCTGAAGCGAAATCAAGCAAGCACACGCGCTTTAATGAAATAAACGTTTTACACTAAGGTAGGCAGAAGTTCTGATCAAAGTGGCACACTCTAGCTGGGCGGTTTACCGGGGAAAGCCTCAGCTATGGGCAAGTTTAGGTTACCACAAAGGTAGCACTAATAGCGCGATGGCGGGCGCTTCATAGTTCATACAAACCAAGGGAGCCCCTGAAATTGCGTTGGAGAGCAGATCGGTCGAGTTCCATTGTCGAAGCTGGCAAGCACATGGCGGCACCATGTCCTCTCAGCCCCAGGTGGATGTGAGTCTCCCGTGTCTTGCACTTGCAGACATGTGTCCACCCGGCCTAGGATTGTGCGTGTGTGGCCTGTTGTCCAGGAGTGTTCGGAGGAATGGTAAACTTGGGGCCGGCACATTGAGATACCGTCCGTCCGGCCTTCCATCTTTGACGTTGATGAGCCCAGGATCAAGGGTGGGACCACGGCCGCTTGCGTTTTCTGTTTATGTAGAAACGCCGAGAAGATAACTCTATTCGTATGGTGGTAGATCAGACGAGCCAGCTTGGAAAGGGCAAAACATACAGTCTGAGAAAACACGCTGAGGCTTCTAGCCCAAGATCATTCTCTCAATGGCTACCAGCACTCGTCTCGCCCTTGATGGGAAAGTGAGCTGCACGATGAGCACGAGAAGGCACGAACATCCGTGGTTCCGTGGTGCGCGGGTAGGGTGAATGTGAAAGATGAGAAGCAGGGGACGTCGTGCGTGATTGGTGCCGCCAACAGGGGTGTAGCAAGAAGAAGCTTTCACCAGGCCGAGTGGGGCCTAGTCACTCCTGACCAGTGGCCCTACGCAGTCAGTATTTCTCTCGAACAGGTGAAGGCGCGACAAAGATCAAAGCTGGGCATTGCTGCGCCAAGGTCAATAACGGTAGCTGTCAGCACTGTCGCGCTCCTTTCCCGACGATCAACGCCGTATGGCACCGAACGTGCTGAGTAACGCCCCTACGCAAGCTGTGAGGCGCAATCCATCGTCGGCGGAACTCCACCATCAACAACACCAGGAAAGACTTTGATGATGGCTGCCTGTTGCGGGTTTACACACTGCCGTATGCTATTACCTAAGAGGGATCCGGGGGCTCACGATCCCTCAATATTGACCCCCCGCCTACTCCTGAAAGACAACACAAGCCAAGGTGAAGCTTTCGTCTCAATACCTGGTCAAGAAAGGCCTCTAGAGCTTGGTGTGTCTGAGCAGCCACTGTCCCACCGCCCAGGTTTCAAGTTCCAGCAATGCCATCACGGGCCAAGCCCAGCAGGCCCCAGCTTCGAAGCTTGCTCGATTCAAGCACCTATTGGTCTGAAACAAAAACATCCTTCACCTCGGGAGGAGGCTTAGAGCTGAGATGTCAAGTTGCCAAGCTGGTGTTCCTGCGACATTTGAAATTATACCGAGTAACGTCCCTTTAGGTATATTGTATCCTTCTCCAATCTTTCTGTGAGACGCATTGGCCAATCCACTCTATGCTATGTCATCACTTCCGAACCCCCTGCGGAGATCGAGATAAGATAAGCAACGTCAAAGGAGCTAGGGTAACCGCCCCGGCAAGACGATGCCGAGTCAATACAAACAAGCAAAGCAACCTAGTATGTACTGAAGCATGAATGGTAAATACCGACATGAATGTCTGCAGAAACAGAAGCAGCTCGATATGTCATCTCTGAAGTACTTGGATGGTGATTGTCAGTAACATGAGATGACAAAAAGCTTTGTGGTCCACTGTTACTGTTGTTGGGCAACTCTCGAGCGTCCAAGACCACCCGTACCTCGGAACGTACTTGAAGTGCTCCACTCATGACAACGTCGCTGGTTGTTCCACATCGACCCCGACTCCGACCCCGGACTTGCCAGATAACGTACCGATACTGTGTATCTGTATGGAGAGCTTGTATTCAACCGGCCCACGAAAGCATCTCGTCCCGGCCAGACCCCAGAAAAGATGAACTCGACCAGGAGAACGAGTAAGTCTAGTCCTGCTCAGAAAACAGCTTCGTGGTACTAGTCTCCTCGCTGCTCGATATCAAAGCTCTAGAATTCACTCAAATAAGAGCATCCCACCTTCAGGAATCTTTTAAAGCCAAATCGGAACACTAACCGATCGGTCACCCACAGTTTCATTCACCTTGCGCGCGGCGTTGAGGCAACCTTATAGCAAGCCAACCCCGCAGCTGTCAACGGCCTTCAACGCCCTCACCCGCCACACGCTTCCAGGCTCTGCCGCATCCATCCACACATCGTCTCCCCGATCAATTTCAGGAGCAATGTCCCCATCTGCTGTCAGTAGCACGAGCAATGGCACTGTTAGTGCCCCTAAGCAGAATGCTTGGATTGGTCATCTCGGGGCCGCGGGCTTCGACCTGAGAAGTAAGTAAGGGCGTCAGCTTGATCAAGGGTTGGTAAAGTAACAGCAATGATAAGGCGATACCATGACCACTCCGACGGCGTCGATGCTCGCTGCCATTCAAAACTGCAGCTTGCTAGATGACGTCTTCGTAGAGGACCCCACAACGATGGAACTCGAATCTCATGTCGCCGCTCTCGCTGGCAAGGAGGCCGCTCTCTTGGTGCTCTCCGGGACTATGGGCAACCAAGTAGCCCTTCGAGCACTCCTCACACAACCTCCATACAGCGTGTTGAGCGACCATCGCTCTCACATCATCAAGTACGAAGCTGGCGGGTTCGTGCATCCCTCTCGCCTTCGTACCGTGTGACATCTACTGATTGATATTCGTCAGTGTTGCTTCGCTTTGTGGCGCCATGATACAACCCGTGGTACCAAGCAATGGAGCTTACCTGACACTGGAGGACATTGAGGCCCACGCTGCTCTTGATGACGATGTCCATACCTGTCCTACCAGGGTCATTAGCTTGGAAAATACCCTCGGCGGCGTGGTGACCCCTCTGGCCGAGGCCAAAAGGATCGCAGAGTTTGCACGCAAGAACAACCTCAAGCTTCATTGCGATGGTGCTAGAATGTGGGAGGCTGTTGCCTCTGGAGCCGGTAGTCTTTCCGAATACTGCTCACTATTTGACACGGTCAGCTTGTGCTTCTCGAAGGGCCTCGGTGCTCCGATTGGAAGCATCGTTGTGGGCGACGCAGCGCACATCAAGCACGCCCGCTGGGTGCGCAAGTCTATCGGCGGTGGTCTCCGGCAGTCTGGAGTGGTAGCGGCTCCTGCTAGGGTCGCCGTTGACGAGACGTTCGGAAAGGGGCCCAACGGTGAAGGCGGTCTTTTGAAGTCGTCTCATGAGACTGCAAAGAAAATAGGGGAACTCTGGACCAGCTTTGGCGGCAAGCTCACCCTTCCGGTGGATACCAACATGTGCTGGCTTGATTTAGATGCTGCCGGGTGCAGCACTCAGGACTTCATCGCGTTTGGGGCCGAAGTGGGACTGAAGCTCATCGGCAACAGGTTGGTCATCCACTATCAAATTGCGCAGAACCAAGACAAGGTTCTGCCTAAGCTAGAGCAAGTCTTTCGGCGAGCTCTCGAAGGCGGTAGTCAGACAACAGGAGGGGAGAAGGGCCCGACGAACATGTACCAGCCGCGATAAGGTTGAATGTCGTTTCTTGGGTTCTCGTGGACATTATATCTTCCAGACGACGCCAACTTCAATAGATGATGTTACGCCTATATCCTCGAATGATCCAAGGTTATCACAACCTCGGCCTAAGTGTCCCTTGAATATGATCCGAATTACATGAAGGAAGCAATCCTCGCTGGCTGACCTGGCAGATTTCTACTCAAGGTAGCTGATGTAAGACGAGTGACCCCCGCTTCACCCCTGTCATCTCAACTGGTCAACCCTCAAGAAAGGCATGGCAGACATACAGAACATTCTATATCATGGGCAAATCCAGACATCAAGCTTGAGATCTGCGGCCAAACTTTGGTATGCGCAATATTGAACATGGACGCTACCATTTAGGATGGCCCATGGCCAAGTCACTTGGTGTATGTCACTACCACGTTCAAAGATTTATTATCCGCCGCCGGACTTGACACCACAACGCCGATGCCGATTGCGACTTATGAAAGAGACGTATACAATTCAAGAGTGGCAGATTAATATGGCTTTGGCGCGAAATGAATTATGTTTTCATATTTAACCGCAATCAAGACTACTACGGCGCTTCGGACGGATGTGGATCAGCCTTGCAGGCTTTTGTACATGCAATGCCAGCTTGGAGTGCCGATGAGTAAGATGACTGAGAAGTCGAATGTAACGAATGTAACATATCGTCGGAAAATTAAACATATTGATAGGGGGTCAGGTTGCGACAGCCCCAATGATCTGTCGTTGGTATATCTAACATCAATGTGGCCGATCTTCGTCTCTCCACACATCTTCAACTCTCGAAGGCGAGTGATCGTTGTAAATCAACTTGTGGGAGTTTCAAGACCCATGGGAACGAGATTTCGTACGATTGCACATCATCAGATGTAACAAAATATTGGGTTTATCACACACCACACGAGAATCTCGCTCTCGCTCCTGTCCAGGCACCAAAGCTACACAACGAGGCAGACCCTTGGGCAGAAAAGTTGAAAGTACGGAGTACACCGCGGGCGACCGTCTCGTTGTACATGGGGAAGGCCTTGTTTGCACATCACCTACGACACTGTGTCTCGACAATGGACAGACAGCAACAGAAGAAGAAGAATGTAAACGCGGAACAATTAAGACTTCGAGGACCACTCAGCCGCCACTGACATAGCTATGTAAACTGTCATGCAGTTGGTATCTGCATTTGAATGCATCAAGACAACGTTCGGAGCAATTTCCGGGGGAGCGTGGGGAAAGCTGTATCCGGGACCGCCGAGCTTCTCCGCATGGCCCGGCTTATTTGTCCAATAACAATTACAGCATGGTCTGACGAGCACCAAATAAAGCCTTTAATACCCCGCCAAACAGGCATTCTTACCGCAATTTCCAAGACAAGACTAATACCAAGTTCGCAAGATCCCACGGTCATCCTTGCTGACGTCACAATACCTGTCGGTCCAAGTGGGATGACATACGATGCTCGTCACCCACACCTTCGGCCTACCCTTGCACTAATTAATACGCCTAGCCTGCTGGCACATCATGCTCATGGACGCTTCTGGAGCTAGAAGCTTCCCCCAGAGCTGGGAAATCACTGAGAAGCTGAGAGGAAACAAAACAAGCGGCCAATCGGTGCTATGACGCTCGTACAGCGGCTCTACCACGGCTCCCCAAAGGACTGGATCATGCGGGGAAAGCTGCACGTCGTCTGCAAGCGGGACCGGCGAAGTCAGCCAGCTTCATTCTCGGTGTCAAGGTGTCTCTCTGCCTTGTTCGATGTGACAGCACTCTTGTCTCGATTCGTAAAAGTTGCGTGTTGTGGCGTCCAACGTGTCGTCTGCCATGCTGCGAACCCAAGATGCCTGCGATGGCGCAGAATTGACTCGGACCCAGCATATTCCAAGCCCAACGGCGCCGAACAACGGTAACCTTCTGCTCGGCCGCCCACGTAAACCCGCAGGAAACGATGGAGTTTTTGAAGTTGTCTTGGTCATAATGTCTAACATCCTGGGAAAGCCTATGCACACTTGGGTTCGCGGCACCCTGGTACCGGCCCGGGTCTGCCCTGGCCTTGTTACGGTACTTGCCCACCTCAGGCGACCGGCGATCCCTCCTGGCGACGAACCCGTCCAAGCTTCCCCTCCCGACCTAAGGTACGTGAAGCTGCAGCCGATCCTGGTGGGCAGCCTGGCAGCTCCCCATGTGCATAAGGTACTTCCCTCTGTGCCCATTTATACCTGGTCGTGAGCCACTTCATCCGAAGTGAACATCTCGTCTGCGTCCTTGGATCTACCCGTTCAATAATACTACCATTGTGTATATACTAGCTCCTACGAGAGCTCAACTGAACGCCATGGTCAACTTTGCACTGGCCCTCGCAGCTGTAGCTGTCTTACCTCGGACAGCTCAGGCTTTGTATGAGAATGGGTCTGTCATCGCTCCTTGCGACTCACCCATCTACTGCCATGGCGACATCTTGAAAGAAGTTGAACTGGCAAGACCGTTCTCAGACTCAAAGACATTTGTAGACATGTGAGTGCCCATTGACATAGCCCTATGACCATAGCTCGACATAGGCTCCTTACTGATACTCATCGCTCCTCGAAAGGCCTGCAATTAAGTCCCTGGAAGAGATTCAAGCAGCATTCAACAACCTGTCAAAACCCCTGAGTAATAACACTGCACTCAATGACTTTCTACGCGCCAATTTTGCCGCAGCAGGTGGTGAGCTTAAGGAGGTACCGAAGGATCAATTGAAGACAGACCCAAAGTTCCTCGACAAGATCAACGATACAGTAATCAAGGAATTCTCTCAGAAGGTCATTGCCATTTGGCCGGACTTGACCCGCACTTACGCTGGCTCTGCGAGCAATTGCACAACATGCCCGAACAGCTTCATCCCAGTCAACCACACCTTTGTGGTTGCTGGAGGCCGATTCCGCGAGCCTTATTATTGGGATTCTTTCTGTAAGAGCTCGCTACGTAGCTTCACATTTACATGTACAGTTGTCAGCTGACTTGTAATGTCGCGTAGGGATTCTCGAGGGCCTCTTACGGACGGGCGGCGCTTTCACTGAGATCTCCAAGAATGTTATCGAAAATTTCTTGGACCTCGTGGAGAAACTCGGGTTTGTGCCCAATGGTGCTCGAATCTACTATCTGAACCGTTCACAGCCGCCATTGTTGGCACAGATGGTGCGCCTTTATGTCGAGTACACAAGCGACCGGAGCATCCTGGAACGCGCAATCCCTCTCCTCATCAAGGAGCATGACTTCTGGATGACAAACAGAACCGTTGAAGTAAACAGAAACGGTACCATATACACTCTGAATCAGTCAGTGAAATATTGAGACCATCGGACTTGTCAGTTTGTAGCTAACATCAAGGATCAGATACAACGTCACCAACACACAGCCAAGACCCGAATCATACAGAGAAGATTACGTTACTGCTTCGAACGCTTCCTACTACTCGACCAGCGGAATCATTTACCCCGAGGTCGAGAAACTGAACGACACCGAAAAGGCCCGTGTGTATGCCAATCTTGCGTCCGGTGCCGAGAGTGGCTGGGATTACACCTCACGATGGCTTTCTCGACCTGCAGATGCGGCGAGGGACGTTTACTTCCCTCTAAGATCTCTCAACGTTCTGGAGACCGTCCCTGTGGAGCTGAACTCCATCTTATACTGGAATGAGATGACCATTGCTGCGCTACTCAACTCCACAAACAACGGTACGGGAGCAGTGGCTTGGACCGAACTTGCCACCAAACGAAGTCAAGCTATGTACGATTTGATGTGGAATTCAACCCTTTCAAGCTACTTTGACTACAATGTGACCTCGGGAGGTCAGAACATCTACATTCCCAAAGACGATGATGCCAGCACTCTTGAAACGGATACCGCCGAAGCAGAACAACAAGTTCTGTTTTCGGTTTCTCAGTTCTACCCATTCTGGACAGGAGCGGCACCTTCCCATCTCAAGAACAACCCCTATGCGGTGAAGCAAGCATACCAGCGTGTAGAGAAGTATCTAGACATCAAGAAGGGCGGCATCCCCGCCACAAACCTCAAGACAGGTCAACAGTGGGATCAGCCAAACGTCTGGCCGCCCTTGATGCACGTCCTGATGGAAGGTCTCCGCAGGACACCTGCCACCTTTGGAGAATCAGATCCTGCTTGGCGTGATGTTCAAAGCCTCGCCCTCCGCCTTGGACAACGGTACTTGGACTCTACCTTCTGCACATGGTATGCTACGGGGGGTTCAACTAGCGAGACTCCTCAACTCCAAGGTTTGACTGCCCAGAGCGTCGGAACCATGTTTGAGAAGTACGGCGATAACTCAACCAATGTTGCGGGTGGCGGTGGAGAGTATGAAGTGGTTGAGGGGTTCGGCTGGACGAATGGCATCCTACTGTGGGCCGTTGATGTATTTGGAAATGACTTGAAGAGACCCGACTGCGGGAACATCACCGCAGCCAACATTCATCCCGCTAAGAGAAGCTTGCCTCAACGCGCGGTAGAATTAGATTCCTACGATGCTTCTTGGATCAAGAAGTTTGGTAGACGCGCTGAGGAGGCCGCGAGGAGGGTATAGAGTCACAAATGGGCTGGCCTGCGATTATGATACTTAAGTAATGCATCGCGATGATATCATAGTATTGAGATTGTCTGAACGGGGGTGCTGGTGAGCTTTAGGAGCCCCATCAGGTCAATAATATCTTAACGACGTTTACGTGGACTCGCTCTCTACCTGGTGCCGAAGCAACCAAATGCTTGCCAATCATGTTTTAGGTGAGCTTGTTAATCCGCTGCGTAGAGTTCTGAAGACTATGATGATACCGAAAACGTCCAATCATGATCCGATATGATATTGCTCCCGTCGACGTACCATTAGCCACCTTGTCCGCTTCATTTCGTGGAGATCAAAGATGAAGCTTCTCTCGCAAATGGAGGCTAGCTTGCTTGCTAAGAGCTGCCAGCTGTTCCCAGGTGGTGTGAGTAAGAATCTCGGCAAGCAACGACGGGTAATCAATCCGGGGATGGTCTGTGCGTCTTCCTGGTTGATGACGGCTCGAACGAACCAGGAGCTGCCTGAGGTGCTTGCCAGCTGCCGCCGCGGGCACACTCCAAAGCCGAGAGCACCGGCCAACACCATTTTTCGAGCTCCGCCAAACGAACCGTGACGTTGAATACTGGTCTGACAAAGCTCCACCATCAGCTTTCCCATTCCGAAGCTGCAGCAACCCACAGTCAATCGACCTCAATCGACCGCAAAACAGCACCGATCGAAGCTCCCTTGCCCCGAGCTGAATCCCCATCGAACCGGCGCGCCCGCACCCGAACTTGATCATGTCTGGAGGAAGAAATCCCATGGAGGAGGCCTACGAGCGCTTCAGGGCCGTCGCTCAGCAGCAGCAGAAGCGCGGTGGCTTCGGCGGCGGCGGCATGCCCGGCGGCCCTCGCGGCGCTGGCATGGGACTTGCCGGTCTGGTTCTTCTGGGAGGTGCTGCATTCGTGGCCCAGAATGCGCTGTTCAACGTCGATGGTGGTCACAGAGCGATCAAGTATCGGAGGACAACGGGTGTGAGCAAGGAGATCTACAGCGAAGGTAGGCAGCGCCCCTCCACACCACTTGAAGTGGCACTTTTCCTCTTGATATTGGAGAACAAAACGTGCTGACATTTTGCCTCCTCTCTCAGGAACCCACTTGATTATCCCCTGGTTCGAGACTCCCGTCACCTACGATGTTCGCGCGAAGCCCAGAAACGTCGCCTCCCTCACCGGAACCAAGGACTTGCAGATGGTCAACATCACCTGCCGTGTCCTTTCCAGGCCTGATGTCAAGGCCCTGCCTCAGATCTACCGCACTCTCGGCACAGACTACGACGAGAGAGTGCTGCCTTCCATCGTCAACGAGGTTCTGAAGAGTGTTGTTGCTCAGTTCAACGCTTCCCAGCTCATTACCCAGAGAGAGATGGTTGCCAAGTTGGTTCGCGAGAACCTCTCTCGCCGTGCCGCACGGTTCAACATTCTGCTGGACGATGTGTCCCTGACGGTATGTAACTGGCACTCTGTGAACCCCCATGACGTTTTGCTAACATTGCGCCGTAGCACCTTGCCTTTTCCCCTGAATTCACAGCTGCCGTTGAGGCGAAACAGGTTGCCCAGCAAGAGGCGCAGCGCGCGGCGTTCGTTGTCGACAAGGCTCGCCAGGAGAAGCAGGCCATGGTTGTCAAGGCTCAGGGTGAGGCTCGCTCTGCTGAGCTGATTGGAGATGCCATCAAAAAGAGCAAGGCCTACGTCGAGTTGAAGAAGATTGAGAACGCGCGCGCCATTGCTCAACAGATGCAGGAGTCCGGCAGCAAGAACCGCTTGTTGCTTGACTCTGAGGGCCTGGGTCTGAACGTGTTTGACGATAGCGAGAAGAAATAAGGCGTCGGCATTTGGGCGCGAATTCTCCACACTGTACTCCTACAACATCAAAATTTGGCATGGCCTTGTATAATAATGAAAAAAACGCCTCTGAGAGCTTTGAAAACACCTCATCTGCAAACGTATGAGGCTCGAGAGGGATGGTGGAAAATCCATCCGTGTATAACAAACAGAAACTCTTCGGTGTTTCCGGTACAGAACAACAGAAAATTCCACATCACAATTGCCTCTCATTACGTTGCTCATTTGTAAAGTCCTTTATAGTAGCATGCTTGCTACGTTTGGAATTTTGCTCTGTACATTACTTTCTTGGAGAGCCGTCGATCCATTTGCAGCACAGGCCGTCGGAATTGGTGGATGCCTGCACAGCGTTAAGACGTGCCTGGGGTGGGCCCGCGCATTTTAGAGGTCCCCCTCCCCTGCTCGGCTTACAGAAGAGCCCCTCCCCCACCACGACTTCCTGCCTGCGGATAGCTCGAGATTAATCGTGCAACCGTCACATCCTCAACCAACAAACCACACGACCCCGCCAAGTCGAATTCGAATACCACACAACCTCGCCTTCTCTACCTCTTCTCGAATCCAAACTCAACTCCACAGATCGTTGTCGATATTCCACACACGCCACAATGTTGATCAAGTACGCGAATCTTTGTCTTCCGGACCTCTGGAGGCGGTGACCCGCCTGTACCCATTCGAATAACTGCTTACGCCAACTAGGGTGCGAACACTTACTGGCAAGGAGATTGAGCTGGACATCGAGAACGAATATAAGGCGCGTACTTATCCGACACATTGCCCACCGAATACAACAGACGGAAACAGAGAGGGTGAGAATATGACGCTGACCAACCTTGCAACAGGTCTCTCAAATCAAGGAGAAGGTTGAGGAGAAGGAAGGCATTCCGCCCGTCCAGCAAAGACTCATCTACGGTGGAAAGCAAATGTAAGGCGTAATTCCCTTTGGGCGTGTCATGCTTTCGCAAGTGTGATAGGATCTGGGGGAGCTTGGGATAATTCCTACAGAGACCATCCAGCTGACAGGATGCTCAAACAGGGTCGACGACAAGTCCGCATCCGAATATGGCCTCGAGGCTGGCGCTACGTTGCATTTGGTTCTCGCCCTCCGTGGCGGGAACTAGACTTATTTCTGACAACGGCTTTGAGCAAGAGAAGACAGGATAGGAAACAATACGCAGCTCAGGTGGTTTCAGCGTTGTTGAGACAGAGCAAATATCGACTACAGAGCCGATAGGGGATGATATGCAGTAGCAACGTCTATTTGCGACATGGGAGTATCGAATATTGCCTGTCCAAAGGATGGGGGATCTCGAGTCAGGCTGTAAATGCCAGCCTCAACTCTCAAAAGACAAGGACTGCATTGGGATATGGCATCAAGGGAACAATAGACTAGCGTGGAAAGGCTGCCTGCGATAATCCGTACATGGAGAATAGAGCTAGTCACATGAACGTAGCAGGAATCAAAGAAATGGTGCCGAGTTAAAAGCAAATGGGTCGTCATGTTTCTTCAAACGAGTTTAATTTCACTCTGCCGTGATCAACAGGACGACCATACGAAGCTAAAGGGTATATCCTACATCCTACCCGACGCCTGAATTCAATGCTATGTGACCTGTCCCTGTACCGACGCCCCATGACCTTTTATGTTACAATGCTCGTGATTCTTCATTCTGGCAATGCCAGATTATACTGTCCTTTAGCGTCTAGTCCTCTTTTTTGGCATAAAAATGTCGACAGCCTTTCTCTTTCTGGGCAGCTCCTGATTGCCCAGGATTGGTCGAGCTTGTTGCGCTTCGTCCAATGACGCTGGCAAAGGAGGAGATTGCGGGCCGTTGTTCTGAGCAAGTACTTTGTGCGTGCGGAACTGATCCATACTCGTGGAGGATGATGGCTCGGGTTTGGTTGGTGGGCGCTCGACTCTGATATTGCTCTTGGGCCGAGCGGCATTTCCGAGAATACCACCCCCACGTCGCAAACCCGATGGTTGTGAACTAGAGGCAGGTCTGGCGGATGTAGAAGAGTTACGATCCTTGAATGCTGAGGATTGGGCAGGGTTTGTAGGCCTAGAGGAAGCTGCCGTATCCCGACTGTGGCGAGAAGAAGATGCTGCGCCCTTGTTCTTCTTCGGCGTTCCCTCATCGCTGAATAAATCATCATCTTCGCCGTCTGATGAATCGGAAACATATGTGGCTTTGGACTGTGGGGTGACATATGTAGAATGTGTGGGTGGGCGGCTGCTGGTGGATGTAGGCCGAAAGACAGGTTGGCTTGAGATTCGGTGCTCGGCAGCCATCGAGGGCGGGGCCTGTTTCAATCGAGGGGCCCTGATCATACCAGTTGGAACAGCCATGGTGCTTCTTATGCCGACAATCTCCTTGGCCTCTCTACGGGCTTTCTTCATGACGCTAGCGCCCGTTGTCATCTTCATCCTGCTTCCGGCGGCCCAGCTCAGGGAACTCGGGAGCTCCCTCTTCCCTCGAGGTTGCGTTGAAAAGGTGCGACCGGTCTTAGGCGGCTTGGGCAAGAATCTGGCGAACTTGGGGTCTACAATTCTGCTGACGTTGTTGTCCTTCTTCTGCTGAAGCCCCTGGACCCTGGCGAGAAGTTCGGCCTCAGCCTGTTGCTGAGCCTCACGGCGTTCCTCCGCGTATCGCTCGTATATCTTGTACCACTTCGACGGATTCTTGGGCGCGTAATTCTTTTCGTGGCTTTCGGATGGGAATTCCTTCTTGATCAGGCGCAGCCAGAGCTCGGAAGTTTCGCCTTGTATAAAAGGGGAGTTGAGCTCGATCTCTCGGAGCTGAGCCGGATTTGTGACTCTGAGGAGGATTTCGCGGACATGGTGGTATTGGAGGGCGTCGCCATTGCCTACACTGCTGAGTTCTGTGATGTGTCTCTGGCACATAGCAATGCACAGCTCGGCAAGTGACTTAGTCGGCGCCATGGTAGATGATGTAGGTGGAATTTCTGGAAGACGGCCTAGCTGATGGTCGTTGCCGCCGTGATGAGAGCGCTCGGTCGTGGGGTCGTTGATGGGGAACAAGCAAATCGCAGGCTCATTGTTCAAATAACGGATGTAGTGCGTATCTAGGTAATTCGAATAGTAGGCTGTTGTAGCAGAAGGTTTCTGTCAAGGTAGAGGAGACCCCTCGAGGCCCTGTGGCAACAGATCGAGCCGATAAGAAGTACTATATTCAAAAGTAAGATCTTTGTTGTTGCTGGTATATGTAAGTGATGGCGGGAAGTTGCAGGTGGATGGGTCCTTTTAAAGAGGTCACGACCACCGAAGTGCCAGATCCGTAGTGGGGCATGCGGCTTTTAAGTGGTTCCCCAAGCTGACTTACCTTTGACGGGCCCTTGTCAAAAGCTAAGGCAGGGCCAGGCAGTGACTGTCACTGAGGTACCTCTCACGATGACTGACGACTGGGCTCATTATGTAGATGGGCTTGCTTCACACAAATCGACTATTGAAAATTTTGAGCTCATACAAGTAACTTACTTGTATTTCAAGCCAATGCGAACGCATGCCAAAGGATTCTAGCGTAAGTATCTGGAACTTATACTAATGCGAATGCAATAATTGAATGGCATGGTACTCGAACCCTCAAAAGTTGAGGTTGGCTCCATTCTACCCATGTCACATGATTTACGAGCTAGTCTACTTCGGGGCGCAAAGGTACCTCTAGGCTGCTTCGGGTGGATCTCGACTGCCACTTCCAGCTTCTCTCTTGCTTGCTGTGACGGAGCTAAAGATAGATGTGGGCTTTCCTGTTCACTCTGCCGTCATTGCAAAAAACGCCAACCCTTCCTCGACTTCGCGACCTCGGATAGCGACGAAACATCTGAGATAACCCAGAATATTCAATATGGCGGACTCAACATACATCAAACCGGAGCCATATATCAAGCCCGATCCCGAAGCCATACCTGCCGCTCCTGTCGACGACGACGACCTATACGAAGATGCTGGCGATCTGGAGTTCTTCGACCAATTTGGCGATCAAGGCTCCTTCGGCCAGGCATATCTAGCACGCGTTCCGAAGGACCTGTGGGAAGCATGGGATAGCTTGCCGGATGACGCAGAAATCGAGATCGGCACCATGCGACAGTGGGATGTGGTTCGTCCAGATGGCAGCGTTGAGGTACTGTGACATACGCGACGCGACAAGGCTGGGTAGACGGTTGGACTGACTTTTCTCGCGCAGCATCGATTCAAAATGCTACTCAATTCCGACCGCGCCGAGCACCAGCTGATGCCGAAAGAATACGACTTGGAGATGGGCAAGGAGATCGCGCGTAGCACATTCGTTTTCACCGAGGAGGACCTACCTGGCTTCAAGGCAAAATCCAAGGCGCGAACCGACGCCGCAAACGCTGGCATTCCGGCTCGATTCCTGAAACCCAAGACGGAGAAGGTGGAGAAGAAGCCATTTGAGAAGGGTCGCAAATGGCAACCGTACTATCGCAAGGCGATTCCCAGTCAGTTTGATGCTCCCACCATAGTGCTGGCCAGCGGCTAATTCAACGCAGAGAAGACAAAGATTGCCGCTAGAATCCAGTACGAGCTGGCGTGCAAGCCAGTCGATAATGCCGAGAGCCAGGCAATTCTTCAACGGAAGCAAGTCGAGGCTCAGCGGCCCAAGCATACCCTGCAGATCATGGAACAGCGCGCAGCCAACAGCATTATTCACCATGGTTCTGCTGCTGCGGTTGAGAAGTTTGGCTCCTTCATTGTGAGTAGTACTCGATGGGAATTGGTCGATCCAGTACTAATAAAGAACAGAAAACGTCTGCGCCGACCAAGGCCACCAAGCCGAAGAAATCCGAAAACAGATCCGCCCGCATGTCGGAGGAACAACTGTTGGATGGTCTCATGGAGGCTTTCAGGAAGTACGAGTACTGGAAAATGTCGATCCTCAAGGCTAGATTCGACCAACCCGAGGCTTTCTTACGCCAGACATTGGAAAAGATCGCGGTACTTAACAGGTCTGGCATTCACGCCAACGAGTGGTCACTTCAAGAGCACTTGAAGAGCATGGCGTCCGGCGCCACCAACGAGACGGCACCGGAGGAAGCCGCCGCAGAGGACGACGATGACGAAGTGATTATGGAGGATGTCGTCTAGTGAACATTCACAATTATACACAGATCGGGCCACAGGACCCGCAGGGCATCGCAAGGCGTTTGGAAGGGCTTTTTTTTTCGCATGAAAAGTCTTGGATGGAGGTGGCTTTTACAGTTGGGGACTTTTTGATACCCCCTGGGACACCAGGTGAGGACACACGTGTCGAAGGGTTTGCATCTGTCCCTCCCATCACAGAACGATAGAGCAAAACAGAGAAAGCGATATGCACTCTAGCTGGGATACAGCAGATAGGGTCCAAGTCCGATGGTAGTAGCAACACAGTGTCCAGTATTCCAACTTTTGACATGAGCATAGTTGTCTTTCTTTCCTAATCCAACACCACTTGTGATCAAAGTGGGCAAGTGGGGAAGTGCACAGTCGTCACCACTCGACTTCATCGGCTTGGATCCAACTAAGCCAATTTTCCCGAACACAACGACAAGACCGCGCTTTGTCACGTGTTGCAAAAATGCCTCGAGATACTCCAAATCTCGTGTTGGACTTTGATGGTACCATTACGACAAAGGATACAATCGGCACATTGGCAGAAATCGGCCTCCAGTTCCAGCAGCAGCGCGGGGTCGATCTCTCTTCGAAATGGCAGCAAATCCTGCTAGATTACAGCAAAGACCATGCCGACCATGTGTCCACGTACATTCCTATCGCGGATGACAGATCCTCGCTCAAAGACGAGCTCGCCTTTTTGCGGGGTCTGAAGGAGGTTGAGATGCGATCAGTCCAGAGAGTTGAGAGCTCAGGTATCTTCCGAGGCATCAGCCGGGAACACCTTACGCTTGCTGGCGAAACTTGCCGAGAGGAAGGAAGGGTCAAGTTGAGGGATGGTTTTGCGGAGCTCTTGAAAGTTGCTAAAGAGAAGGGCTGGTCCGTCGCTGTAGTCTCCGTCAACTGGTCTAGATCATTCATTAAGGGTGTCCTCTCCGACTACCGCGTCGACATTGTCGCTAATGAGATCGAGTTGGACGGAAGCATCTCGGGACCGGAAGTTGAGGGCTCACCGACGGGCCAGCCGTCGCTGATGACGTGCGAGGATAAGCTGCGAGCCCTTCGAAGATTGGCAGCTTGGCGAGGAATAGAGGATTTTGGGACGCTGGTGTACTTTGGTGACTCCACCACAGATCTCGAGTGTCTTTTGGCAGCCCGAGGGGTTGTGATATCGTCCAATGCCGAGTCCAGTTTGATGAAGACTCTGAGAAGAATAGGATATCAAGTGCCAAAGGTGGAGGATGTTCGGGTGCCCGAAGGCATGGCATGGGCATCGACTTTTGTGGAGGTTCTCGAAAGTGAATACCTATCTATCAAGGAATCCACATAATAAATGTCTGGCCTTTTGAACAATGCTCGTCCCTCCTTTGGTCGTAAGAATGCCATGTTAGGCAGCGCTGCTGGCTCACGCCCTTTGTTCAGATATCCCGGTTGAGAACCGCACAAGAACTCGATCCCCTTTGTCGATTATAGTAGAGAACATCGATTAGAGGCCCGAGAAACATTCCCATGTCTAGAAACAACCGTAGTACTTCGAGATTCGATGTATGTTCGGCTTAGGCAGGTCACCTATGCTACATGGTCTGACGTCGAGCATATAAGCATGTCGAGGTTCGGGTCGAAGTTGTCATGCCAGACCTCTACCTCGACCACAAAACGACAGTAAGTTCAACCCTCCTCGACTTTCCCGCTTCCACTACTTTTTCATCTAGCAATCATGTGTTTCTACCGCGCCACCGTGTACGAGTGCAAGCACAGCGAACTCGGCAAAAAGGTTACAATCTGCAAATTGCAAAGGGACCTTTTCAAGTACACGGAACATACCACTAGTCACACATGCATCGAGCGTCGTGTACACTCGATGAACTGCGTCCGGAAGGCTGGAGTGTGTGACAAGTGCAAGCGTCTGGACACCCTCAAAGACCGCACGGCAGATGCGTTCAAGGGCCTACAGGACACGCTCCGAAAACGCAAGGTTGTCGATGACGATTCTGTGAGTGATGACACTAGGGCCCTCGAGACTTTTGAGGCTGTGAAAATCCCGAAGATTGGACTTGATTCGGATGATGATAGCAGCGCAGCTCACGAGATCTTTGAACTTATCCCGACTCCTAGGCTTGATATGACCCCTGACGAGCTTGATGATGAGGATGCTACTTCATCGAAGGGAGAGACTTTTGTGGCCTCCGAGATCTCGGAAACCTCTGAGACCCAAGACATGTCCGAGTCTTCCCATGAAACGGTCGAGACTATTGACACGAGCAAGAATGTCGGGGAAGATGCTGCTACAGGAAAACCGCTAGGCTCCTCTGTTTGAATTATCTGACGGCAGACTTTGAGATTTTCCATAAACCCAGTCAGAAGACATCCATGTGTTGCGCTGGTACGTCAGTTTTCATCTTGCTTAAGATAACGTTGTGTAGTTTCCCATATTCGATCTAGGGCGGAGTCAGGCGTTAATAAAAATACGTGGAGTTTCGCGTCACTGTGCCATCACTCAGTAAGTTGGTCTACTCTTTGATGCTTTTTTATGTAAAAGGCATCTGGTAATGTCGTGATGCATCGCGAGGAACTATTGAAGGCCTCAAGTGCCCAGCTTGAGCCGCACCTTGCCAGACATAAGTCGTTTCCCCATCTTTTGATATAAGAACCTGGGCCGAGGCTCAGACAAGGAGCCTTCACAGAAAGCAGATGGCCGGCATTAATGGTGGAAGTGAGTATGAAACCCCGACTTTAGTGTTTCATTATTTATAGACGTCAATTCCAGCTTCCAAATGGAAACAGATCAATTCTTTATGCGATAATCGGAAGAAACCCGGCGAGTGAAGACCTAAAGATGCATGTACGGAGTCAATTAGACTACGATATGTCAACACCACCATCACTGCGAAAGAGAACATAATGTAAACAACCTAGGGATCTTTTCTTTTTTTTAGATCGGAGAGATCGTATATAATGGGAGGCTAAGCTACGTATATTTCAACACCAGGACACTGTAGCTTGTGTGTGTTTTGCCTCCATAATGACCTGTATCGTCTGCACAGACTGGCGAGTTGAGCTACGCAAAGCGTTGGACATACCTCACGAGACTTTGCCACTTCTGACTAGGAATTCCGAGAGGTGGGAGTAGCGCGGACCACGACAGCGGAAAGAGGTAAGATCATACCTAGCTGCCATACACCGGGATTCGACTCCGAGATCCGGGCCCGATCCGGTCGAGTTACATCGGGATATACAAGGCCGCCTGACGTCTGGAATGCTCGGGGATCGCCACACCGGGGCTCAGATTCCTCGCCTTGTGTTAGTATTACTGCGGGTTGAACTCCAACGAACGCAATGCCAGCCACGCTTCACCCCTTGCGGGTTTTTACACAGTCGTAACTGAATCAAGAGCAATCACACAATACGAGAAACTTGTCAAGTCACGATGGCAGTATCGTAGCTATTGGCATGGCGTGGGCCTAGAGTCAGTTCCTCCTAGCAAGGCCTCGGCCAGAGCGGCGAAGCTGTCGAGGAAGAAAAGGCATCCGACGGCAAGAAGACTGGATGAGACAATCCAGACACGGCTGGGCCAGGTGTCAGGTCGCCTTTAGACGGGTTGCAATGCCAACAAGCGAGCAGGCTAGCCAAAGCACGCAAAGTATGGCAGAGATGTTTATGGGTGTACGGACTCGTGTGCGACCAAAACTCCCAGTTCTCGGTTTGGACGGAGTGGACTGCTGAGGTGCAGACATGGATGAGACCCGGTAGACTTCTCAGGGTCCTGATGGGCTTTGTTGTTCACAGGGGTTGTTGAGTAGGTCTGTATCAGTCGGACCAAGCGATACAAGTCATCCGATGGCACGAAGGGTTTGAGGCTGGAATAACCCCTTATATCCGCTCTCATACCGCAAAAAATCGTCACAATGTGCGTTGCTTCGAGACGGCTCAGACTGTCAAATGCCTATCGGTATAGGGGGCCTAGAAACGAGGTAGGTAAACTTGGCATAGAGTTGTCTCCATTCTAATGACGGACGAGCGCTGAAGATGATGAACACGAGGTGCATGATGCAGGCTTTGTTCTATGAGGTCAGGTGATTCACGGTGCCAGGCGATACGATGCAGAGAAGCCGGGGGCCGACCGAGGACGTTGGCGTTTGGTGTTTGGCGTTCTAGCCGTGAACATGGTGTATGATGCTGGAGCTGGAAAGGCCGTGCGTGGGTGAGGGTACGGCTAAGGAGGTTGAAGTTGAATGGCAGTGATGCATTTGGTGTGCCAGAATACGGAGCCATCATATAAGTATATAGATTTGCGGTCTGAGTGTTCCAAGTTGACGGTCAAACGGTCCAGGAGCTCTCCTGGCGGAGAGCAAGCCACTGGAAACGTATCTCGGCGAGAACGAGTTTTGTAGCAGCTGGTAAGCGAAGTAGTAGCAGCTGCGCAAACGCCGCATAGTTCGGATGGGACTTGTTGAACAGAGTAACGCGGCTCTGGCTCTGATGAGATCATTAATTTCTGCACGCTGGGAGTGCATACTATAGTGCAGAGCAATATGGATGAGGGTAGGGGCCTTGAACAGCAGGTGGCATGACAGAGGCAGTGGTGTCCTTGGAGATACAGATAGCGTTGCACCCGAGTCTGGATCACAACGACATCTCGGGCGATCCAGAGTCGACTTTTCCATCAAGTTGTCATCGAGTATACTGATACCTCGTAAATCGTAGAGGAGAAAGAATGCTCTTACGTCCAGACAGCATTGGTGAACAGGCTAGGGTTGGGGTAAGTGATTGTTCACCTATATTCCTTGGCTTCTCTGCAGGTACCTGGGCTCTGCACAGGAGTTCCCGGCTCCGTCCGGGCGCTCGGCAAGGCAGAAAGACCTGTTCGAGGAGAGGAGAGGAGAGACCAGGCGTGTTTCGTTCCCATTGACGAGCTATTGGCACTGAGAAGGGGAAGCTGACATATTGAATATTTGAACCCGGGGTTTGAGGCGCCCCCGTCGGCTGTAGGGACCAACTGATTAGCAGTTTTGCCAGGAGATGTACTCGTAGAGAGACTTGAATATAGACTGAGTCCAACGGAAGTCTCAAGCCTCGATCAAACAGTACGAATGATGCCCTCGGATCGTGGAATCTGGATAGGACCTATAGGTACTCCGTCATGGTAAAGAGGATCTACGGCTACCTTCCACAGCACCCAAGCACCCAATGCCATTGTGGAGGGAGAGGAGAGTTTCTGTGCAAGGCGCTGTGTTTCTTTGGCAAGGTGCACTTTACGGTAGGAACCAATGGCAACCTGCCTTAATTGCTTAGGCGAGCGTTTACGTAAACCTACTCTTCACACTAACGACGTGCATGCATGCACTTTACCTCGAGGGAAGGCACCCCAGATGTTGTACCTGCCTTACCTTCCAGATTTGATCTGATTCAGGTACCAACGTACCGCATGTGGCTCAACTCTCAAGCGCTAAGGCAATAGGCAGGAATCTCATAATTATAATCACCGAGAGCCCTTGAAATTCTGGTGTTGTTTGTGATTCGAATCTTGGAAGCCCAGTAAGTCTCCAAACGCAGAGCTGTGCACAACATTCGGACAAAACGGATACGGAAAAGGCATCAGAATTTGGTCGTCACGGGTCACCCTGGAGGTCAGGAGGTACGTTGCGGAGCAGGTTGACGGGAGTGAAGCAAATTGCGCCAACTGGCAACTGCTTGTAAAGTGGGACACAGGGGGGAAAGGAGGAGATGCAACTTGCAAGTGGAAGGCTGCTTGCACCCCGCATCCGCGTGCGCGCAGCACACGGATATCAATCAGGGTCTGGCGGCATCGCCGCGCCGGCCCTCTATTCGCAGGAAAAAAAAAGGGCATGGAGAGTGGAGGACAAGGTATAAGTTGTGGACTCAGGCTGGGCCGGGTGCCGCCGCATCCACTTGGAGCATTGCAGTAATATACCGTCCAGTCCTGCATGCTCAAGGCAGTGTCTGCGTGGTATATGTTTCTCATGCTGTGCCATGAGAGATATACAGAAATAGGAATTGTGCTGACGACAGACTACAGATGAGACAGACTCTGTACTTACTGTGCGGTGCTGTAAGATGAATACCTAGCAAAGGTAGATACATGGCAAGGTACCGAGTACGGTGCATGACAAGCACACAAGCATCTGACAATCCCAGTCCCCTGCAGCAGCGCTTGCTGTTGATCGTGACCAAATGGTTCGCGGTGGCGGGCGCCGCCCTGAGGGGTCTGAGTCTTGACTCTGCAGTACGAATACCAACCAATGTGCCAGTCAAGTATGTATTCAGCTAAGCTTGCTAACCTGAGGTACGGGTAAAGTCAATCTGAGGGACTCGACGAGTTTGGGTGCCCATTGTGCTGTATTCCTGCTGGTGTGCTGCATAAGGTATCAAGTCCACCTCAATCTTCTTTCATCTTCAGCGCCTCTCATCTCTTATTAAGGGTCGCCTGCCAGAAGGAAATCCCCCTCCCAACATCCACTCGTCCCCGACACAACAAACAACCTGTGAACGTCAAGTAGATTGCTAATACAAGCCAGGGGAAGGAAACAGCAAGAAGCGGTCCGACACAGACAGACAAAGAGCCATGTGTAATATGCGGCGTGCAGTGTGCAGCGTGCAGCGTGCAGCAGCGGTTTGCCGATGGCCTAAAGGATGGCGCCCGCCCCCCTCCTTCGCTTCATTACCCTACGCAGTAAGGCACCTTACCAATACAGCTTACTCCTGAGCCCTGGGCCCAAGTTCTCGGTGGTGCTGGACGTGCCCCAAGTCCCCTAAACCGATTAGATACCGGTACTCCCCATACTGGGCTCAGTAGGGTAAAGTGCCTTGGGTGCCAACCGTGCCTTAGTAACCCACCCCCACCCCCTTTCCTCATGGCTTAATGTATACATCTCCACTGCAATTGACAGAGAATACCTTCCAAATGTATTCCGTGCTCACCACATTACCATGTATCTCGCACCTCCTCGGGTACTTGCCTAGGCTCCTAACCAGTGCATTGCTTTACAAACTCCCTCTCTGCCTTCCATCTCCCGCCTCTCCGCCTCCAGCATCCGCGTCCGTCCTCTCTCGTATATCTCCGGGCCTGCTATGGGCACCCCCGGCTACCCTCCCGTCCCTGCCCATCTTCCCTCCTTCAGAATCAGGACCCCTTCGTCAGCCGCCCAGGGCCCTTCTTCTCATTTGCAACCCGGAATGCGTGACTCTGCTTGACACCACCGCCTTTTTATCCTCCATATCGCTGCCCTTCTGCCCATCTTCTCGCCTATTCGTCGTGCCTTGTTTATTTGTCTCGTCTCTCTGCTCCTGTCCTGTCGT